ATCAAGACTCTCTGAGGCCACAGTTTTATGTAAATCTAAAAGCACATAATATTGAAATTCCACCATTTTCTTTTGCACGGAATGACTTGAATTCTGTGTCTGTGTCTGGTGAATTAACTGACCTGTCACTCATGTTTTTACCTTCTCAAAGGTGGAATTTCTCTCTAGGCTACTCTATGCCATAGAGTAGGCTAGCCTACAGATACATTCCACATGCACACACTTGCATGAGTGCGTATTTTCTGACAAGTGTCAGTTGAGCTAATTTGTCAGTTGCCCATGATCCCATGAGGTGTGATGATGCACATCACACTAGCGCCCAAGTTCGAGCCACACTCTCCTCTTGAAGACATTGCCTGCTTCCTGACCTAATAGCAAGCTAGCAATTTCTGCTAAGGTGCCTTGTATAGCCAGGGGTTGTTCCTCATGCAGTTGGAAATTTGGGACAAAATATCCACAGGAAAGCATTATTAAACCGACTTTTCAAAATGCTGGTAGGCCTTTTCTACTGGTTTTGTACATGTGAAGATATAACAATGAAGTACTCCCCACAGGCTGCCTAGGCCTTTTCTACTGGTTTCTAACATGTGAAACTATAACTATGAAATACTCCCCACAGGCTATTGGTAGCAAGTGTCCAGTTATCTTTGTTACTCATGTGAAACAATTTTCCTTCAATTTTTTTTAGTGTTTACTGTGTTTGTTTGTTGCTGTTTCTCAGAGCTATGCTTGTGCACCTCTGCGCTCAACAAAGAGGCTCACCCGCGTATATGTGCGTCACGAGTACTCAATTTATTATTTTATTAAATGAATTGTCTCACATTGAAGTGTATCCTGATTTGATTGAGAAAGTATGTGATGTTAACTTATGATGCTTATATGCACTCCTGCTTGTTGAGGCAATGGTTTTGGAATTTGTTGCCCAAGGTTGAGGCAATGGAATTTGTTGCCCAAGGTTGAGGCAATTTGTTGCCCAAGGTTGAGGCAATGGTTTTGCCCAGGTTGTTGCCCAAGGTATTTCGACAGGCTTTGCTGTAACACTCTGGCTCCGGGACTTTTGTATTTGAGCCAGGGTGTATTGTGTTTTGTTGGGTTTTGGGTGATTTTCTATGTTTGCATTTCTGTCACGTTTATTTCTAGGTTTGGTCATTGACTCCCAATCGGAGGTAACGAGTGTCAGCTGTCGGCTCGTTATCTCTGATTGGGAGCCATATTTATACTGCATGTTTTCCTGTGGGCATTGTGGGTTATTGTTCCTGTTTAGTCTTTGTCACTATTGGACTTCACATTCGTCGCTTTGATTTGTTGTTTTGGTTGCTTTAAGTAAATAAAGTCAACATGTTCTTTTCACTCGCTGCGCCTTGGTCTCCTTCACTCCTCGACGACCGTGACAGAATAACCCACCAAAGAAAGACCAAGCAGCGTGTCCAGGAGCAGGGAGACTGGACATGGGAGGAGGCACCGGGCAAGGAGATGGAGAGGCTGGCGATGGCCCAGGTGGGCACATCGTGGTCCTGGGAGGACATGCTCGGAGGCAAGGGACCTTGGGGAAGGATCAAGGCCCTGGCGAGAGAGGAGCAATGGCGGCAGCAGGGCCATCGTCGGAGGGTCGTGTGTCAACCCCAGAAAATTTTTAGGGGGGGGGCACACGGCATGGACGACGGGGCTGACGGAGGAGAAAAGGGGGAGTATCCAGGAGGCCACCAGGCCAGGGGTACACCGCCCTGTACGTCCTGTGCTGATGCCTCACACAGAGTGTGTGAGGGTAGGCATTCAGCCAGGACGGGTGGTGTCCGCTGTTCGCTCCAGGCCTCCTATCCGTCTCCACAGCCCGGTCCGGCCTGTTCCTGCCACCCGCACCAGGTCTACGGTGTGCGTCGCCAGCCCGGTCCGGCCTGTTCCTGCCACCCGCACCAAGTCTACGGTGCGCGTCGCCAGCCCGGTCCGGCCTGTTCCTGCCACCCGCACCAAGACTACGGTGCGCGTCGCCAGCCCGACCCGGCCTGTTCCTGCCACCCGCACCAAGACTACGGTGCGCGTCGCCAGCCCGACCCGGCCTGTTCCTGCCACCCGCACCAAGACTACGGTGCGCGTCGCCAGCCCGGTCCGGCCTGTTCCGGCCACCCGCACCAAGACTACGGTGCGCGTCGCCAGCCCGACCCGGCCTGTTCCTGCCACCCGCACCAAGACTACGGTGCGCGTCGCCAGCCCGGTCCGGCCTGTTCCGGCCACCCGCACTAAGTCTACGGTGCGCCTCAGACGGCCAGAGTCTGCCGTCTGCCCAACGGGGCCTGAACTGCCCGTCTGCCTAAAGCCTGCAAAGCCGCCCGTCTGCCATGAGCCATCAGAGCCGTCCGCCAGACCAGAGCCGCTAGAGCCTTCCGCCAGACAGGATCAGCCAGAGCCTTCCGCCAGACAGGATCAGCCAGAGCCTTCTGCCAGACAGGATCAGCCAGAGCCTTCTGCCAGACAGGATCAGCCAGAGCCTTCTGCCAGACAGGATCAGCCAGAGCCTTCTGCCAGACAGGATCAGCCAGAGCCTTCCGCCAGACAGGATCAGCCAGAGCCTTCCGCCAGCCATGAGCAGCCAGAGCCGTCGGCCAGCCATGAGCAGCCAGATCCGTCGGCCAGCCATGAGCAGCCAGATCCGTCGGCCAGCCATGAGCAGCCAGATCCGTCAGCCAGCCATGAGCAGCCAGATCCGTCAGCCAGCCATGAGCAGCCAGATCCGTCGGCCAGCCATGAGCAGCCAGATCCGTCGGCCAGCCATGAGCAGCCAGATCCGTCGGCCAGCCATGAGCAGCCAGATCCGTCGGCCAGCCATGAGCAGCCCGATCCGTCAGCCAGCCATGAGCAGCCAGATCCGTCAGCCAGCCATGAGCAGCCAGATCCTTCAGCCTGCCATGAGCCGTCCAGCCAGGATCCGCCTGAGCCAGCCAGCCAGGATCCGCCAGCTAGTCAGGTACTGTCCCTTAGCCCGGTGCTGCCCCTTAGCCCGGTGCTGCCCCTTAGCCCGGTGCTGCCCCTTAGCCCGGTGCTGTCCCTTAGCCCGGTGCTGCCCCTTAGTCCGGTGCCGCCCCTTAATCCAGTGGGGTTTAATTGGGGGGTGGTCATGTGGAGGAGGCTAGGGAAGCGGGTGGTGACTAAGGTGGGGTGGGGACCACGACCAGGGCCAGAACCACCACCGTGGACAGACGCCCACCCAGACCCTCCCCGAGACTGTATGCTGGTGCGCCCGGAGTGCGCACCTTTAGGGGGGGGGTACTGTAACACTCTGGCTCCGGGACTTTTGTATTTGAGCCAGGGTGTATTGTGTTTTGTTGGGTTTTGGGTGATTTTCTATGTTTGCATTTCTGTCACGTTTATTTCTAGGTTTGGTCATTGACTCCCAATCGGAGGTAACGAGTGTCAGCTGTCGGCTCGTTATCTCTGATTGGGAGCCATATTTATACTGCATGTTTTCCTGTGGGCATTGTGGGTTATTGTTCCTGTTTAGTCTTTGTCACTATTGGACTTCACATTCGTCGCTTTGATTTGTTGTTTTGGTTGCTTTAAGTAAATAAAGTCAACATGTTCTTTTCACTCGCTGCGCCTTGGTCTCCTTCACTCCTCGACGACCGTGACATTTGCCAGTGTTCTGTAAGCTCTAATAGGTTAGTGTCTGTGATGTAGGCTGTATTTTAACTCTCCACAGTAGCCTAGGCCTACCGGCCTACCCATAGCATGTTTCCTTAGACCAATTGTTGTTGCAAGTCCTTTTTTCATTATTTGCTGACATTATCCACTGCCACCATCACTACTATATTATATTTGTGTGAATATATTTTTTCTCTGTCTCCTGCCTGCCTACCTGCCCGACCGTAAGACACGTTTACCCTTTCACCAGGAGGTAAGATATACACACATTCGCACACAAAAATCAATAGGACATGGCCATGACAAGGTCTGTCTCTGGAAGAGAGTAGAGAGTAGGCTACAGGCTGGCTGTCTGCAGCAGTAGGTGGCTGAGAGAGAATTTCATTTAAACAGAACCACATCTTCTGCCTGGCTCAGAGGCTTAGTTGCTGTACTTTCAAATCAGTGTTTCTTTGCACACCTCCCTCCAATGGTCAGCTGACACGAATGTACTCAGTGCTCATGCTACTTTTAATCTAAGAGGAGAATCATAGTTTGCCAGTCCATGCTGCAAATAAGGTTGATAAAGTCTGCTTTACAACTTCTACTTGTTAGGCGGTTCTGTTGTTGTTTAACCTACTAGCCTATAGGAGAAGTTGAATTTATGTTGTTTCAGCTGATTGTATCAACTGTCAGTATTCTATACTGCCCTATTTCACTCCTTTTCACCTCGGTAGCCCATATCTCAACACACACACACAATGGGGATTGAGAGCTCTATATGCAGTTAATGTAGCAGTTACAGCTACTTATCAGATTAAATTATGGCCAGGCCTCCCGAGTGGCGCAGTGGTCTAAGGCTGTGCAACTAGAGCTCCTGGTTCGAGTCCAGGCTCGCAGCCGGCGCACAATTGGCCCAGGGTAGGGGAGGGTTTGGCCGGCAGGGGTGTTCTTGTCCACTAGTGACTCCTACTGTGTATCCTCCAGGACGTTGGTGCGGCTGGCTTCCGGGTTAAGCAGTGCGGCTCGGTTGGGTTGGGTTGTGTTTCGGAGGACATACGACTTTCTGTGTCCGTACGGGAGTTACAAGACTGTAACTACCAATTGGATACCAAAAGATTAGAGGAGAGGGAACAGAGAGACAATATGGTATCATATGCTTTTATCATGAAATTCTTGCAGGCGTTTTTTGAGGTGGTCCTAGGCTTTATGTTTGGTTTTGTTAAGACCATCAAAGTTAACAAGAAACCGAGTAGAAGCACCAACATTTTAGAACAGCAGTGTATTCATTATATCTTGCAACGGAAACCGTTCACCGTTTAAGAACCTGATGGATGCAAACAGAGCAAACGAAACAGGGAGGGACCTGCCTGAATTAGTCCAATAGAAACGTTGCAAAACTGTATTGCAACAGACTAAACGTTTTGCAACAGTGAATACACCCCAGCTCTGATAGCACCAACGCACTCATGCGAAGCTGTGGGTGGGAGGGAGTTGACCCGTTGTCATGGGAATGAGACTTTTTTCTTCTCATGTTTTATGCGCCCTTAAACTTGCAAGCAACACAGTGAGCTAGCTAGTTACTAAGAATCCATCGATAATAGAAAGCAAAAGATTGTTTCATATAGAAATATTTGTTGTAAAACTTTGTCGGACTGCTCGGGGTTTGGTAGTCATCGAGAATCGGCTAGATGAGCAGGTGAGCCAGCAAGCTGTTCAGCTAGTGTGAGCATTAGCTAGCTAGCTAGTTAACGTGAGCTATTGTGGTTACAAAGTTCAAAATATGATGTGTCAATGTAACAAACACAGTGCTTGCACAATGAATCGCTGAAATGACACGCACGTTTTTTCAAACGAGACATTGTAGCTCCAAGATGTCTCAACTAGGCCTAGCATTGACGTATGCAGTTGGGAGAGCGTTCGCATGTAACGACGTTCGATAGCTGTCAGTCTAACTGTCTGATGTTGTTTCCAGACTAGAATGTTTGGGGAAGTCTGCCAAGGTTCCACAGAAGCAGGTAAAACGTGTTTCTTTGGCTTTGTCAAAGACATGATGAAGCCAAGACTGGTTGGGAACATGATTTTATTTCAGATAAATATTTCATGATGAAGCAAGACTGGTTGGGAACATGATTTTATTTCAGATCAATATTTCAGTTGTATGTGAACAAACAATGAAATAAATATATTCATCTTTTTTTTTTTTTTATACATATGCATTTGTGATATATTAAATGCACATATTTCCCCTGCATCTGATATAGGTGGTCCCTGCACTTCTTGAGACACACATGCTTAAAGGTATGTAGGCCTACTCCATGTGTAAAGATCTGGTATGCAGGGTGAAACAAACAACGACTGCTGTGCTTTCCATTCTAGACTGACCTGGATTTATGACTCCCTTAACCAGTTTTTTTACTTTTTGTTCTAGAAGCAGTGGGAGCCAAGTCTTTTACTGCCACACCCGGGTAAGAATTCACAGCAAGACCAGTTCTAACTGCGTCTTAAAACATCAGACATGGTGTTGAGTTGCCATGATAGTAAAAACAAGTTGATGTGATGCAAAAACGTATATATTTTTGTGTGTGTGTGTTTTGGTATTTTTCAGAAGTAGCCTTCCTACACAAGCAGTATCAAATCCTGTGAAGGTCGGTAATCAACACTAAGCACAAAAAAGCTATTGCATTGATCATTTATTAGTCTGTATATCTAATGAGTTTTTCACCCAGGTCTCTCCACCTGGGAGATTGGAAGTGCTCTGTGCAGGAGGTGTGAATAACATTAGTGTTGGGTTCGCTGGACCGCCTGTGGTCCTCAGCCAAGACCTGAAGGACAATAAGAAACCACAGCAGTCGGTTTTAGCTGTTACAGGTCAGTAGAGCATGACAGGACTACTAGAATAGAAGAGCATTCCCACTGGGCACACGCTGGTTGAATCAACGTTGTTTCCACGTCATTTCAATGAAATTATGTTGAACCAACGTGGAATAGACGTTGAATTAACGTATGTGCCCAGTAGATTGGAACATAAAGAATCTAATTTTGCACCAATATTTTCAATCTTTTTTGCATGACTGCTGAAAAATGATGATGATGTTTTGTGGGGCAGGAGGAAGAGTGTTTATGCAGCACCGGGCCCGAACTACCCCCTGCTCTGTGTGTGTTCCCCCTCCAGCGGAGCCCCTCCCCCCTCTTGCGCCAGAAGGGGAGGAAGAGAACACTGAGGAGGATGATGGTGAGGAGGATGATGGTGAGGAGGATGATGATGATGAGGAGGGACACAGGGCTCCGATGGAGCTGATGGCTGAGGTAAATTAACTCTGCAGTTCACGTCAGACCAAGTCCCACGTTAGACTGACTAAAAATGAATAAATTCATATCAGCCAGAGATGTCATTTTCCCTGATTAATCGAGGAATCCAGATTTCTGATTAACAATGAGAGGGTTGGTCTGCCTGGATGGACTATGACTCCCATCTGTCTGTGATTTCAGTTCCTCAAGTCTGTAATGGAGAAAGACTTTGTGCTGGCAAAGAAACTGTGTCAGATGAGTAAGCCTGTTTGTCAAATATAAAAGTTCTGTCATTCATTGTTTTGATTATATGTGTGCATTTTGTTCATGTGTCTCTCATTGCGTCAATCAACCAATCAATGAATTCATGAATTAGCCAACCAGCGGATGATTGCTGTGTCTGTGCTCTGTTCTTCCAGTTCTGATCTATGAACCAAATAATCCAGAAGCCAAACAGTTCATTCCTCTCATCCAGGAGAAGCTGGAGAGAGGTGAGTGGCTCCGTCCAACACACACACACACGCACACAAAGGTTATTTTGGAAGAATACTTTTGGCCACTGTGGCTGTGTGACAATTGTTGGAGGTTGGATTCAAGTGGTCACACCAACCCTGGTTCTGGAGAGCTACTATGTGTGCAGGCTTTTGTTCCAACACTGACACACCTGATATAGCTAATCAAAGTCTTTGCTTTGTTCTAATACAATGTTCCATCAGAGCAAGAGGAGAAAAGCCAAGATAATGATTGTTCAGACTCCAGTGATGAAGATGACTCAGAGGACTCTGAGAGTGATCAAGATTCCGCTCAGAGCTCAGACAGCTCCTCATCATCATCATCGTCAGATGAGGAAGAGGAGCAGAGGAGGAGACACAAACCATGTCCACCCTCTCATCTTTCCCAATAGCTGTCAGTCACCAGCACACTGCCCAGTTTGACAGTCAAAAGATCAGTTAGTTTCTTTCCCTTTCGTATGAATATATAGATATAGAAATTGTGTCACTGTTTTGCATTTCACATTCTTACATTGCCTTGGTGAGGCCATCACAGCACAAACACATGGTTTCCTCATCAACATGTCACTGTTTAATCTTCATGTAAAGAACACAATAAAGTTCAGCATCATGATCTGTGTCTCTGGTTTCTTCAACACAAAGGGTTAGTTTCACTACTCATGGACTAAGTGGAAACGTACTCTTTAAATTTCTAGGAGAACCTGAATTATTACTAGACCTTTCTACACCCCTACATTTCAACATAAATGCACCCATACAGATCATCTTCAAAATTCCTGCGTATTTCAGAGGAGGTGCCACTATGTTGAGCAATAATGATCTCTATAAAGTCCTGACGGGGAAGAGAGAAGAAGTAAAGCGGGAGAGAAGACCAGAAAAGAACAGGAGGAGTGAAAGAGGACTGAGAGGGTGAAAGCAGAGGCATTAAGCAGTGGAGTAGACTGTGGATTTTAACTCCCTAAGCTCCCTCAGGTATGTACCATGTCTACTATTTTTTAGTTTGTTTTCTACTATTCAGCCTATAGGCCGAGGCTAGGAGGTATAGGATATTTATTTCCAAACGTGGTTTCAGCACAGCATAGGTAAGAGATATTACATGATTTTCACAATTTTGGAAATAAACTCCATCAACGCTCCTGACCACATAGATCTATCAACGTAGTCGATACCGCCACCTGGTGGTCTAAAGCCAACATATCATTCCCAATCTAGCTTCACAAGCCACATAATTGAAGATTATACACACTGTAGCCTAAATGTGGACAATAACACAAGAAGAAAATGAATAGGCTATCACTTGTCCATTTCTCGGTAATAACATTTCAGGGATATGCCTAGTTGCACAAGAATCGATATGAGCAAAAATGAGTCCATCCCAAGACTATATCTGGTAGGCTACTATTGTCCAACTATTTTTTTCACATTACTCCTTTGAAAGGTGCAAGTGACGAAAAGAAAACCATCTCTATTGTTTTTGGTCGTTCCCTAACATCACCTTCTAGCTCTAGGTTAGTAAGTAGCCTATTGAGGACGTGATGTTTATCAAACTTCCGAAGAGTGACACTTCGGGATTTTATCTTGAAGGAGATGGGCATTCCTCATGACAATCACACCAGCTGAAAAAAAGTCTCTGTGTCACAGAAAAGTGGGGAGTTGTCGTGAAGTGGGGAGTTTTTCCGATGCTTTTTTTCTGTCACGAGCAGGAGAAGCTTAATTTTGCGCCATAGGGAGGTAATGCTATGACTCACGCGTGCGTGCGTATATAAGGGGATAGGCGATTCAGGCGCTAATAAAAATAAATAAAAAATGAAACATTCTTGAGTGAAAAAAAGGTCACTGGCACCCTGCTGGATGTAATTCGTCTCGCTATCTTTATTCCGATGTTGTTGGCTTTGGACTGTCTTGCGTCTCAGCACGTTGGGTGGATAGAGAACTGTAATTCGGTTGTTTGGTGATAGTTTCTCTCGACGCGACAACCTGTGCACCCGCAGACGGTAAGGTAGCCTATAGTCTCCTAGCGCGAGCGCTCGCACGTTTCCTAACAGCCTATTTTGTAATAGGCCTATTGATTGATTTTTCCATTATAGTGAGTTGTTTGCATTTCTTTTTTAAATATAATGCTGCACAACGCCCAACAACTGCAATATTGATGAGATGCACATTCTTATTGGGGTCGAAAATAGGATGGGATTGGTTAGGAAGGAATACATATTTTAGCAAACGACCTGTCGCTTAAATGTTCGGATTTCCAAATCTCTCTCGTTCAAAAGTGTGTTATTATGAAATAATTAACATGTTAATAGCAATGGTAGTCTATTGTTATTTATTAGCCTATATGCGTGGCAGGATTCATTCATTAGCCTAACTATTTATATCAACAATGACATTGACTGATGCTGGGCTTCGCTGTGGTTATTCAAAGATCATCATAATTGAAAAATCGATATGCTATATGTCAATAAATCTTCCAACGGATTTCAGTAGGACATCAATAATCAAGTGTCTGTCCAATATATATATATTTTTTTTTCTTACAACCCAGATTTGTTTGAAAAAATGTGTCAAATAATTCCATTGCGCATAATTATGAAAGACTATTTCGTTTTGTATATTCCTAATTATGAATAGGTCTGATAAGGATGATTTGTTTGTGGATTACACGTATTTATTTGCTTTATATTGAAGACACGAAGACCTTTGTTTTCGTGCTCTCTGGTCTAAAAGTAGACTGAACGGTCTGGTGCTCTTCGCTTAGCTTGAGCGCCCAAGACTGATGTCTCAGAGATGAGGATGATTTCGCTCTAATGACCCATAAAAACGTCACTGGGGACTAGGGTTTATGTCCAATTTACTGCTGAAAATATTTTTTTTTCGTTCGTTTATATAAGGTAGAATATAGTGGCTATACATTTCTGTCAGATTTGCAGCCTTTATTTGGGTCCAGTAGAATTGAATGCACGTTATGTTATCGTCCAAAGGCATTAACGCCCTTGACAGAGGATCCCGCGCGCCCGGTGTGTGTGTGGCGCGAGACAAATCTTATCAAACCGGGTCCCACTCATTTATCTCCCCTCTGCACGTGCATGCAGCTCGCGAGCCTATTGACGTTGGAGAATAAATTATTCCGATCGTAGAGGCAGATAATAACAGCAAATGATGCATCATCCATCCTCTTCCTTCACTGCACTGCTACTAAAGCTCAATTTCACTGATCAAATTCAGTTTAGGTTGCCTATTTTAGGCAATTCAAAATAAATAATGCATAACTTTCAGACATAAATGCAGTTAATTATTTGTTTAATACTCAGAGACATCAATCTTAACCCTTGGCCGTTTGTTTTCAGCCACCGGTTGGTTATTTCCGTTCTGAATCTGATAAGAGTCCCGGAGCGCACGGGAATAACGGAGGACTAATGGCCACGTCTGAACCGACAGCCACTGGCGGGGACCAGGACCCCAACTCCGCCAATTTACGACCATCCACAAGTAAGTCTCTCCTTCCTCTTTCTCTCCCCATCTGCCTGATAAAAACGAGTCTCACCCGGGCTATTTACCGTGTGGGCGCTGTCGTTAATCATTCCGGTTAAAAACAGAGCTATCACAGCTGCCTGCCGCTGTCGAACGGATCAGCGGCGCGCAATGAGAAACGGACCTACTGTAATCGCCTCATAGAGTGTAGTCATAATGTCCTCAGCGCAGGGGATCCGGAAAGGAAATCGTTTTGGAATAGAAAATGTACAATTATTTGGAATAAGCCTATCGAATTTCCTTTGGCTAATTCTTTTTTTTTTTTTACCAGGCCTATCAAATAATGTTTTAAATATATAAAGGTTGTTAAGGCTATAACCAATAGCCTAAATGTATGTTTATGCTATTATTTATTGGCTAACGATATATTGTGTATACAAGCATTAAAAAATATATATTGTAATTTAGCAGACGCTCTTATCCAGAGCGACTTACAGTTAGTGAGTGCATACATTTTCATACTGACCCCCCGTGGGAAACGAACCCACAACCCTGGCGTTGCAAGCGCCATGCTCTACCAACTGAGCTACACGGGAGGCCATTTAAATTCGTATTCTTACATTTTTAATTTTATTTAGATAATTTATCCCCTCAAAATCCTACCATCATGTAGTCAGTCCTGAATGAGAGAGCTGTTAACAGCGCAATTACGCAGGGAATGGCTGGTAATTGCAGCCACTCTGGTGTTCGTGATGATGACTTGCACTCGTTTTGTAGTGACCCGCTTGGATAATTTTGCCACCGAACACTGAGAGAAGGGGGCATTTAGAAACTGATTTCTGAAATTAGCATTTTTGTCTAGCCTACCACTGAAAGTTACATTTTCGTTAACAAAAAGCCACACAACCCTCCTCTCTATAGGCCTAGTCATATTTCGTTTGGAAAATGTATAGGCCTAAAGGGCTAGTTAACCAGCCAACATGTCTGCCATTAAAACCATTGGCCTAATATGGAAAGATGGCTTCATGGGCTATTTGACAGAGGAAGAATGTGGATAAATTGTGGATAAATTGTAGAATAGTAAGTCTGACATTTTTTCAGGTTTGACAGAATGCATAATGGTTTGAAAAAGCCTGTGATGTTGTTTTGGTGCTCTGCCTGTTTCTCTGCTGCTGCTGTTGGATGTTGCCATTATCTCGCTGCCACGCTCTGTCTCACTCGCGCTGACCTGAGGCGGCTCGTGGTGTCGCTGTGTGCGAGTGTGGCTTGGGTAGCGCTCGCCTTCATGCGCTCTGAGTGACACATCGAGCCGTTATATCTGGGTCTTGCATCCGAGTGACACATCGAGCCGTTATATCTGGGTCTTGCATCCTAGACAAATAACACCACCATAAAGCTCATATGCATATAGATATGCCTTGTTACCGTTCCATCGCTTTGCTCTGTATGCTTGTGTGTTTTTTTGTTGTTGCTATGATGGCATTCTCCATCTGTATGTTCATGCAATTCTATACTGCCCGGTGTGTGTGTGTGTGTGTCCAAACGGCCAGCCAGACATCGCCCGCTCGCGCAAGTCAAATACTGTGTTTCACCTAATTAATTTCTGCTCTCCTTCCGGAGGTCATTTCACGGATGTTTATTTCAACCCGCCCCTTCGCCAGGTGCGTGCCAGTATTTATTAACCCCGTGAGCCTCTGATGGCCCATTACGATTGGACTGTGTGGATTCGGACCATTCGAATGTTTAGGAATAATAACCGCGAGATAGGGTGAAGTTCCCCCAGACAGTGATCTACTGCTGCTTCTGATGCATGTGTCTGCTTCATGCTTCTTCACTCCATTGTGCCATGCATTCCATACGCTTTATAAAAACTCATCCGCTGTCACCCAAATCACACTATTCATATATTCCAGAATTTGATTTTCAGACGTTCTCCCCAAACATTCTGTTTTAGACTATGACGCGTGGATGCAAGGCTGCACGCGGAAACTGGGGTTGAAGATCTGTGGTAAGTTTTAGACCCATGAAACCATAATGGAGGCTATATGGAACACTGATGTTAGAGCAGGGCCGTCCCGGGACTGTCACTCCACATTCTCATCTCCTAAAGGTCAGTTAGCAATTAGCTTTAGGCCAGGCGCTGCGCGCCGGGGTTCCCGCCCGGACCTCGGCGAGGCACCCCATGTCTCTTCCTATCCATATCTCTACAGTTAGCAAAGGATATGATGTAGGCCCACACTATAGCAAGTAACAATCCGCCTCAGAAATATAGATACATGCCTAAACAACGAATATTTAGCGCGAGATGAAGGTGTCCAATATAGGCTAGTTGTTTTTAATGCTGAATTAGCTGGTAATATGTTTCGTGCATATAGGCGAGGCCTAAATATTGTACCTTCTAATGCCTTTCTATTTTATTTTATAAAGGCCTTATCACAGTTTTTTTTAAAGCATTCATTTCCTCTCCTTTCCGTTTGGAGGTGACTGTGGATTTGGGTCCTTTCATGCAAAACTTCATTTTTTTATACGACCTGCAAGCCTTATAAAATGAAATGTGATGATGTCGATGAGATGACGTGGCAGTGCCTGTTTTAGGTTTGGTAAATCTGGGAGGTTCCATAAGGCCTCTGTTATCCAATCAAGCCAAGGTGAAATGGTTGAATCCAGTATTTTTCCAACAGGATTCTTAGACGTCCTGTTTTTCCTGGGCCCTATATTTAATCGTTTTTCGATTACGTCTAGGATTGGTTTGACGTCAGCATACACACATTGAGAAAAATATCCTTTCTTTAAAAAATCCTTCCAACCTTCACTGACGTCAGACCAACATATTTTTTTGTGGCAGGTTTTGATAATGTCAAGAATGTCAATGTCATTTAATTGCAAAATGAGGCATTGTTACCATGGCTTCAATCCAAACACAAAGAAGGGAATGTAATTAGACTAAGAATAAATGGATTTGAACTCGAGAGTTACGATGCAGGCCTATAATTCGTACGGAGGGCCCACAGAAGTAGGGCACCTGCCCCGTAATGCGGAGGACATCCCCTGCCAGAGAATAAAAACACAAAGTAACCTCCCTCATAACCCTGAACATAACCTTAATAACGAAATAATTCACCACAATGCACGAAGAAACATGTTTATTCGATCAACTGATTGATTATTTTAATAGAGGACATTTCTTTGGCCCTATGAGTAATTTTCAAATTTCTGTGCGTTGTGCATCAGGCCCAATAATTTACATAGCCTACCGTATCATATGAATATGTAGGCAGAGGGCTAAGTGCTTATAGGGTAATTTTATGCATGATAAAGAAATAATTTAGTTTCTATAAATATCCCCTCGGGCTGATGAGGAATATAGCTAGGGTTTGAAATCATTTTTGTGAGGAGGAAAAAAACAGAACAGTGACAATAGTCATCATAAAATGATGCCGAGTGTTAGATGTTGTCATATGTCAGTGTGTATTTACAGCCCATAATAGTCGTCAGCTCCTATCAATTAGTAAAGAAACGCGTCCTGTGGATGATAGGGAAGATTAACGAGAACCATATCAACCGGCAGTTTTTTCGAGGCCGCTGCTCTGGTGAGATAATCAGTGCCCTGTGTGCCAACCGAGATTAGCGGAATAAATTTAAATGAAAGGAGCTCTGAAACAGAAAAGGGGTTTGAGAGAGCCTGCTCTCTGTCTCATTCGATATTGCAAAAACATTTTTTACATCAGATTTTCATAGAATAATTTAATGAAAACTGTATGATGTGAAAATAAGTGTTTAAATCCATCCAAAATTATTAGGCATAAAATGACCTTCTCTGGTGGTAGCCTGTTAGGCTATAGGTTTTTCTCTATGGGTTTTTTCAAAGATCAATGGGCTATTAATAGACACGGACTTTAATTAAAAATAGACTAGCCTATCCAGAGGCCGTATAATATCTCGCATCCTTCATTAACCCCACTCCATAATGTCTGCTCTATGAGCCGGTAATGACATGGACACTCCTCCGGGCCCTCCACACAGCCCCTGCACGCTCAGGCGTGAAAAGTCCGGGGGGACAGGAGAACATTCACCGCTGGACTAAATTGGGTATTTCTCGCTCTCGCTTGACTGGGTTATTAACATTTGTAACAGACCTAGATAAACTCAGGTCTCTGAATAAAAGTTATTATCGGGTTATTATCTAGAGATGTTGGGCAGTGATAACCGCGCATGTTCCCCCTCTCGTGCCCCTCCTTGTAACACCCTAGGGTTCCTGCAGAAGAACAACAGTCTTGGGGAGGAAGGCCGGATCGCAGGCTCACTCTCAGAACGCAAGAATAACCTGTTCTCCTGTGACAACAGCGATCGGGATGCCCGCTTCCAGCGCACTGAGACCGATTTCTCCAACATGTTCGCGAGAGGTGATAGATAACGAGTTAATTCTTGCCAGACTTTTAATATAGCCTAGTCCTACACTTTTGTTTTGTAATTCTTATATTTTCTAACATGTAGTGAACCGTAGCCTTACAATGTTTATAGTTTGATATACCATATTTATAGGCCCCATTCTGTAAAAGGGCATCCAGCCCCTACATTCGATTTTTGTTCGTTTTGTAAATGCTTTTTCCATAATTCTTCTAGACTTACTTCCCGCCAAAAATGGAGAAGAGGCGACTATGCAGTTCTTGTTGGAACTTGTGGACATCCTCACCAACTACGTCAGGAAGACATTCGACCGTTCCACCAAGGTTCTGGACTTCCACCACCCTCACCAGCTGCTCGAGGGCATGGAGGGATTCAACCTCGAGCTCTCTGACCAGCCAGAGTCCCTCGAGCAGATCCTCGTGGACTGCAGGGACACGCTCAAGTACGGCGTGCGAACAGGTACATACAATAGACCACTTAACTGGCAACAACAACATTAAGTGAAACAGGCTACAGCATTAAACCAGACGTTGCCTTCTTTATTATTTCAGGACAGTTTTTGTGTGCATTAATGACGTTTCCAATCTTTGTATTTCTCATATTTCCAATTGTGCAATTTCTTCCTTAGTTCTTCCGTTGAGCAGTTTAAATTAGTGTGAAATAAATAAAAGCAGTTCTCTTACCAAGCCAGGCAGTTTAAAAGCTTATTGCCATTGGAAAAAGCATTAGCCTATAGAGATCATTAAGACGGTTCATTCTGCTTTTTTTTTAGGAAACATTCCAATCCAAAACAACCAATATTGCTGTAGGCTAAAATGGTTAGGTTAGTCTATATGGAACTTGACCAACTGGTAGACCTATTTCCATATTGTTTAGGCTTCCTAAACATGTTTAACGCACCGTTGAACATTTCTTCATACATTATTGGGATGCAATTTGTTTTATTTTTATCACAGTGATCTGCTCGTGTTCACAACACTTGAGCAAAATCGAATTCTACACAAAACCATTTAAGCATAAGCTGTTCCCTTGATCAGCAACATCCAATCACAATGACGGGTCATTGTACCCCTGGTAATTCTCCTTCCCCGGTCTTATTAAACCAAGTACCGCCCGCGGGGACGCAAGCCTGCGTGGGATTTTACAAGCCGTTAGGAACGACTACAGTCAAACTATCCCTTGGGTTTACTTCCTAAAGACCTTTAGCTTAATTCATTGAACATTTACCCACACAAAGTGACGATAGTTTAAAAAACATTGTCGCACGATTTATGAGTTTGTCTGAAACAATTAGCATACCGCAGTTCAGTCTCATGCCTTCATTCCAATGACGCTATCACGGGCGCTGTCCATCGTGCTGAAATATAGCCTACCACGCGGGAGAAAATCCACCTGGTTATCAGTGGGTGCTGTGTCCCCATGTAGTTTCTCTGCACCGCCAAGGCAAATGTTCCACTGCATCTCAGGTCCCAATAGGAATACAGCAAAGAGTGAATTTGGGAGTTTCAGAAAATAACCTGTCTGAGTTCACATCAAATGGTTTGTTTTCATAACAGGAAAGAACACACACTGTTTCAACCCTTGTGGTAGAGCTGTGATTTTATAAGGTTATAGAAACCTTACAGGCAAATATTCCACTATGTTTTATTGTATTTTTTATTAACCTTTATTTAATCCATGAAGTCCCATTCAGATAGAATGTCTTATCTCTGTATTTCAGGACATCCCCGGTTCTTCAACCAGCTCTCCACTGGGCTAGACATCATTGGGCCTCGCTGGGGAGTGGCTCACCTCTACAGCCAACACCAACATGTGAGTCATACACTGCTGTTTTTGTGTATGTAAAGGTGTATCGAAATCACTGTGCTGACTAGCCAACGTTTTACATTACATTTACATTTTAGTCATTTAGCAGACGCTCTTATCCAGAGCGACTTACAGTTAGTGAATACATATATATATATATATTTTTTTTTAATACTGGCCCCCCGTGGGAAACGAACCCACAACCCTGGCGTTGCAAACGCCATGCTCTATCAACTGAGCTACATCCCTGCCGGCCATTCCCTCCCCTACCCTGGACGACGCTGGGCCAATTGTGCGCCGCCCATGAGTCTCCCGGTCGCGGCTGGCTGCGACAGAGCCTGGATTCGAACCAGGATCTCTAGTGGCACAGTTAGCACTGCGATGCAGTGCCTTAGACCACTGCGCCACTCAGGAGACCAGGAGTGTTGTTCGTATAACGATACAATGTAACTCGTAAAGGGAATGTGACGATTATAGATTGCTAGAAAGCCCCAGCGGGTTGTGATTGACATTTGAAGGATTTTCACCATGTAGCAAAAATAGAATCAAATCATTAGTTCTCAGGAAGTGTGGCTCCCCTCATATCTGCTCAGTTACAGTACCTTGAAGTTAAACGAAGGCCAAGGCCTTTGATTGGCTAGGTCAGAGAGGTTTAAAATGGCTGTCATATAGGCTTGTTATATAAAATGTACATTTTTCACCTGACTGCTGTTGGCACTGTACCAACCATGTACAGAACAGCAGCCCTGAATACTATACATCTCGGATAACACGCACACACCTACACACACACTCACTCACGCACACACAGACACTCACAGACACACACACATGCCCCATGGGCTGGTTAGATTGCATATTGATCAGAGCCCAGTGTTATATGACATGGTGGTCCACTCTGAAAGAGGTTATGAAGCCCTGCAGAGCTCAACAACACCGGATACAGGACACATCATATAGGACACATCATACAGGACACATTATCGTTTTTATGCACAATCACTCATACACTATGTATACAAAAGTATGTGGATTCGGCTATTTCAGCCACACCCGTTGCTGACATGTGTATAAAATCGAGCACACAGCCATGCAATCTCCATAGACAAACATTGGCAGTAGAATGTCCTTACTGAAGAGCGAAGTGACTTTCAACGTGGCACCGTCATAGGATGCCACCTTTCCAACAAGTCAGTTCGTCAAATTTCTGCCCTGCTAGAGCTGCCCCGGTGAGCTGTAAGTGCTGTTAATGTGAAGTGGAAACATCTATGAGCAACAACGGCTCAGCCGCGAAGTGGTAGGCCACACAAGCTCACAGAACGGGACCGCCGAGTGCTGAAGCACGTAGTTCGTAAAAATCATCTGTCCTCGGTTGCAACACTCACTACCGAGTTCCAAACTGCCTCTGGAAGCAACGTCAGCACAATAACTGTTCGTCGGGAGGTTCATGAAATGGGTTTCCATGGCCAAGCAGCCGCACACAAGCCTAAGATCACCATGCACAATGCCAAGCTTCGGCTGGAGTGGTGTAAAGCTCACCGCCATTGGACTCTGGAGCAGTGGAATCGCGTTCTCTGGAGTGATGAATCACGCTTCACCATCTGGCAGTCCAATGGACAAATCTGGATTTGGCGGATGCCAGGACAACGCTGCCTGCCCCAATGCATAGTGCCAACTGTAAAGTTTGGTAGAGGAGGAATAATGGTCTGGGACTGTTTTTCATGGTTCGGGCTAGGCCCCTTGTTCCAGTGAAGGGAAATCTTAACGCTACGGCATACAATGACATTCTAGATGATTCGGTGCTTCCAACTTTGTGGCAATCGTTTGGGAAAGGCCCTTTCCTGTTTCAGCATGACAATGCCCCTGTGCACAAAGCGAGGTCCATACAGAAATGGTTTGTCGAGATCGGTGTGGAAGAACTTGACTGGCCTGCACAGAGCCCTGACCTCAATCCCATCGAACACCTTTGTTGCATTCCCTGGCCATCAAGCTGTCCATATAATCAAGGAGGACTTTTACAGAATTACAGGTACAGTAGGCTATGGTCAGTTGACTGCCAGCAATGCTTTGCTAATCTCAAATTAATCAGCCTAGGCAACATGATAAAAATGATAAATAGCCTAATTCATCCCACAGATTTTCAAAACGTTATTGGTGCTATAGATGGGACACATATTCCCCATTCAAAGACCCTCTGGACCAAATGAAGGAGAAAATATTTTCACAGCATAAACAAACAGGTAGCTATTGAAACTGTAGCTTACACTTTCACTAAACCAAATAATTTTCAGAAACAGTCATTAAATTCAATGATCATCCTTACTTATTTTGTCAGATGATCTGTGACTCCCATGGGGTTACAACTAAACATAGAATATATTGTTGCCCGTGTTGTCATGACAAGCACTCTATGAATTCAATAAATTATTATTCATCCTACATAGGCTATGGCTGTGGAATGGGCCTACCATTGCAATTGTGACATAGGCTACTACAACATATTAGGCCTTGACCCTTAATAAGTGCTCTATAAAGTGAAAGCATTATTACTAATCACCCATGTGTGTAAGCTAGGCCTATTAGATATTAGAATCGTGCCACTTCACTTGCGCATTTATTCTGTCTGCAATTTTCTGCCAGGCTCCCTTTCTGGCTTTTGCGGCAGCGGATGTATTACTTTTTTTGGTAAATGGAACATATTTGTTGTATGTTGTTACAATTGTCTCTTGTTCTAGACTTGTGAAATTTTGGGGACTTGTCTTTTGGCTCCATATATATTGTTTTTTCTGTCATCGACATGAGGAGCTTTTTGAATGTTGCGTGCATGCGCCAGTTGTCAGATCAACCAATCTGCGCTTCGCTTAGCCTAATAACTTGAAGGAGAAGCAGCCGTTCTGGAACCAATAAATCCTGGACTCCCTCATCTGGTTAAGACAAGCTGGATATGTTCAGGAAATCCTGAATTTGGAATACCCCCCTGGACTACAAGAGAGACCATAACAACAACACAGGAAGAGAGGAGAAACGTGTTAATAACACAAGACAGGACTATCTATGAGAGACCAAATGAATAACAACAACACAAGACAGGACTATGAGAGACCAAATGAATAACAACAACACAAGACAGGACTATGAGAGACCAAATGAATAACAACAACACAAGACAGGACTATCTATGAGAGACCAAATGAATAACAACAACACAATACAGGACTATCTATGAGAGACCAAATGAATAACAACAACACAATACAGGACTATCTATGAGAGACCAAATGAATAACAACAACACAAGACAGGACTATCTATGAGAGACCAAATGAATAACAACAACACAAGACAGGACTATCTATGAGAGACCAAATGAATAACAACAACACAAGACAGGACTATCTATGAGAGACCAAATGAATAACAACAACACAAGACATGACTATCTATGAGAGACCAAATGAATAACAACAACGCAATACAGGACTATCTATGAGAGACCAAATGAATAACAACAACACAATACAAGAGAGACCAGACACACAAGTTACATGACTACAAAAGAGATCACAGACAATATAATATCACAACACATGGTTATGAGAGACCAGACATGTTAATAAATGGTAATAAAACAAGAAGTGTTTGATAGTGACAGAACAAGATTAAAAAGGAGAGACACTTCACTTCTTTCTTGAACATTAGCTTAGCCAATCACCCTGCTTGGAAAACTCGATCTCATCTCTCTGTTGGAACCATGCCCTGAGAGAGAGAGAGAGAGAACAGGGACACTAAAGTGTGACGCACACACACTCATACGCACACACACTCATATGCACACACACTCATATGCGCACACACACACCGAGTCATATTCATACACACACAAGCACACCAGTTCAGCCTGGCCCAGATTCAACAGATAGTGTAAACGCCCCATTGACTGCAGGCTCATTGTGAGCTGGTCTTAGCAGATAGCCCAGCTGGGCCCCACACTGACACACAATGGCCGCCCGGCAGCACTGAAAACCCTGTCACACTCAGCGACTGCCTGCCCCGGCTCCCTGTGGAGGACTCTATCTGGCTCTATTGTCCCTGTGGATACAGACTGTCTCTCTCTTACACTCGCACAAGCGCACACACACACACACACTCACACACACACATGCACACGACTGACACAATGGTTCTCAGAGTCACTTAGGGGGTCTGGGTTGGGGAGAGAGCCCTTGATGATTATAATGAGGGCATTTAGGGGCTGTCCCATGGGACAGGTAGGTGACTGAAGGGTAATTTTCACCCTGAAAAGACCAATGATTGGCTGTGATTGTGATAATGATCGTCATTATAGGTATTATTGGCAGAGAGGAAAATAAAGGATAGTGATTTGTAAAAGGATTGTCCCCTTGGTCTCAACCAGAATCAGTAGATCTGTAAAAAGAATTGTCCCCTTGGTCTCAGCCAGAATCAGTAGATCTGTAAAAAGGATTGTCCCTTGGTCTCAGCCAGAATCAATAGATCTGTAAAAAGAATTGTCCCCTTGGTCTCAGCCAGAATCAGTAGATCTGTAAAAAGGATTGTCCCTTGGTCTCAGCCAGAATCAGTAGATCTGTAAAAAGAATTGTCCCCTTGGTCTCAGCCAGAATCAGTAGATCTGTAAAAAGGATTGTCCCTTGGTCTCAGCCAGAATCAGTAGATCTGTAAAAAGGATTGTCCCTTTGGTCTCAGCCAGAATCAGTAGATCTGTAAAAACACGCTGTCTTCTTTATATAAGCTGATGCTCTGCTTGTATATTAGGCAAATAGGATGTTTTTCTACAGTAACATTTTATAACATGACTATAACATTTATTTTCTTCATACTTTAGTATGTATAATATAGTACTGCTACAGCACAAAATACATGCTTTTAAATCAGTCCATGTCAGTGACAGTGTGTAGGTGTGTGTGTGTGTGTGTGTGTGTGTAATTAGGGCCCATCAGTCATAATCTGTGCTGGCGTATTGACTGGCACTTAATGTTCTAATCAAACCCTCCCCAGGGTGGCTGCACATGAATGATAGTGCTGCTGCTGAGGGCTCTCTCTCTCTCTCTCTCTCTCTCTCTCTCTCTCTCTCTCTCTCTCTCTCTCTCTCTCTCTCTCTCTCTCTCTCTCTCTCTCTCTCCCATTTCTCTTCCTTCTCTCGTTCTCCTACCATCCTCTTTGCCACATTTTCTTCCACTCCTCTCTCATTCACGTCTCATTCCCCTTCCCCTCTCTCCTCCTCCCCTCTTCTGTCTGTATCTGTCCACCAGTGCTGCTTTCCCTATCCCCAGTTGAGAGGACGAGGGTGGGGGGGTGGGGGGGGGATGTGAAGGGTAGATTGGGGGATGTGTGTCTGTTGTGTAACTGTCTTTGTTTGACACTAGAGGGGGGGTGTCATGCATCAGAGGGACAAAGCCTAAGGGCCCCAAAATTCACACAACCCACAAACATACTGTACATATGTAACACCCAACCTGGAGTCACTTTGCCCTATCTTTCAGAAATGATGAAATGATGGAACCACAACATTCAATAGAAATCTAAACAAAAGCTTCTCTATTGTCCTCTTCATCTCCTCTCTCCATCTCCCTCTTCGTCTGCTTCTTGTCATCCTTTTCTCTCCATTCCATTGGTTCCGCATCGGTGTCCCTCTCTCTCCTTCAATCTCTCTTTCTCTTTCTCTCTCTCCACTCTCTGAAGCAGGAAATAGATTTGGGCCTTCTTATCTCTCCCCAACACAAACCCCCACCCCACTTCCCTCCCCTCACACACATGCACGCACACACACACGCGCACACACACACCCTTCAGCTGGTCGCATCAAAAGCCTCCATTGAGATTCACAGAATTGACAGATAGCTATCAGAGTTTTGTGTGCTTTAATTAAACGTTGACTGAAACTTTAAAGGGATTTGAATATGAATGTCTACTCTCTATCTCATATCAGACAGATTTTAATTAGTTCAACTCTGTCAGAAGAATTACGTGTGTGTGGGGCTAATTTAATGGAGCTCTGTGTTCTCAGCTTAGTTTAGCCATGCAAAAATAACATCCTTGAATATCTTTTGCTTTTGCTCACCTGAAGTAAAGTTAGCTAGATGGCATGTGTGTAGGAGAAGGATCAAAGGTCTATGTGACTGAAACATTTTAAGTGAAATGTTGTAATTGTCAATAAATGTTTGTGTTTACAACACACAATGTTTTGAGTGAATCGGTACAGTGCCTTCGAAAAGTGTTCAGACCCCTTGACCTTTTTCCACATTTTGTTATTCTAAAATGGCAAAAAAAAAAAAAAAAAACATCCTCATCGATCTACACACAATACCCAATAATTATATTTTAGAAATTGTAGCTAATTTATTAAAAATAAAAAACAGAAATACCTTATTTACATAAATATTCAGACCCTTTGCTATGAGACTTGAAATTGAGCTCAGGTGCATCCTGTTTCCATTGATCATTCTTGAGATGTTTCTACAACTTGATTGGAGTCCACCTGTGGTAAATTCAATTGATGGGACATGATTTGGAAAGGCACACACCTGTCTATATAAGGTCCCACGGTTGACAGTGCATATCAGAGCAAAACCAAAACCATGAGGTCGAACGAATTGTCCGTAAAGCTCAGAGACAGGATTGTGTCGAGGCACAGATCTGGGGAAGGGTACCCAACAATTTCTGCAGCATTGAAGGTCCCCAAGAACACAGTGGCCTCCATAATTCTTAAATGGAAGAAGTTTGGAACCACCAAGACTCTTCCTAGAGCTGGCCGCCCGGCCAAACTGAACAATCGGGAGAGATGGGCCTTGGTCAGGGAGGTGACCAAGAACCTGATGGTCACTCTGACAGAGCTCTAGAGTTCCTCTGTGGAGATGGGAGAACCTTCCAGAAGGACAACCATCTCTGCAGCACTCCAAAAAATCAGGCCTTTATGGGAGAGTGGCCAGACGGAAGTCACTCCTCAGTAAAAGGCACATGGCGGCCCGCTTGGAGTTTGCCAAAAGGCACCTGAAGGACTCTCAGACCATGAGAAACAAGATTCTCTGGTCTGAAGAAACCAAGATTTAACTCTTTGGCCTGAATGCCAAGCGTCACATCTGGAGGAACATGGCACCATCCCTACGGTGAAGCATGGTGGTGGCAGCATCATGCTGTGGGGGTGTTTTTCAGCGGCAGGGACTGGGATACTAGTCAGGATCGAGGCAAAGATGTACGGAGCAAAGTACAGAGAGATCCTTGATGAAAACCTGTTCCAGAGCGCTCAGGACCTCAGACTGGGGCGAAGGTTCACCTTCCAACAGGACAACGACCCTAAGCACACAGCCAAGACAACGCAGGAGTGGCTTCGGGACAAGTCTCTGAATATTCTTGAGTGGCCCAGCCAGAGCCCGGACTTGAACCCGATCGAACATCTCTGGAGAGACCTGAAAATAGCTGTGCAGCAACCAACCTGAGAGAGCTTGAGAGGATCTGCAGAAAAGAATGGGAGAAACTCCCCAAATAGACGTGTGCCAAGCTTGTAGCGTCATACCCAAGAAGACTCAAGGCTGTAATCGCTGCCAAAGGTTCTTCAACAAAGTACTGAGTAAAGGGTCTGAATACTTATGTAAATGTGATATTTCTAAAAACCTGTTTTTGCTTTGTCATTATGGGGTATTGTGGGTAGATTGATGTGGGGAAAAAAACAATTTAATTAATTTTAGAAGAAGGCTGTAACCTAACAAAATGTTCAAAAAGTCAAGTGGTCTGAATACTTTCCCAAGGAACCTGTATGTATGGATTGATTGATTTATGGATTCAAATATTGATTGGCAGGTTCACCTATGAGATCGCTCCAGTGTTTGTCCTGATGGAGCAGCTGACGCTGAAGAAGATGAGAGAGATGATTGGCTGGCCCTCGGGAGAGGGGGACGGCATATTCTCACCAGGTATGTAGAAAAATGAGGTGGTTCTGTCCAGGGGTTGGAATCCAAATTATTTTCCAATCGTTTTGTTCTGAACAGAACCATTTTTTTTTTTTCATTCCGTTCCACTGTTCTGAAGTTCTGAACCGGTTCGACCCCAAAAAAGTAGCTGTTTATATCATTAGTTTCTGTTCTTTTTTAAACCTCAGAATCAACATTTTATTTTTACATTTAGCTTGACATTAAATTACTTCACCAATAGAGCAGCTCGCTATGGAGCGGCAAAAGCTATAGTTGTTTACATGCATTCAACAGACAAGTATAGGGTACGAGATGCGACTGAGATTTTGCGGGTGAAGGAGGCTTTCTTTGACACTCCGGACATATTTTTGTTATGACATGCATTATTTGAATTAGGACCACAGAATTATACCTACGGAGGCCCAGTTTCTATGAAGGAACTTTGAATGTCTTTGAACTCCAAGGAGTTGGTTTAACATTCGACCAAAACTAGCTAGCTAGCTAACAAGCTTGTGTGTGCAGAGCAGCACCAGAACGTTAATAAAAACACGTCTTACCTTTTTGTAGTTAATAAATCCAATGTGAAACATGATAACTATAGTATCCTTAACTAGCGTTGAAAAAATGTATACATTCTTCACTAATTCAAAATCTCTTTCCCTAATTTCTAAATCACACTTGTAATGTCGGAGGGGCAGGTAGCCTACACGCACTCACATTGGTAAAGATTTTCAGCTGGCAGGCAGGCAGACACTGGAATAAGAGTGAGGGCTTTGCATATGTGCTTTGTTGCGTTTTTTGTGCGACTGGAAAAAAGATCCTGGATGGTAAAATAACGTTATTAACCGGTTCCCATGCTTCTAAAATAACTGTACTGTTCCGGAACAGTATAGATCACTTTCATTCCCGATTTTGATTCTGTTCCTGTTAAAATGTCAGTTATGTTCCCTGAACCGGTTCCAACCCTTGGTTCTGTCTCTCCGTGTTGGCCTAGCTGCTGTCCCAGTCATGGGCTGACCAGTTATTCCCTCTCCGTCCACAGGGGGTGCCATCTCTAACATGTACAGTGTGATGATTGCTCGCTACAAGTACTTCCCTGAGGTCAAGACCAAGGGCATGTCTGCCGCTCCCCGCCTGGTGCTCTTCACATCAGAACATGTATGTCATGCACACAGACACACACACGCACACACAGACACACAGCCTCACACACTGAAGAAATGAAGGTTTTAAGTTGTTTATATTCCGGTATTTTCCTGTATTCCTACAGAGCCACTACTCTATCAAGAAGGCCGGGGCAGCTCTGGGCTTTGGTTCTGAGAATGTGGTCCTGCTGAGCACAGATGAGAGGTACACTAGAACTACACACACACACACTTCCCGCATTCATTTACCCCCATGCAGTAGATCGGGTTGCACCTGACCCACTGTAGATATACATTAAGATAGATCAGCTGATTCTCTGTTCCTGCTCTCTCTCTCAGGGGGAGAGTTATTCCTGCTGATCTAGAAGCTAAGATCCTCGATGTCAAGCAGAAGGTGAGTCTCTCTCTCCTTCCCTCTCTCTCTCGCTCTATGCCTCTCTCTCTCTGTCTCTGCTTCTCTCAATTCAATTCAATTCAATTCAAAAGGCTTTATTGGCATGGGAAACATATGTTTACATTGCAAAAGCAAGTGAAATAGATAATAAACAAAAGTGAAATAAACAATAAAAAATGAACAGTAAACATTACACTCACAAAAGTTCCAAAAGAATAAAGACATTTCAAATGTCATATTATGTCTATATACAGTGTTATAATGATGTGCAAATAGTTAAAGTACAAAAAGGAAAATAAATAAACATAAATACAGGTTGTATTTACAATGCTGTGTGTTCTTCACTGGTTTACCTTTTCTTGTGGCAACAGGTCACAAATCTTGCTGCTGTGATTGCACACTGTCATATTTCACCCAAGAGATATGGGAGTTTATCCAATTTGGATTTATTTTCTAATTCTTTGTTTGTCTGTGTAATCTGAGGGAAGTATGTGTCTCTAATATGGTCATACATTTGGCAGGAAGTTAGGAAGTGCAGCTCAGTTTCCACCTCATTTTGTGGACATAGCCTGTCTTCTTTTGAGAGCCAGGTCTGCCTACGGCGGCCTTTCTCAATAGCAAGGCTATGCTCACTGAGTCTGTACATAGTCAAAGCTTTCCTTAAGTTTGGGTCAGTCACAGTGGTCAGGTATTCTACCACTGTGTACTCTCTGTTTAGGGCGAAATAGCATTCTAGTTTGCTCTGTTTGTTTTGTTAATTCTTTCCAATGTGTCAAGTAATTATATTTTTGTTTTCTCATGATTTGGTTGGGTCTAATTGCATTGCTGTCCTGGGGCTCTGTGGGGTCTGTTTGTGTTTGTGAACAGAGCCCCCAGGACCAGCTTGCTTAGGGGACTCTTCTCCAGGTTCATCTCTCTGTAGGTGATGGCTTTGTTATGGAAGGTTTGGGAATCGCTTCCTTTTAGGTGATGTATAATTTAGCGGCTCTTTTCTGGATTTAGCGTGTATCGGCCTAATTCTGCTCTGCATGCATTATTTGGTGTTTTATGTTGTACATGGAGGATATGTTTGCAGAATTCTGCATGCAGAGTCTCAATTTGGTGTTTGTCCCATTTTGTGAATTCTTGGTTGTTGAGCGGACCCCAGATCTCGCAACCATAAAGGTCAATGGGTTCTATAACATATTGAAGTATTTTTAGCCAGATCCTAATTGGTACAGTGCCTTGCAAAAGTATTCATCCCCCTTGACATTTTTCCTATTTTGTTGCATTACGACCTGTAATTTAAATGGATTTTTATTTGGATTTCATGTAATGGACACACACAAAATAGTCCAAATTGGTGTAGTGAAATGAAAAAAAAAAACGTATTTCAAAAAATTCTACAAAATTAATAACGCAAAAGTGGTGTGTGCATATGTATTCACCCCCTTTCCAATGAAGACCCTAAATAAGATCTGGTGCAACCAATTACCTTCAGAAGTCACATAATTAGTTAAATAAAGTCCACCTGTGTGCAATCTAAGTGTCACATGATCTGTCACATGATCTCAGTATATACACACCTGTTCTGAAAGGCACCAGAGTCTGCAACACCACTAAGCAAGGGGCACCACCAAGCAAGCGGCACCATGAAGACCAGGGAGCTCTCCAAACAGGTCAGGGACAAAGTTGTGGAGAAGTACAGATCAGGCTTGGGTTATAAAAAAATATCAGAAACTTTGAACATCCCAGGGAGCACCAATATATCCATTATTAAAAAAATGTATGAAAATGGCACCACAACAAACCTGCTAAGAGAGGGCCACCCACCAAAACTCACGGACCAGGCAAGGAGGGCATTAATCAGAGAGGCAACAAAGAGACCAAAGATAACCCTGAAGGAGCTGCAAAGCTCCACAGTGGAGATTGGAGTATCTGTCCATAGGACAACTTTAAGCCATACACTTCACAGAGCTGGGCTTTACGGAAGAGTGGCCAGAAAAAAGCCATTGCTTAAAGAAAAAAATAAGCAAACACGTTTGGTGTTCACCAAAAGCTATATGGGAGACTCCCCAAACATATGGAAGAAGGTAATCTGGTCAGATGAGACTAAAATTGAGCTTTTTGGCCATCAAGGAAAATGCTATGTCTGGCGCAAACCCAACACCTCTCATCACCCAGAGAACACCATCCCCACAGTGAAGTATGGTGGTGGCAGCATCATGCTGTGGGGATGTTTTTCATCGGCAGGGACTGGGAAACTGGTCAGAATTGAAGGAATGATGGATCACACCAAATACAGGGAAATTCTTGAGGGAAACCTTTCAGTCTTCCAGAGATTTGAGACTGGGACGGAGGTTCACCTTCCAGCAGGGCAATGACCCTAAGCATACTGCTAAAGCAACACTCGAGTGGTTTAAGGGGAAACATTTAAATGTCTTGGAATGGTGTTGTCAAAACCCAGACCTCAATCCAATTAAGAATCTGTGGTATGACTTAAAGATTGCTGTACACCAGCGGAACCCATCCAACTTGAAGGAGCTGGAGCTGTTTTGCCTTGAAGAATGGGCAAAAATCCCAGTGGCTAGATGTGCCAAGTTTATAGAGACATACCCCAAGAGACTTGAAGATGTAATTGCTGCAAAAGGTGGCTCTACAAAGTATTGACTTTGGGGGGGTGAATAGTTATGCACGCTCAAGTATTCGGTTATTTTGTCTTATTTCTTGTTTGTTTCACAATAAGAAATATTTCGCATCTTCAAAGTGGTAGGCATGTTGTGTAAATCAAATGATACAACCCCCCCAAAAATCTATTTTAATTCCAGGTTGTAAGGCAACAAAATAGGAAAAATGCCAAGGGGGGTGAATACTTTCGCAAGCCACTGTATGTTGAATTTTATGTTCCTTTTGATGGCATAGCAGGCCCTTCTTGCCTTGTCTCTCAGATCGTTCACAGCTTTGTGGAAGTTACCTGTGGCGCTGATGTTTAGGCCGAGGTATGTATAGTTTTTTGTGTGCTCTAGGGCAACGGTGTCTAGATGGAATTTGTATTTGTGGTCCTGGCAACTGGAGCTTTTTTGGAACACCATTATTTTTGTCTTACTGAGAATTACTGTCAGGGCCCAGGTCTGACAGAATCTGTGCAGGAGATCTAGGTGCTTTTTTGACATCAACAAAGCATGAGAAGACTTTGCCTTTGTTTTGGTTTGTTTGTTTGTCAATTAGGGTGTGCAGGATGAATATGTGGTCTGTTGTATGGTAATTTGGTAAAAATCCAATTTGACATTTGCTCAGTACATTGTTTTCACTGAGGAAATGTACGAGTCTGCTGTTAATGATAATGCAGAGGATTTTCCCAAGGTTGCTGTTGACACATATCCCACGGTAGTTATTGGGGTCATATTTGTCTCCACTTTTGTGGATTGAGGTGATCAGTCCTTGGTTCCAAATATTGGGGAAGATGCCAGAGCTAAGGATGATGTTAAAGAGTTTAAGTATAGCTAATTGAAATTTGTGGTCTGTATATTTTATCATTTCATTGAGGATACCATCAACACCACAGGCCTTTTTGGGTTGGAGGGTGTGTATTTTGTCCTTTAGTTCATTCAATGTAATTGGAGAATCCAGTGGGTTCTGGTAGTCTTTAATAGTTGATTCTAAGATTTGTATTTGATCATGTATATGTTTTTGCTGTTTGTTCTTTGTTATAGGGCCAAAAAGATTGGAGAAGTGGTTTACCCATACATCTCCGTTTTGGATAGATAACTCTTTGTGTTGTTTGTTTAGTGTTTTCCAATTTCCCCAGAAGTGGTTAGAGTCTATGGATTCTTCAATTACATTGAGCTGGTTTCTGACGTGCTGTTCCTTCCTTTTCCGTAGTGTATTTCAGTACTGTTTTAGTGATTCACCATAGTGAAGGCCTCTCTCTCTCTCTCTCTTCCGCTCTCGCTCTCTTTCTCTCTCTGTTTCTCACATGAAGGGGTTACATCCCATTGTGACTTCTGTGATATTGTGTTCCTCCAGGGTTACCATCCTCTGTTTGTGAACGCTACAGCTGGTTCTACAGTCTACGGAGCATTTGACCCCATCAACGAGATCGCTGACATCTGCGAGAAATACAACATGTGGCTGCACGTAGACGTGAGTACTGTGTGTGCGTGTGTCCGTTTGTGTGTTTGGGGACAATATTGTTTTGTCCTATTGATCTAATGCTGTGTGTGTTCTTTCTCCAGGGTGCATGGGGAGGTGGTCTCCTGATGTCCAGGAAGCATCGCCATAAGTTCAGTGGTGTTGAGAGGTACTGACACGCACACACAGACACACAGACACACACTCCTTATTTAACAAAACCAACACACACTAACAGCTGCATTTCCTCTCTCAGGGCTAACTCTGTCACGTGGAATCCTCACAAGATGATGGGAGTGCCTCTACAGTGCTCCGCTATCCTGGTCCGAGAAAAGGTGAGGAACCACACACACACACACCACATGAAGTTGGTGGCACCTTAATTGGGGTGGATGGGCTCGCGTTAATGGCTGGAGCGGAATAAGTGAAATGGTAATAAATACATCAGACAAAAGGTTTGCAGGTGTTTGATGCCATTCCATTAGCTCTGTTCTAGACATGATTATCATCCTCCTGTGACACACACACACACACCCTTTAACCATGCTCTCTCTCTCTGTGTAGGGTATTCTGGCAGGCTGTAACTCCATGTGTGCTGGCTACCTGTTCCAGCCTGATAAACAGTATGATGTCAGCTATGACACGGGAGACAAGGCCATCCAGTGTGGCCGACACGTCGACATCTTCAAGTTCTGGCTCATGTGGAAGGCCAAGGTGAGCTAGTGTAGCCAGTATTTGCTCATATCCAGCCTTCCAATTACATACGGTATAGGCCTAAACCACAAATGGGGTTTCCACACTTATGGGGATGCCCTGCCGTCCCCAGTCAGCACCTCTGTAATTTTTCATCCCTAAATAAATAATTGTAATATTCTCCTTCCACAGGGCACTATAGGATTTGAGCAGCACATTGACAAGTGTCTGGACCTGTCTCAGTACCTCTACGACAAGATCAGAAACAGAGAGGGATACGAGATGGTGTTCCAGGGAGTGGTAAGCTACTGTCCTACTACTTCCTCTATCCTCTCCTCCCTCAGTCATCCCCCCTTCCTTCCTTCCTTCCTTCCTTCCTTCCTTCCTTCCTTCCTTCCTTCCTTCCTTCCTTCCTTCCTTCCTTCCTTCCTTCCTTCCTTCCTTCCTTCCTTCTGTAGTTCCATAGGTCCAAATATTCCAAATGTGTGTCTTCTCTCCGTAGCCCCAGCACACCAACGTGTGTTTCTGGTACATCCCACCCAGTCTGAGAGGTTTGGAACACAACAGCGAGGAGTATCGAGAGAAACTTCACATGGTAAGTGTTGTACAATATTCTAACTTTTCAAGTGTTCTAGAAACGTTATCTTAGAGTTCTAAATATGTTATATTCCCCTCCCATCCTTCAGGTGGCGCCCAAGATCAAGGCGATGATGATGGAGTCAGGGACGACCATGGTGGGCTACCAGCCTCAGGGCCAGAAGGTCAACTTCTTCCGCATGGTCGTCTCCAACCCCGCAGCCCTCCAGTCAGACATCGACTTCCTCATTGACGAGATCGAGAGGCTGGGGCATGACCTGTAGACAGCGCCACCTCAGTGAGCGGAGGCCGAAACTGAAGTTTTCAATGTTTTAGCTGTGACCATAAGAATCGGCTCTGAGATCAAATTTTAGCTGTTCTTGATTTGTCCTAAACAATTCACTCCGTAGGTAGAATGTGTAAACCGTAGCCTTCATGGCGTGTTGGGTACACACTCTGATACTAAGGTTTTACTAACGTGTGTAGAGTCCTGTGTTGTGTGTTTGTGTTCCAGTCCGTTTAACAGTCGTCCAGTAGTCATCTGTCTATCTGTGTTGTACAGTAGATTCATAAGAGGAACCATGGTAATGGAACACAGGGAAACCCTCTACATCAGTGTGTGTGTGTGTGTGCGTGTGAGTGTGTGTGTGTGTAAATACAAATACATGTTTGAGAGCACAAATAGTATACAGTATACACTGAGTGGACAAAACATTAAGAACAGCTTTCAATTATTGAGTTGCTGGCCCATGTTGACTCCAATGCTTCCCACAGTTGTGTCAAGTTGGCTGGATGTCCTTTGGGTGGTGGACCATTCTTGATACACACGGGAAACAGTTGAGCATTAAAAGCAGCAGCGTTGCAGTTCTTGACACAAACTGGTGCGCCTGGCACCTACTACCATACCCCGTCCAAAGGCACTTAAATCTTTTGTCTTGCCCATTCACCGTCTGAATGGCACACATACACAATCCATGTCTCAATTGTCTCAAGGCTTAAAAATCCTTCTTTAACCATCTACACTGATTGAAGTGGATTTAACAAGAGACATCAATAAGTGATCTTGGCTTTCACCTGGATTCACCTGATCAGTCTATATCATGGAAAGAAATGTTCTTAATGTTTTGTACACTCAGTGTATTGTGATATTATGATATATGTGATTCACTTGAGCTCAGTGTATATATAGGATCATTCTAGAGCCAGATGTACCAACTCTAAGCGTTAAACCTTGAACTCAAGTGTGTGTTTTGTGGAGGTGTGTGTAACAGTGTGTGTACCCCGTGCTGTAAACTAACAGTGTATTGACCTTTGAACTATGACCTTAGTGTTGACTGTCGGATGACGTTGCCCCTATATACTGATCTAGGGTCACTATCATGTTTTTCTCCCATATGGTTAATATTAGGGTTTGTGGAGGGTAAGCTGATCCTAGATCTTTGTCTAAAGGCAACGTCTACTTGCAGCGCGTAAAAAACGGTCTCCTTGCGTGTGTGGAACAAGCATACAGTATGGGTCAGTGCTATCCGGGATCATTGGGACATCCCTACCCTAACCCTAACCTTAACCATAACCCTTACCCAACCCTAAACCTTACCTTAACCATTTTACATTTCTACGTCAATGGGGTAGGGACGTCCCAAGGAATTCCGGATAGCATGGACCAAACAGTATGTGACCATTTTTGAAAATGTTTCAATACTAACATAATGATATATATATTTACACAGTACCAGTCCAAAGTTTGGACACACCTACTCATTCAAGGGTTTTTCTTTATTTTTACTATTTTCCACATTGTAGAATAATAGTGACGACATTAAAAATATGAAGTAAGACATATGGAATCATTTAGTAATCAAAAAAGTGTTAAACAAATCAAAATATATTTTATATTTGAGATTCTTCAAATAGCCACCCTTTGCCTTGATGACAGCTTTGCACACGCTTGGCATTCTCTCAACCAGCTTCACCTGGAATGCTTTTCCAACAGTCTTGAAGGAGTTCCCACATATGCTGAGCACTTGTTGGCTGCTTTTCCTTCACTCTGCTGTCCGACTCATCCCAAACCATCTCAATTGGGTTGAGGTCGGGTGATTGTGGAGGCCAGGTCATCTGATGCAGCACTCCATCACTCTCCTTCTTGGTCAAATAGCCCTTACACAGCCTGAGGTGTGTTGGGTCATTGTCCTGTTGAAAAACAAATGATAGTCCCACTAAGCCCAAACCAGATGGGATGGCGTATCGCTGCAGAATGCTGTGGTAGCCATGCTGGTTAAGTGTGCCTTGAATTCTAAATAAATCCTCCTCCATGCTTCACAGTGGGAACCACACATGCGGGGATCATCTGTTCACCTACTCTGCATCTCACAAAGACACGGCGGTTGGAACCAAAAATCTCAAATTTGGACTCATCAGACCAAAGGACAGATTTCCACCGGTCTAATGTCCATTGCTCATGTTTCTTGGCCCAAGCAAGTCTCTTCTTATTAGTGTCCTTTAGTAGTGGTTTCTTTGCAGCAATTCAACCATGAAGGCCTGATTCACACAGTCCCCTCTGAACAGTTGATGTTGAGATGTGTCTGTTACTTGAACTCTGTGAAGCATTTATTTGGGCTGCAATCTGAGGTACAGTTAACTCTAATGAACTTATCCTCTGCAGCAGAGGTAACTCTGGGTCTTCCTTTCCTGTGGCGGTCCTCATGAGAGCCAGTTTTATCATAGCGCTTGATGTTTTTTGCGACTGCACTTAAAGAAACTTTCAAAGTTCTTGAAATTTTCCGGATTGACTGACCTTCATGTCTTAAAGTAATGATGGAGTGTCATTTCTCTTTGCTTATTTGAGCTGTTCTTGCCATAATATGTACGTTGTCACAACACAACTGATTGACTCAAACGCATTAAGAAGGAAATCAATTCCAGAAATTAACTTTTAAGAAGGCACACCTGTTAATTTAAATGCATTCCAGGTGACTACCTCATAAAGCTGGTTGAGCGAATGCCAAGAGTGTGCAAAGCTGTCATCAAGGCAAAGGGTGGCTATTTGAAGAATCGCAAAATATTAAATATATTTTGATTTGTTTAACACTTTTTTGGCTACTACATGATTCCATATGTGTTATTTCATAGTTTTGATGTCTTCACTATTATTCTACAATGTAGAAAATAGTAAAAATAAAGAAAAACCCTTGAATGAGTAGCTGTGTCCAAACTTTTGACTGGTACTGTATATAAAGAAAAATATGTTTTATTTATAGCATTACCGGTGTTTTAAAAGTCAGGTATTTTCTTCCATTTGTATGAGTATCTTTTATTGATATTCTATAGCCTCTATGTAATCTGTAAATTCTGATTAATAATGTCATTAACCAATTATAAATTAATATATTATAGTGAATCTGTGAGCCAAAGAAAGTGAATCGGGAACATACAGCAATCAACAGCCCTTGTGATCGCAGGAATACACTAGATCGTATGTAAGATATTTAAAAAAAGACATACTTATTGACCCTAAACCTTGTGCAATCTTTATGGTGTGTATCTGTGATTGTGTCTTTCTGACTGAATGTTTTGCAGTGATCAGATTGTCTGTATGATACTTAATTATTATGAGATTATAAAGAAATAGATGTTGCCCAGAGCCGTGTGTACAGTACACTACATTTATATAGTACCGAGGGCGTCATTTGAGAAATAACAAAACTCCCAAGTCGTTGTCACTAGTTACCAAAGCCACAAAGTCATAATTATGGTTAAACCCCGCCTATTTCTACAATGTATCTTCTTAAAATCTGATTTTTTTACCATAACCCTAACCACACTGCTAACCTTATGCCTGACCCTAACCTGAAATTAAGACCAAAAACACATTTTTACGATATAGCCAATTTTTGTTGTAACTAGTGGAAACCAAACTTCTATGGCTCTGCTGTCAACTCCCTGCTAGTCCATCATTCAGCGAGAAACACAAGTCTAAAAAGAAGGGAATGTACTCTTCAAAGAAGAGGAGAGAGAAGATTGTTCTTGTCTGACAGGAATACAATTACAGTAATGTAATATACTAACTTATACTGTACCTTCAGTGTTTTGGGAACTCATTGGAAGATCAAAGAGTTTCAGTTAGTGTCTTTAAACAATATTATCCTTCTTTATTTATTTCATTTTAAATGGATGCGTATTGCAGTAAGTTAATTATGTAATTATAAAAATATATATCTTTATGGTATGTAGGGACCAGCTAAGTAAACTGCACAATGACCTCAATCATGTGACTAATCTTGATTTGTATGAAGCCGTAGTGGGAGAATTGTCCTTAGGAAGGTACAGTAGGCACTTTAACTCACAGTCATACTGCAGCACCAATAAAGTCTATGAAAGAAACAGAGTGTGTGTCTGTTGTTTCAACTGTTTCTGGTAGGGCAGGAGTGTGTGTCTGTTGTTTCAACTGTTTCTGGTAGGGCAGGAGTGTGTGTCTGTTGTTTCAACTGTTTCTGGTAGGGCAGGAGTGTGTGTCTGTTGTTTCAACTGTTTCTGGTAGGGCAGGAGTGTGTGTCTGTTGTTTCAACTGTTTCTGGTAGGGCAGGAGTGTGTGTCTGTTGTTTCAACTGTTTCTGGTAGGGCAGGAGTGTGTGTCTGTTGTTTCAACTGTTTCTGGTAGGGCAGGAGTGTGTCGACATTTGCACCCCTTCATGCTGATAAATGTACAGAACACATAGAACGTACACAGACAAACACACACACACACACACACACACACACACACACACAGACACAGTAAACACACACGCACACAGTAAACACACACACACACATAGTGAACACATATACTGTAGGCCTACATAAAGCACAGGAAACAGACACACAAACAAAAGAGCACATCTAGGAGAAAGAAGATGACACCAATTTCCTCCATTACAGTCAGGAGCCAGTTCTCTCTCTCTCTCTCTCTCTCTCTCTCTCTCTCTCTCTCTCTCTCTCTCTCTCTCTCTCTCTCTCTCTCTCTCTCTGTATCAGCCCCCTCTCCTTCACCTCTCGTCCTCTCTCCTCCACCTCTTCCTGTATCAGCCCACTCTCCTCCACCTCTCTTCCTCTCCCTGTATCAGCCCCCCTCTGGCTCTCAGCCACCCATCTGAGTGGAACGATGTGGCATGACTCCCCCTGGTGGTGGCTCTCGACCATGCCTCCATCAGAGCTAAGCAAGCAAGCCGATTGCCGACAAAGGAACCCTGTAAGCTCTAAGACATTTCTACCTCAAAGTCATGAAGATATAGATGTGTAATAAAATGAGATTTCAATTTAAAAACAGAAAACTCTTCATTAAGTAACCAAAAAGGCTATTGGCAGCACCCACACAGTAGAAGGTGATGATATTGTCTGGACTGTAATTGCTCATTACAGCAGTAATTTGGAAGCAGGTGTTCCAATCCTGGGACAATAATGAGAACTAATGAATATGGAGGAGGCAGCGAGAGAGAGAGAGAGAGAGAGAGAGGAGAGAGAGAGGAGACGAGAGAGAGAGATGAGATGAGAGGAGAGGAGAGAGAGAGAGGAGGGAGAGAGGAGAGAGGAGAGGAGAGAGAGAGAGAGAGAGAGAGGAGAGAGAGAGGAGAGAGAGGACGAGGAGAGGAGAGAGAGAGAGAGAGGAGAGAGGAGAGAGAGAGAGAGAGGAGAGAGAGAGAGAGAGAGGAGAGGAGGAGAGAGAGGAGGAGAGAGGAGAGAGAGAGAGAGAGAGTGCACACAGACACACACAGGGACAAGAACATGTGTGGCTGCATGTATGTACACACAGACATCACACCACAAGACATCAGACTGGCATAACATTACAAGATCTCAATACAATTACCCAGTAGAAATAACAGTCAATAAGAGTAAACTCCATTTAGCAGAGGGCAGTCTGAGTGAGGGCAGCATGCTCTGTCCTCTGTCGAGTGTTGCCCTGTCTGAGGATTGGGTCATTCGGCACATTTTATACAAACCCAGTGGAGGCTGCTGAGGGGAGGACGGCTCATAATAATGGCTGGAACGGCGCAAATGGAATGGCATCAAACACTTAGAAACGATGTGTTTAATGTTTTTGATACCATTCCACCTATTCCGCTCCAGCCATTACCACGAACCCGTCCTCCCCAATTAAGGTGCCACCAACCTCCTGTAAAATATACACTGAGGTCAAGCATGGGTCAAACTTGTTCCACATAACTATTATTTTTTACACATTGTTGCAGTTATCATACTTTCCTTGTTTATTTGAAGACTGTTATCAATATTAACCCTTTTTGTTAATTGACTGGATGTTCTTTCTATTTTATTTGTGTATTTAGCTCCTACCCAGGCTATCATGTTTGGGCTGATTATCAGTTACTAGTAAAAACCTAAGATGGAAGCTACATATAGTTATAGAATATACAGTAAACACACTTTCACACTTTTCACATACGCTGCTGCTACTCTGTTTATTATATATCCTGATTGCCTAGTCACTTTTACCCCTACCTACATATACATACTGTATTACCTCAATTACCTCAACTACCTCATACCCCTGCACATTGACTCGGTACTGGTACTCCTCGTATATAGCCTCATTATTGTTTTTATTGCGTTACTACAAATATTTTTCTTACTTTTTAACTCTGCATTGTTGGGAATGGGCTTGTAATTAAAGTCAACACCTGTTGTATTCGGTGCATGTGACCAATACAATTTGATTTGATTTAAATCATAACCTGCTGCTTTAGCTTTGTAAACTAATCACAGAAAGGTTTATTTTTTCAGTTGGTTATTTGTCTCTATTCTTGTATTCTGTATTTTATGTTGCTGTTGCTGTTTGTTTAGTTTTTTGGTATGTTTTTGTCTTTGTAAAGTAGGAAATAGAAGAACAAAAAAACGTTATAGTGTACACTGGTTCTGTCCATAGACATTAAAGCCAGTAGATAGTGATAGCGCTGACGTCATCCACGTATTGCTATGGAAAACTCCCGACGGCGCAAGAAGCCGGAAGTAGTTTAATTTGAAGCGCACCATATTACCAAATATTTTTATCCCTAAACAAGGATAGACCACAGCCTGTCGTTTCCAATTGGGAAAAATGAGTCATAGTGGGCAGAAAAAGGAAGGAGATGGGCAGGGCCAAGCACGAGCTAGCGAGATCCTATTGGCGGGTTCTAGCATGCATCTGCTTATTTCCGTTAGGGAACGCCTACTCTGTGTGCAATAACTTAATTATTCTTTGCACTCCTTCTAAACAACGCCATTTTTTAAAACTTCTGCAAAGGGTAAAGTCTACAAAACTTAGTCTGTGCACCACTAATGTTAAAGCATGATCCTCAGGAGGAGACAGTAGGACACTTACATACACAATGTTACAGCATCCCCACCCTCTCTTGAAGCGTCCTCACCCACACACAAAGCCCTGCATGCTAACCAATACTCTCCTACAAAGACTATCCCACTGCTGCCACCAACGTAACAGTGCGACGTGGAGAGAGGGTAAGCTGCAACGGGTGATCGGTCCATGGACATTGTGTGATAAAGCCAGAGCCTCTGGTGGAGGCAGTAGAAGACTCCCAGATGTCATGTTACAGTGATAAAGGTTCAGATGAGTGTCCTTTTGTTAGTCCTGTTTCTCCTGTACTTTCAGACCAGGCAGGTTCACGTCTGTCATTATTCTCTCTCTCTCTCCGCCTCCTGGTTCCACCGCTTCGCCTGACTTATGCCTTCATGTGGCATGTGGCTCAGCAACGTGATGTGATGCAGTATGGCAAGCTGGAGGAGATTGTGACCATTGTGACAGAAATGGTTCCAGAGCTGCTGACTTCCAGGCAGAGGACCCAACTCATCCTGGGATTGAGAACGAGGATGGTTTTAGAGATGTTTCGCTGTGAAAACCCACCGGGTCCCCAGACCATCCAGACTAATTTGGATATAATCAAAGTTTCTACAGTAACAGTACCCTCCACGGCCATGAACAACAGTCCACAGTGTAGAAATGAGTTGGAGTTGGAGGCTGCAGAGTCTAACTTTGTGGAGCTGGTCCAAACACTGCTAGAAAACCCTTCTGAGAGGGAACACTTCTTCTCACAAAACACCAGTGACATTCAGGTGCATATTTATACACATCCACAGGTGTTATCTGGCATAGCAATCACATCCAATGTCTTATTCACTAATTAAATGATTTATTATATTACACTTATTGTATGCTGGACAATCTGTTTTCTCAGGAGGTGTTCTCAGTGCGTTACTTTCCTCTGTATGATACAGCACTACAGATACTGGTGTGGCAGTTCCTCTCCAGACTGGAGGAGCTGCTGCCTGTAGCAGACCTCCATCAGATAGCCTCCTATCTCCACAGCTCCCCCTCTGACCTGGATGACCTCTGGATGTCCCACGCTGACCCTGAGCAGCTGAAGACCCTGCTACAGCATCACAGACAACTGGGACACCTGAGTAAAGATACCGTTGTTGTCTCCAACAACAGTGTGGCAGACACCATCTTGTCTACATTGTCACTGACTCAAACCCACCACCCCAAGTCAAGTCTAGATGGACATGAAGGATTGGAAGTGAGCACAGAGGGGAGAACAGCAGGATGTGGCGAGGAGAAAGGGGAGCAGGGACTGTTGCATAGTGAGGAGGAAGAACAAGACAAAGGAGGAGAGTTGCATTGTGAAAATACCTTGGAAGATGACACAGACAGCGGTGAAGTAGGTGTGACAGAAGGAGGTGAGACAGGGGGAGGTGAAACAGGAGGTGGTGAGACAGGGGGAGGTGAGACAGGGGGAGGTGAGACAGGGGGAGGTGAAACAGGAGGTGGTGAGACAGGGGGAGGTGAGACAGGGGGAGGTGAGACAGGGGGAGGTGAGACAGGGGGAGGTGAGACAGGAGGTGGTGAGACAGGAGGTGAGACGGGGAGGTGAGACAGGAGGTGGTGAGACAGGAGGTGGTGAGACAGGGGGAGGTGAGACAGGGGGAGGTGAGACAGGAGGTGGTGAGACAGGAGGTGGTGAGACAGGGGGAGGTGAGACAGGAGGTGGTGAGACAGGGGGAGGTGAGACAGGAGGTGGTGAGACAGGGGGAGGTGAGACAGGAGGTGGGGATGAAAGAGGACCGAAGGATGGAAGGTGACGTAGCAAACATTTACATTTACGTCATTTAGCAGACGCTCTTATCCAGAGCGACTTACAAATTGGTGCATTCACCTTATAGCCAGTGGGATAACCACTTTACAATATGTTTATTTTTATTTTATTTTTATTTTTTGGGGGGTGGGGTAAGGGGGGGTAGAAGGATTACTTTATCCTATCCCAGGTATTCCTTAAAGAGGTGGGGTTTCAAGTGTCTCCGGAAGGTGGTGAGTGACTCCGCCGTCCTGGCGTCGTGAGGGAGCTTGTTCCACCATTGGGGTGCCAGAGCAGCGAACAGTTTTGACTGTGCTGAGTGGGAACTGTGCTTCCGCAGAGGTAGGGGGGCCAGCAGGCCAGAGGTGGATGAACGCAATGCCCTCGTTTGGGTGTAGGGACTGATCAGAGCCTGAAGGTATGGAGGTGCCGTTCCCCTCACAGCTCCGTAGGCAAGCACCATGGTCTTTTAGCAGATGCGAGCTTCAACTGGAAGCCAGTGGAGTGTGCGGAGGAGCGGGGTGACGTGAGAGAACTTGGGAAGGTTGAACACCAGACGGGCTGCGGCATTCTGGATGAGTTGTAGGGGTTTAATGGCACAGGTAGGGAGCCCAGCCAACAGCGAGTTGCAGTAATCCAGACGGGAGATGACAAGTGCCTGGATTAGGACCTGTGCCGCTTCCTGTGTAAGGCAGGGTCGTACTCTCCGAATGTTGTAGAGCATAAACCTACAGGATCGGGTCACCACCTTGATGTTAGCGGAGAACGACAGGGTGTTGTCCAGGGTCACGCCAATACTTTTTGCACTCTGGGAGGAGGACACAACGGAGTTGTCAACCGTGATGGCGAGATCATGGAACGGGCAGTCCTTCCCCGGGAGGAAGAGTAGCTCCGTCTTGCCGAGGTTCAGCTTGAGGTGGTGATCCGTCATCCACACTGATATGTCTGCCAGACATGCAGAGATGCGATTCGCCACCTGGTTATCAGAAGGGGGAAAGGAGAAGATTAGTTGTGTGTCGTCTGCGTAGCAATGATAGGAGAGGCCATGTGAGGATATGACAGAGCCAAGTGACTTGGTGTATAGCGAGAATAGGAGAGGGCCTAGAACTGAGCCCTGGGGGACACCAGTGGTGAGAGCACGTGGTGCGGAGACAGATTCTCACCACGCTACTTGGTAGGAGCGACCTGTCAGGTAGGATGCAATCCAAGAGTGAGCCGCGCCGGAGATGCCCAACTCAGAGAGGGTGGAGAGGAGGATCTGATGGTTCACAGTATCAAAGGCAGCAGACAGGTCTAGAAGGACAAGGGCAGAGGAGAGAGAGTTAGCTTTAGCAGTGCGGAGAGCCTTCGTGACACAGAGAAGAGCAGTCTCAGTTGAATGACCAGTCTTGAAACCTGACTGGTTTGGATCAAGAAGGTCATTCTGAGAGAGATAGCAAGAGAGTTGGCTAAAGACGGCACGCTCAAGAGTTTTGGAGAGAAAAGAAAGAAGGGATACTGGTCTGTAGTTGTTGACATCGGAGGGATCGAGTGTAGGTTTTTTGAGAAGGGGTGCTACTCTCGCTCTCTTGAAGACGGAAGGGACATAGCCAGTGGTCAAGAATGAATTGATGAGCGAGGTGAGGTAAGGGAGAAGGTCTCCGGAAATGGTCTGGAGAAGAGAGCAGGGGATAGGGTCAAGCGGGCAGGTTGTTGGGCAGCCGGCCGTCACAAGTCGCAATATTTAATCTGGAGAGAGAGGGGAGAAAGAAGTCAAAGCATAGGGTAGGGCAGTGTGAGCAGGACCAGCAGTGTCATTTGACTTAACAAACGAAGATTGGATGTCGTCAACCTTCTTTTCAAAATGGTTGACGAAGTCATCCACAGAGAGGGAGGAGGGGGGGGGGGGGGAGGATTCAGCAGGGAGGAGAAGGTGGCAAAGAGCTTCCTAGGGTTAGAGGCAGATGCTTGGAATTTAGAGTGGTAGAAAGTGGCTTTAGCAGCAGAAACAGAGGAATAAAATGTAGAGAGGAGGGAGTGAAAAGATGCCAGGTCTGCAGGGAGTCTAGTTTTCCTCCATTTCCGCTCGGCTGCCCGGAGCCCTGTTCTGTGAGCTCGCAATGAGTCGTCAAGCCACGGAGCAGGAGGGGAGGACCGAGCCGGCCGGGAGGATAGGGGACATAGAGAGTCAAAGGATGCAGAAAGGGAGGAGAGGAGGGTTGAGGAGGCAGAATCAGGAGATTGGAGGGAGAAGGATTGAGCAGAGGGAAGAGATGATAGGATGGAAGAGGAGAGAGTAGAGGGAGAGAGAGAGCGAAGGTTGCAACGGCGCATTACCATCTGAGTAGGGGCAGAGTGAGTAGTGTTGGAGGAGAGCGAGAGAGAAAAGGATACAAAGTAGTGGTCGGAGACATGGAGGGGAGTTGCAGTGAGATTAGTAGAAGAACAGCATCTAGTAAAGATGAGGTCAAGCGTATTGCCTGCCTTGTGAGTAGGGGGGGACGGTGAGAGGGTAAGGTCAAAAGAGGAGAGGGGTGGAAAGAAGGAGGCAGAGAGAAATGCGTCAAAGGTAGACGTAGGGAGGTTAAAGTCACCCAGAACTGTGAGGGGTGAGCCATCCTCAGGAAAGGAACTTATCAAGGCGTCAAGCTCATTGATGAACTTTCCAAGGGAACCTGGAGGGCGATAAATGATAAGGATGTTAAGCTTGAATGGGCTAGTGACTGTGACAGCATGGAATTCAAATGAGGAGATAGACAGATGGGTCAGGGGAAAAAGAGAGAATGTCCACTTGGTAGAGATGAGGATTCCTGTGCCACCTCCCCGCTGACCAGATGCTCTCGGGGTATGCGAGAACACATGGTCAGACGAGGAGAGAGCAGTAGGAGTAGCAATGTTTTCAGTGGTAATCCATGTTTCCGTCAGCACCAAGAAGTGGAGGGACTGGAGGATAGCATAGGCTGAGATGAACTCTGCCTTGTTGGCCGCAGAACGGCAGTTCCAGAGGCTGCCGGAGACCTGGAACTCCACGTGGGTCGTGCGCACAGGGACCACCAGGTTAGAGTGGCAGCACCCACACGGTGTGAGGCGTTTGTATAGCCTGTGCGGAGAGGAGAGAACAGGGATAGACAGACGCATAGTTGACAGGCTACAGAAAATGGCTACAATAATGCAAAGGAGATCGGATTGAAATGAACTAAACATCTGGGAAAGCGAGAGAGCGGGGCCTCCCTCACTTACGTTTCACTGAAACACCCAAATATAACTCTCCCAACTTCCACCTCAGAAACTATAACTGTTGTAAACTTCAGCGGTTCAATGTTTTCTAGGAATAGACTAATTTAGTTTATTCAGCTAGCTAACTTGGTACAGTGTTCTTCTGTGAAAACCGTCCAGGGCACCGAATCCTATGACGCCACAGCCAACTAGCATGCCAGCCTCCAACAACACGGTTTAGCACCAATACTCGGCCACAACAAACCACCAGTGTGTCAACACGCCAAGCAGATCATTCATGTCCGTGTCTAACGTTGTGGGTTAGTCCCGACAGCTTGAGCGAGTCCGTCGTCAACTTATTCAACCAGTTAGTTAGCTAGAATAGTTAGCATACTAGCTAGCCATTGCTTTCTGCCAACAAATAAAAAAAACTCCTCCCACGGCACGAACACACAGGTCAACAGCAACAAAGAGTGACTTCCTCACCATCAGTGACCTCCTCTCTGAGTGAACACGAGGACTCAGGAGGACAGACTAGGGTCTTGTCCTCTCAGGTCTTCTCCTGGCCCCAGTGCACATTCTCCCATGGAGACATGGTGGAGTTCAACAAGCACTTCTGGAAGAAACAAGAAACACCCACAGAGGAAGAGCTCCTCAGCCAAGAAGTACACCTGCTTTAAATGTGGGAAGGTTTTCAAAGGCCCAGCACACCTGAAGCGACATCAGAGCATTCACACAGTAGCATGGTCCTTCCACTGTGACCAGTGTGATAAAAATGCTAAATCAAAAGGCGGTCTAAGAGTGCACCAACGACATCACGCGGGGCAGTCATTTCTGTGTAGCGTATGTGGGAAGGCTTTCAAAGGCCCAGCACACCTGAAGCGACTTCAGAGCGTTCACACAGTTGTGCACCCCTTCCACTGTGAACAGTGTGATAAGTGATTTAAATCAAAAGACGGTCTAAGATTGCACCAACGACATCATGCGGGGAAAAGGCCACATGTATGTCCACAGTGTGGCAAGGGTTACACTGCTGCACAGGTCTTAAAAATACACCTGCGCATTCACAGTGGGGAACGACCTTACAGGTGCTCTGTCTGTGGGAAGAGGTTCATTTAGAAGAATCCATTGGTTCGACACCTCATGATGCACAAAGGGGAGAAGTCGTTCCTGTGTAGCGTATGTGGAAAGGCTTTTCTAGTGTCCGGGGAGCTGCACAGGCACAAGCGTTATCAGACAGGGAAATGACCTTTCATTTGTACACACTGTGGAAAAGCTTTCATCACGTCCATGGCTGTCAAAGTACATGAGCGATGGCACACAGGTGAGAACCCGTTCGCCTTCTCTGTGTGCCCAATGCGGTTCGGCTCCGGAACTGGCCTTCAGAGACACAGGTTTGTTCATAATGATGAGAAGCCCTATCTTTGCTTCAAGTGTGGGAAGGGTTTTACTCAAAGGTCCAATATGAGAATACATTTAAAACTCATCAGAAATAATCTAATACTTGGAGCTATATTGCTGTCATTCATTTTTGTCTGACTAAAGTGACTTTTGTTTATTTATTTTGTATTTAATTCACAGAGATTGAATTAATGCAGGTGGTGTCCACATGAACACACAAAATAAACCGTTAGTGGATATAAACTGGTTCTATCACGTGTTTTTGATCATGGGGCTGCACAAATATATATTTTCTGTTAATCATTACATACTTTTGCTGATGAGACTGTATATTAGTAAGACTGTATATTAGTAAGACTGTATATTAGTAAGCCAAATTCAACATTATTGGTCCCAGAAGAGGACTTTTTCCTCTTTGAATCCGGAAGTTAAACTCAAGTTTTTTTCTATTCCCAGAGATTGAAACAATGCATTGCCCATAGTTACTCATTCGTATAGTTTTCATTTTAGGTAATACAGATGAATACACTCAATTTGTACAGTTGAAGTCGGAAATTTACATACACTTAGGTTGGAGTCATTAAAACTTGTTTTTCAACCACTCCACAAATGTCCTGTTAACAAACTATAGTTTTGGCAAGTCGGTTAGGACATCTACTTTGTGCATGACACAAGTAATTTTTCCAACAATTGTTAACAGACAGATTATTTCACTTACGATCCTCTGTAGCTCAGCTGGTAGAGCACGGCGCTTGTAACGCCAGGGTAGTGGGTTCGATCCCCGGGACCAACCCAAACACAAAAATGTATGTATGCACGCATGACTGTAAGTTGCTTTGGATAAAAGCGTCTGCTAAATGGCATATTATATTACTAATAACTCACTCTATCACAATTCCAGTGGGTCAGAAGTTTACATACACTAAGTTGACTGTGCCTTTAAACAGCTTGGAAAATTCCAGAAAATGATGTCATGGCTTTAGAAGATTCCGATAGGCTAATTGACATCATTTGAGTCAATTGGAGGTGTACCTGTGGATGTATTTCAAGGCCTACCTTCAAACTCAGTGCCTCTTTGCTTGACATTATGGGAAAATCAAAAGAAATCAGCCAAGAACTCAGAAAGATATTGTAGATCTCCACAAGTCTGGTTCATCCTTCGGAGCAATTTCCAAACGCCTGAAGGTACCACGTTCATCTGTACAAACAATAGTACGCAAGTATAAACACCATGGGACCACGCAGCTGTCATACCGCTCAGGAAGGAGATGCGTTCTGTCTCCTGGAGATGAATGTACTTTGGTGCGAAAAGTGAAAATCAATCCCAGAACAACAGCAAAGGACCTTGTGAAGATGCTGGAGGAAGCAGGTGCAAAAGTATCTATATCCACAGTAAAACGAGTCCTATATCGACATAACCTGAAAGGCCGCTCAGCAAGGAAGAAGCCACTGCTCCAAAACCGCCATAAAAAAGCCAGACTACGGTTTGCAACTGCACATGGGGACAAAGATCTTACTTTTTGGAGAAATGTCCTTTGGTCTGATGAAACAAGAATATAACTGTTTGGCCATAATGACCATCATTATGTTTGGAGGAAAAAGAGGGTTGCTTGCAAGCCGAAGAACACCATCCCAATTGTGAAGCACGGGGGTGGCAGCATCATGCTGTGGCGGTGCTTTGCTGCAGGAGGGACTGGTGCACTTCACAAAATAGATGGCATAATGAGGAAGGAAAATGTTGTGGATATATTGAAGCAACATCTCAAGACATCAGTCAGGAAGTTAAAGCTTGGTCGCAAATGGGTCTTCCAAATGGACAATGACCCCAAGCATACTTCCAAAGTGGTAGCAAAATGGCTTAAGGACAACAAAGTCAAGGTATTGGAGTGGCCATCACAAAGCCCTGACCTCAATCCTATAGAAAATGTGTGGGCAGAACTGAAAAAGCGTGTGCAAGCAAGGAGGCCTACAAACCTGACTCAGTTACACCAGCTCTGTCAGGAGGAATGGGCCAAAATTCACCCAACTTATTGTGGGAAGCTTGTGGAAGGCTACCCGAAACGTTTGACCCAAGTTAAACAATTTAAAGGCAATGCTACCAAATACTAATTGAGTGTATGTAAACTTCTGACCCACTGGGAATGTGATGAAAGAAATAAAAGCTGAAATAAATAATTCTCTCTACTATTATTCTGACATTTCACATTCTTAAAATAAAGTGGTCATCCTAACTGACCTAAGACAGGGAATTTTTACTAGGATTAAATGTCAGGAATTGTGAAAAACTGAGTTTAAATGTATTTGGCTAAGGTGTATGTAAACTTCCGACTTCAACTGTATGTGTCAAGAGGAAAGCTGTCATTATCTGACCCCGATAACACACATATCAATCAAAGTGTATTGGTCGCGTACACCAGTTCTTGACTTGGGAGTACCGGCACCTCAAATGTTCTACTGCCTGAGCTCCTGCTTCTCTTATAGAATATTAGCTCAAAAGTATTGTGGAGCTCCTGCACCTAAACATAAACAGTACTCAAATCAAATCAAATCGTATTTGTCACGTGCGCCGAATACAACAGGTGTAGACCTTACCGTTAAATGCTTACTTACAAGCCCTTAACCAACAATGCAGTTCAAGAAATATTTACAAAATAAACTAAAGTTTTAAAAAATACAAATACAAATAAATAACACAATAAAATAACAATAACTAGGCTACATACAGGGGGTACGGTACTGAGTCAATGTGTGGGGGTACAGGTTAGTCATGGTAATTTGTACATGTAGGTAGGGGTAAAGTGACTAGGCATAGATTATAAACAGCGAATAGCAGCAGTGTAAAAACAAAGGGAGGGGTGGGGTGCCAATGTAAATAGTCCGGGTGGCCATTTGATTAATTGTTCAGCAGTCTTATGGCTTGGGGGTAGAAGCTATTAAGGAGCCTTTTGGTCCTAGACTTGGCGCTCCGGTATCGCTTGCCGTGTGGTAGCAGAGAGAACAGTCTATGACTTGGGTGACTGGAGACTTTTTGAGGATCTGGGGACCCATGCCAAATATTTTCAGTCTCCTGAGGGGGAAAAGGTGTTGTCGTGCCCTCTTCACAACTGCATTGGTGTTTTTGGACCATGACAGTTCGTTGGTGATAAGGACACCAAGGAACTTGAAATTCTCAACCTGCTCCACTACAGCCCCGTCGATGAGAATGTGGGCCTGTTCGGCTCACCTTTTCCTGTAGTCCACGATCAGCTCCTTTGTCTTGCTCACATTGAGGGAGAGGTTGTTGTCCTTAGCTTAGTGATGAGCTTTGTGGGCACTATGGTGTTGAACGCTGAGCTGTAGTCAATGAACAGCATTCTCACATAGGTGTTCCTTTTGTCCAGGTGGGAAAGAGCAACGTGGAGTGCGATTGAGATTGCGTCATCTGTGGATCTGTTGGGGCGGTATGCGAATTGGAGTGGGTCTAGGGATTCCTGGATGATGGTGTTGATGTGAGTCATGACCAGCCTTCCAAAGCACTTCATGGCTACCAACGTGAGTGCTAAGGGGTGGTAATCATTTAGGCAGGTTACCTTCGCTTCCTTGGGCACTGGGACTATGGTAGTCTGCTTGAAACATGTAGGTATTACAGACTTGGTCAGGGAGAGGTTGAAATTGTCAGTGAAGACACTTGCCAGTTGGTCCGCGCATGCTTTGAGTACACATCCTGGTAATCCGTCTGGCCCCGCGGCTTTGTGAATGTTGACCTGTTTAAAGGTCTTGCTCACATCGGCTACGGAGAGCGTGATCACACAGTTGTCCGGAACAGCTGGTGATCTCATGCATTCTTCAGTGTTGCTTGCCTCGAAGCAAAACAGTTCTGTAGCGTAGCATCCGCGTCATCTGACCACTTCCGTATTGAGCGAGTCACTGGTACCTCCTGCTTTAGTTTTTGCTTGGAAGCAGGAATCAGGAGGATAGAATTATGGTCAGTACTGGCACCCAAAATGAGTACCGGCACCTATTTCAGTCCAAGTCAAGCACTGGCTTACACAGATTTGCAGATTTTGTCGCAGGTGCAGCGATATATACAGTGAGGGTACAAAATATGAAGTGCACCTTCCTGAATAGCACACACACAAAATCCATTTCTCAATTGTCTCAAGGCTTAAAAAGTATTATTTAACCTATCTCCTCCCCTACATCTACACTGATTGAAGTGGATTTCAAAAGTGACATCAATAAGGGATCATAGCTTTCACCTGGTCAGTCTGTCATGGAAAGAGCAGGTGTTCTTAATGTTCTGTCCACTCAGTGTACATGTACACATTCACACACATGTTAAGTGAGTTTTTAACACCCTAGAAGGCAGCTAGGTGGAAGATTATACTGGTAGGCTAGTGGTAGTAGTAGAACCTGTTAAGTTGCGTCCATTCAAATCTGGTGTTGGGAACAAAAGAGGTCAACACGACTTCTAAGATATACTAGTATTTTAATTAATGCAAACACTTCAATGGTAAATATTATGTTCGTATATACGGGTCCACTGAAATACCACACAGGGCACTCAGAGAACTGATCCATTGTTCTAAGTTCTTCTCCAAATACTCTGACAGAGATAGTTCCCGCTCCCTGCTGGCCAATCAGAGTAGAGTCTGAGCGTGGTTTAGACTTACTCAGCCTATCGTTGGCGCACAGGCTGGTCCCAGTCCCTTGGCGCTTCACTGTTGCCAGGTGTCTAGTTGTTTTGCAACTTCAGACATAGTCTGTTCCTCTCCACTGTAGCAGAACACATGTCCTTGAGCGCGGTTTAACAAAGAGGCGGTGTGTATGTGTCTGTGAGAATCACAAGTCTGTCTCACCCTACTCCCTAACATTCCTCACATGAATCACAGCTTGTTATGTTAAACAATTTATATCAGTACAGTACAAACCTATTATGTTTAATCATTAATGCATTCTTTCTAAGCTAGGCATCACATCCAGTTATAAGAAAATAGATCCCCACAAACCATAAAAACATACATTATTAAATACCTTACGATTGAAAGGTTTACACAGATTTACAAAGGTTTAAACTGTCGTAAGTGTATATTATCAGTGACAGTTTAGATTCATATTCACTTACCAGTGACACTTTATCAATCTGTTTCCCCTTCTTTTTTTTAAAGGTGACAAACGTATGGTAGGTTTTACAGTGTATTGTGATATAATGGTACAACATGCCAATACTAGTACTACTGTCTGAGTATACTGTATATCACAATTCAAAAGCAGCACCTGAAACACTACACCTGCGCATGTCACCAGCCTACACCTGGCCCTAGACACTGGTCTTCGGTCAGTTTTGCAATTTTCCCACTAATTAATATGGAGAGGTTTTGGGTGGATAAACTGATTCCAGATCTGCGGCTATGGGAAAACTCCCATCAGCCCTGTTTCCTGGTGGACTGCCACGTAACAACACAAGCGCTCAGCTGGTACTGCAGGCTACCGTAGTGGAGTTGGAGCTAGCCAGCTAGCAAAATTACCGGAGTAGAAAAATATCTAGCATTAAATCCTAACTACGATATAAACCAGCCGTGTCATGGGGGGATCGCAGAGTGTCGAGATACCGGGAGGAGGATCCGAAGGTTACCATGTTCTTCGGGTATGTGTTTGTTTTTCTTTTTGACGTCCGCAAAATAATGTTAGCTATCTGGCTAGCTAACGTTAGCATCCGCAGGAGTGGTCCCTCAGCAGGACCTAATTGTGGCCTCACGGTCAAATAGAGGCTGGGGATCACATTCCGGCCTACATGTAGCTAATGCTAATAAGCAGTGTTAACGCTACTTTCCCCAGCATTTGCTACAGTTCCATTGTGGAATTGTCCAAGTTAAACGTTTGCATGTATCATTTTACATGCAGCTTTGAAAGGTATATGCGTTTTATTGGTTGCATGTATTGTTTGGCAAGCACGGTTAACTGTCAAAACAACCAGGCAGTTAGCATTAATGTCGTTTAAATGAGTTAGCCAGCTCAATGCTAGCTAGTTGTCAAAATATTGCCGCGTTACTGACAGAATCCTCAACATCACAGAGTCATGTCTTTGTTCTACACATTTGTCCCACCACCTGAATGTCTCATTGCTCCCTAAATGTATAGACCTCCATCTTAAATATGTTGATGTGACAAGGATCTTGAGACAGACAGGTAGCCAACCTTCTGGTATTACAGGCGTAGCTTGTAATACCTGTTTCATTCAAAGGCTACTGCTAAAATTTCAAAGATGATGTGCAACGCCATAACCTTTGCCAAGAAGACTGGATCTTGGCTGGATCTCATGGCACAGGCAGTAGTGTGAATACCCTGTAACTTCCATGGTCCTTGTTCAAGCCTTGCTCCAGCTGCTCCCCTTCAATCACAAAATACAGTTGTTACAAGTCATGTCTCCTCTCTCTTCTGCTCAGGTTCAGGAGAATTCTCCAGGACACCGGGCAGGACTGGAGCCTTTCTTTGACTTCATCGTCTCCATCAACAACGAAAGACTGGTAAGCAAAGACATGCTGTTGAATCGGTATGTTCAACACACACTTACTACATGCACATTCACAAACCCCCACTGACAGTGAGGATGCTGGCTTATATTGTATAGCTCTAATGAATGTCCATTCTACTTATTCTAATTATATAATTTACCCTGTCTGTGTTTCAGAACAAGGACAATGACACTCTGAAGGACCTGTTGAAGGCCAGTGTGGAGAAGCCGGTTAGAATGCTGGTCTACTCCTCTAAGACCCTGGAGCTCAGGGAGTCCACAGTCACCCCTAGCAACCTCTGGGGTGGCCAGGGCCTGCTGGGTGTCTCCATACGCTTCTGCAGCTTCGAGGGAGCCAATGAGAACATCTGGCATGTGCTGGTGAGTAGCCAGTAGCCAATGGGTGTGCCCAATTTAGCTCGCCCCAGTGTACTGATATAAGGTGATTAACCAAGGGTCTCTCTCTTTCTCAGGAGGTGGAGCCTAACTCTCCGGCAGCCCTGGCTGGCTTGCGGCCCCACACTGATTACATCATAGGAGCCGACACCGTTATGAACGAGGTGCGCACATACTGACACTACTACACCATGCATTCTACTCTAGGAGTTAAGACTGGGAGCTTCACAAAATAGCCAATCAAAGCATTTGGATACGAGTCATTGAAGTTGATCGCTATCTCTTCCACCTCTCTTCCTCCCCCTCAGTCGGAGGACCTGTTTTCTCTGATAGAGACCCATGAGGGGAAGGGATTGAAGCTATATGTCTATAACACAGACACAGACAACTGCAGAGAGGTGGTCATCACCCCCAACAGTTCCTGGGGAGGGGATGGCAGGTAACCAACATACAATACACACGCCACACACACACCTCAGTCTGACGAGTGACATCACACTAATGCTATCTCCTGTTTCCCTGTTCTAGTCTGGGATGTGGGATCGGATACGGATACCTACACAGAATTCCCACCCGGCCATTTGAAGAAGGGAAGAAGATTAGTTTTCCGGGTCACATTCCCAGTGGTGAGCCCATCAGCCCGCTCAAGGATGGATTTACTGAGGTTAGTATTGACCCAGAACTCGACCAAAACAGAGCCAGAATCACAACGGCTATAACTGCATGGACAGTCAGTGGACACTGTCACTTTATGCTCTTTTGTAATCCTTCTACAATGACATACACTGAGTGTACAAAACATTAAGAACTCTTTCCATGACATAGACAGACCAGGTGAATCCAGGTGAAAGCTATGGTCCTTTATTGATGCCACTTGTTAAATCCACTTCAATCAGTGCAGATGAAGGGGAGGAGACAGGTTATAGAAGGATTTTTAAGCCTTGAAACATATATTGTGTATGTGTGCCATTCAGAGGGGGACTGGGCAAGACAAAATATTTAAGTGCCTTTGAACGGGTTATGGTAGTAGGTGCCAGGTGCACTGGTTTGTGTCAAGAACTGCAACGCTGCTGGGTTTTTCACGCCAACTTGACACAACTGTGGGAAGCATTGGCGTCAACATGGGCAGAGCATCCCTGTGGAACGCTTTCGACACCTTGTAGAGTCCATGCCCTGACGAATTGAGGCTGTTCTGAGGGCAAAAGGAGGAGGAGGTGGTGCCACTCAATATTACGAAGGTGTTCTTAATGTTTTGTCCACTCAGTATTTATTGGGCAGTATGTATAGCTTTAGTCTCAGACTCATAATAGTAGTCCATCGATTTTTAAAGTGTCCTCTACTTATTTGCGTGTTTTTCCCCACTCTTGGTTCAATGCCTCCCCTCCACCCTGTCGTCAGGGCAAGGTTATGAGCTATGAGAGGCTCATTATGTATGTATGACTGTCCCTCCCAGTGCAGACAGGCGAGACAGAGATGAAAGGTGTTCATTAGAATTGTGAATTACTCGTTTAAATGCACTTGACCTTACCTGTTCATCAGCCACCCCTCTCATCTTTCTCTATTCCTCACTCCCTCTCCATCTCTCTTTTTCTGCCTTATTTCTCCCTCCCACTCAGGTTCAGCTCTCTGCTGTAACCCCACCCCCTGTTGTGCCTTCCGTCCCCACGGGGTTAGAACATTCGCTGTCCAGCCTGTCAATCAACTCAACCCCGCCCACCACCACGAGTGAGCTTCAGACAGGTATTAAATCTCTCTTTGTCTTCTCGCTCTCAACATAAAATGGTTTCAAAGTGTTATGAAATGTCTGGAATGGAATGTGGCACCAGGGTTAGACCAATCATTTTTAACATGGTCCAGATGGCCTCCCCGCCCCCATTAAACTCCCACTGGAAATGAATGATCGCAGTTGAAATGCTACAGATGGTCTAAAAGAGGGATGCACAGACTTTATTTGCTTGAGGGCTACATATTTTTCCCTCATCAATCTACACACAATACCCCATAACGATGTAAATATCACATTTACATAAGTATTCAGACCCTTTACTCAGTACTTTGTTGAAGCACCTTTGGCAGCGATTACAGTCTTCTTGGGTATGATGCTACAAGCTTGGCACACCTGTATTTGGGGAGTTTCTCCCATTCTTCTCTGCAGATCCTCTCAAGCTCTGTCAGGTTGGATGTGGAGCGTCGCTGCACAGCTATTTTTTGGTCTCTCCAGAGATGTTCAAGTCTGGGCTCTGGCTGGGCCACTCAAGGACATTCCGAGACTTGTCCCGAAGCCACTCCTGCGTTGTCTTGGCTGTGTGCTTAGGGTCGTTGTCCTGTTGGAAGGTGAACCTTCGCCCCAGTCTGAGGTCCTGAGCGCTCTGGAACAAGTTTTCATCAAGGATCTCTCTGTACTTTGCTCCGTTCATCTTTCCCTCAATCCTGACTAGTCTCCCAGTCCCTGCAGCTAAAAAACATCCCCACAGCATGATGCTGCCACCACCATGCTTCACCGTAGGGATAGTGCCAGGTTTACTCCAGACGTGACGCTTGGCATTCAGGCCAAAGAGTTCAATCTTGGTTTCATCAGACCAGAGAATCTGGTTTCTCATGGTCTGAGAGTCCTTTAGGTGCCTTTTGGCAAACTCCAAGGGGGTTGTCATGTGCCTTTTACTGAGGAGTGGCTTCCGTCTGGCCACTCTACCATAAAGGCCTGATTGGTGGAGTGCTGCAGAGATGGTTGTCCTTCTGGATGGTTCTCGCATCTCCACAGAGGAACTCTGGAGCTCTTTCAGAATGACCATCGGGTTATTGGTCACCTCCCTGACCAAGGCCCTTCTCCCGCGATTGCTCAGTTTGGCCGGGCGGCCAGCTCTAGGAAGAGTCTTGGTGGTTACAAACTCTTCCGTTTAAGAATGATGGAGGCCACTGTGTTCCTGGGGACCTTCAATGCTGCAGAAATGTTTTGGTACCCTTCCCCAGATCTGTGCCTCGACACAATCCTGTCTCTGAGCTCTACGGACAATTTCCTTCAACCTCATGGCTTGGTTTTTGCTCTGACATGCACTGTCAACTGTGGGACCTTATATAGACAGGTGTGTGCCTTTCCAAATCATGTCCAATCAATTGAATTTACCACAGGTGGAACCCAATCAAGTTGTAGAAACATCTCAAGGATGATCAATGGAAACAGGATGCACCTGAGCTCAATTTCGAGTTTCATAGCAAAGGGTCTGAATACTTATGTAAATAAGGTATTTCTGTTTTTAATTTGTAATACATTTGCTAAATATTCTCAACCTGTTTTCGCTTTGTAATTATGGGGTACTGTGTGTAGATTGATGAGTAAAAAAATTAATTTGATCCATTTTAGAATAAGGCTGTAACGTAACAAAGTGGAGAAGGTTAAGGGGTCTGAATACTTTTCGAATGCACTGTAGGTCCATTATAATTTCTTCATACTTTCTATCTAGTTTTAGACAGTGTGGCCTGGAGTATTGTTTAAAACCCAAAATAATAATGTATTTATTTATGAATGTATCTACTCAAACCTCCTGTGGGCGCCCACGGGACGTAGTTTGCCCATCCCTGGTCTAAAAGATCATACTCTCTCTCTTTCTTTCTTTTCCAGGTCTCCCCACCGTTCCCCTGATTCCCACCTCCCTTAGCCCCCTAAACCCAGCCTCCACGACCTTCAACCCTGCCACCACGCTACCAGGTCAGCACACGCCTCTCTTCAGAATGATATTTGAAGATCGAATTGAAACTACCAAATCTTACACAATACCTTTTCTACACTGAATAAGTATACTTTTATTTGTGTGCTGTTGTAGGTCTGTTGCCTCTCCCGGGTGGCCTGCCCCCATTCCCAAACCTCCCTAATCTCAACCTCACCGCGCTGCCAGACCTCAGTGCTGTATCGCTAGCAGGTAAAGCGGGCTACCGCCACCTGGAATAGCAGGTTTATACAGCTAGCAGCTAATGCTAACAGTGGGTTTCCACCCCCAGGCATGATGTATTATGTACCAGTGTGATTATTCCTGTGATCAACTACAGATCTCTCTCTTCTTCTCTCTCACCTGCCCCCTCCTCCCCCTCCATTGCAGGATTCCCTCCACTCGCACCCTTCCCTCCTCTGAACCTGCCAGGTCTAGCCCCCCTCCCCCCCCTGCCCGCCATGCTGTCCCTTCCCCCTGTCAACGTCTCCTCCTTCACCCCCCTCACCCTTCCCACAGTCACCCCCACCCCAGAGCAGCAGACCCTCCCTGATGCCACAGCTCCCTCTTCTGCCACCACAGAACCAGCTGTCGCCTCAGAGACCACGGAATCAAAGGCTGCCACGGAGACGTCGTCGTAACACAGGAAGTCTCATACCCAGAATCAAACCTGTCGGTTTCTCTCCCTCTCTCTCATTCTCTTTCTCTCTCATATTTATTTAGCCAGGAGGGACAGAATAATTTTCAGCGGTGAGGCTGGTGCAGTCAGTTGGAAACATGGAGCAGAGGAATAAACGATGGACAGATCAGTTGAAGGAATAAAGCAGTGGCTGAGTGGCTAGAAGCAGTGTAGCCCTGCCAGCCTGTCTGTCCCACACTGCCTTAGTTTCATTCAAAATTCAAATGATCTTCCGCACCCTTTAGTAAACACAGACATCTCTTAGCTAGATATTCCTTTATATATAATTTTTTTGTTCAATTGCTTTATGGTTGTTTCTGTTAAAGAATGACATTTGCATTATTTTGCACCACATTTTGTGTTTAGAAATGATTAGGCATGTTTGTCCCTATGTACTGTGTCTCTCCATGCACCGTTTGTTTATAACAGAACTCTATAGCCTACCCTTAAACGCTGTGTGAGGGCAGTAGTCACTAGATGGCCACGCCAGAGGGGACCAAAATGGGGAGGGATATCGTCAGAACTATTAACTATTTGTGGCTGGGATAGGGTTTGTGGTAAATATCGTATTGGGGGTTAGACAGCGCTGCCTGTAGTGCCATCTTCTGGCATGGTCGGATGAAGACGTGGGAAATGAAAGGCGCAGTGAGGCTTTTCAACTACACGAGGGCGCTGTGTTACAACTTTATGAAAACACCCTGTATACATACTCGAGCAATAAAGGCGATGGAATTTTAAACTACTTTTTAGTCCTGCGTGTTTTTATATTATTTCAAAATATATGCACTTTCGTTGCCTTCAAAAAGGTATAGGTTGTTAATAGAATAGCCTACTTGTTTTAAGTTTTTACCTTGCATATTTCATTATCCTGCTTAAAATGTAAGAATGTCCAGACAGAGCAAGCGTATTAGAATAATTATAGCCTAAAACCCTCACCAAGAAAGCAAGAAGCTATCTGTACTATTGCGAGCCAACCTAGCGCACCAATTCACCTGTGCGTTCGGTTGGGTGTTACGCACCGCAAGGGGAGTTACGTCGGCTAGGGTTAGTGAGAAACAGGAAAAAACGCAACACAACATGGCTTACAGTAGAGTAGTACAATAGCACATCAATAGACATTTGTTATTGAGAGAGAACTGGGAGATGAGTGGTCGCGAGCGCAGCAGAAACCGAACCAGGTCGTTGGATTCGGACCTTGAGTCACGTGCGTCCCAAACAGGTTTGAAAACATTGATTTGGAGCTCACTCTGCTGTGGTGGGACTCCCACGGGTACCTAGGATACAGCTTTGGAAGATTTTATTTGAATAAGAAAGCTGTGATTTAAGTTCACTAAAACCATGTCAAACTGGTAAAGTAGCCTGCATTATATATCTAGTTTTTTAAATGTTTTTATAGTGACACCTGTGATAGGGGCAATTTGTGTAGGCTATTCATTTGTAGGCTATTTGTGTGTTGTCGTACACGTTTGCTGTGCTGAAATAACTGCCACAAAACCACTGAATAAAGGTAATAAAGTGCTAGACAGTTTTCTACTACTGTAGTATTTCTGCCTTCTTCCTAAACCAAGAGGGCAGTTCGGCAGGGGGTCTTGAGGAGGACAAGGAGGTCGCCTCGCAGGCTGTCCTGTTCTTCATCAACGGCTCGAGGAGAGGTGCAGTGCACCTATGCTCGAGGATAGCCGAGATACTGCGCGAGAATCAACGGTGAGACCCAAAAGAGGACCATAGGCCTGTTGTATCAAACAAATTCCCACTGTCACATGCTTGATTCACACCAATTTTCAGCTGCCCCCTCTCTGTGAAAGTTAACCATTCACTGTTTCGGTTGAGTTTGTCTGACCTTTGCTTAACTCTGCTGTGTGTGTGTGCGCCTCATCTCTTATCTTACAGTCTGCACAGGACCGTAGAGGTCCAGAGAGTCCGAATAGAGGAGCTGATGTGCTCGCTGTCCACTGCTCCAGCTGCACCCGTGGGTCCCTCAGATTCCAACAGATCCCAGACCAGCTCCACCTCACTCCCAGACACCAGCCCCTCCTCTCCCCTCTCCTGCCTTCCCTCCATCTCTCTCGCCTCCTCCTCCCCCTACCTCCCCTCTACCCCAGCCAGTGTCTCCCCCAGTGTGTCCTCCTTCTACAGCTCTGGGAGGGGCAGCCTGTGCTCTAGTGTCACACCCCCGTGCCTCCCCCCTCTGGTCCCCCTTCCCACCATCACCCCTCAGAGTCAGAGGAGACAGGTATGTATGACACACACACACACACACACACACACATTCTCTCTCTCTGTCACAAGTCAACACTCACGTAAACGTATACACACAAACAACCCCTCTCTCTCTCTGTGTGTCAGACACCAGCTCTGCCCTGTGTGGAAGAGTATGAGAGGGAGGATCCAGGAGAAGATGAGTGGAGAGGAAAGGAAGGCAGGAGAGGAGAAGGGAGGGGGAGAAAGAGAGGGGGAGGAAGGAGACAAGAAGAGAACAACAGTCTTATTCTGCCCTGTGTGGAAGAGGCTCTGGGGTCACAACCCCTCCCCATCATGCCTCACTCCCCCCAGCGTGACCGCACAGCCAGAGAAAGAGGTGAGTCAATCATTTGACATAATGAAGCAGTGCTTTGAATTGGAATGTCTGTTTTATTCATGTAATTGTGACAAAGGAGAATGTGAAGCTACAGTCTGTCTTTGCTGTGTGCTCACCATGTCAGGACAATGTTTGTGTGTGTGTGTGTGTGTGTGTGTGTGTGTGTGTTTCAGTCAGGAGGAGAGAGAAGGGCAACCTGCCGTCTGAGCAGTGTGGACAGACTTCGGACCGAAAACACACGCTGAAGGTTGGACCTCATTATCATACTTCACAATGGACACATGAGGATGTCACAGCCTTTATGATGAGCTGTTATTGTGGTTGTTGTTTGTTGTTTGTGAGCAGAAAAGAGAGAAAGTCCTAAGGAGAAGTGCCTCATGTGGACCTCTGAGGGGAGAGATGGGGGAGACGAAAGAGGAGGAGGAGGAGGAGGAGGAGGAGGAGGAGGAGGAGGAGGAGGAGGAGGAGGAGAGGTGTCTAGCCTCGTCCACAGTCCCAGCAGGAGGAGGAGGAGGAGGGGCTGGACCCCAGGGCATTAACCACCACGTACACTTCTATTCTGGCTTTAGTTTCTATTCTGTTTATTACCTGTTTATTACTGTATTATACTGTATTTGACTCATTTCACAATAATTGTGATTTATAGAACTTGATAACTGTGTATGTGTGTTTGTGCATGCATGTGCATATTAGGAAGAAGCACCGTCTGTGTGTGAATGACCGTGTAGTGCTGGAGAGAAGGAGGAGAGGAGAGGAGAGGAGAAGAGGAGCTGTGAGGTTTATCGGACCACTGGATAACACTGACGCTACAGACATCTATATCGGAGTGGAATTGGACACAGCCAGTGAGTTTGTGTGTGTGCGTGCGTGTGACCGTGTGTGGTTATGATGTGTGTGAATGTCTGTCATTCTCATCACCATGACAACCGTGACAGTAACACCAAAGATACTGGTAAATAAGGCCTGGATTCAATCAGATCGAGCATTAACCAGCATTAACCAGCATTGGCGTTGGAGGTCTAACTGTGGTATGAGCTGACATATCGGTGAGCGGCTGCTCTTGTGTCACAAATCACTACCTTTCTTATTGTCCCTACTGCATCAGTTCAAAACGGTGCTAGAAAGTGTAATCTCTATCCATGTTAGAAATAATTATGAGCAAATGTATGTTAGGCTAATGCATGTTTTCATGCACCCTAGACCTACTGCAATTTGCATACCGCCCACAATAGATCCACGGATGATGTAATAGCCATTGCACTGTACACTGCCATATCCCATTTGGACAAGAGGAATACCTATGTAAGAATGCTGTTCATTGACTATAGCTCAGCCTTCAACAGCATAGTACCCTCCAAGCTCATCATTAACCTCAGGGCCCTGGGTCTGAAACCCACCTGTGCAACAGGGTCCTGGACTTCCTGACGTGCCGACCCCAAGTGGTGAAGGTAGGAAACAACACCTCCAGTATACAGATCCTCAACACAGGGGCCCCCTCCTGTACCTTCTGTTCACCAATGACTGTGTGGCTACACAGGCCTCCAACTCAATCATCAAGTTTGCAGACGACAGTGGTAGGCCTGATTACCAACAACAACGAGATGGCCTACAGAGAGGAGGTGAGGGCCCTGGCGGAGTGGTGCCAGGAATATAACCTCTCCCTCAACGTCAACAAAACAAAGGAGCTGATTGTGGACTTCAGGAGACAGCAGAGGGAGCGCGCCCCCATCCATATTGACGAGACCGCAGTGGAGAAGGTGAAAAGCTTCAAGTTCCTCGGCGTACACATCACTGACAATCTGAAATGGTCCCTTCACACAGACAGTGTGGTGAAGGAGGCGCAAGGAGGCTGAAGAAATTCGGCTTGGCCCCTAAGACCATCACAAACTTTTACAGATGCACCATTGAGAGCATCCTGTCGGGCTGTATCACCGCCTGGTAAGGCAACTGCACCGTGCTGAACCGCAGGGCTCTCCAGAGGGTGGTTCGGTCTGCCCAATGCATCACCGGGGGGCACACTGCCTGCCCTCCAGGACATCTACAGCACCCGGTGTCACAGGAAGGTCAAAAAGATAATCAAGGACCTGAGCCATAGCCTGTTTGCCCCGCTACCACCCAGAAGGCGAGGTCAGTACATGTGCATCAAAGCTGGTACCAAGAGATTGAAAAACAGCTTTTATCTCAAGGCCATCATACTGTTAAATCGTTATCACTAGCCGGCCTCCACCCTGTACCCTGCCCTGAAGTTAGTCACTGTCACTAGCCGGCTTCCACCCGCTTACTCAACCCTGCACCTTAGAGAATGCTACCCAGTATACATAGACATGGAACACTGGTCACTTTAATAATGGAACACTGGTCACTTTAATAATGTTTACAAACTGTTTTACCCATTTCATATGTACACTACCGTTCAAAAGTTTGGGGTCCATGAAAACATACATGAAATTAGTTTGAATAGGAAGTATAGCAAAATTAATAGGAAATGTAGTCATTGACAAGGTCAGAAATAATTATTTTTAATTGAAATAATAATTGTGTCCTTCAAACTTTGCTTTTCGTCAAAGAATCCTCCATTTGCAGCAATTACAGCCTTGCAGACCTTTGGCATTCTAGTTGTCAATTTGTTGAGGTAATCTGATGAGATTTCACCCCATGCTTCCTGAAGCACCTCCCGCAAGTTGGATTGGCTTTATGGGCAAGCTGCTCCCACAACAGCTCAATAGGGTTGAGATCCGGTGACTGTGCTGGCCACTCCATTATAGACAGAATACCAGCTGACTGCTTCTTCCCTAAATAGTTATTGCATAGTTTGGAGCTGTGCTTTGGGTCATTGTCCTGTTGTAGGAGGAAATTGGCTCCAATGAAGCGCCGTCCACAGGGTATGGCATGGCGTTGCAAAATGGAGTGATAGCCTTCCTTCTTCAAGATCCCTTTTACCCTATACAAAACTCCCACTTTATCACCACCAAAGCACCCCCAGACCATCACATTGCCCCCACCATGCTTGACAGATGGCATCAAGCACTCCTACAGCATCTTTTCATTTGGTCTGCGTCTCACAAATGTTCTTCTTTGTGATCCGAACACCTCAAACTTCGATTTGTCTGTCCATATATTCCTCTGTCCAGTGTCTGTATTCTTTTGCTTTTTCTATGGCTTTTTCTTTGCAACTCTGCCTAGAAGGTCAACATCCCGGAGTCGCTTCTTCACTGTTGACGTTGACTGGTGTTTTGCGGGTACTATTTAATGAAGCTGCCAGTTGAGGACCTGTGAGGCGTCTGTTTCTCAAACTAGACACGCTAATGTATTTGTCCTCTTGCTCAGTTGTGCACCGGGGCCTCCCACTCCTCTTTCTATTCTGGTTAGAGCCAGTTTGCGCTGTTCTGTGAAGGGAGTAGTACACAGCGTTGTACGAGCTCTTCAGTTTCTTGGCAGTTTCTCGCATGGAATAGCCTTAATTTCTCAGAACAAGAATAGACTGACGAGTTTGAGATGAAAGTTCTTTGTTTCTGGCCATTTTGAGCCTGTAATCAAACCCACAATTGCTGATGCTTCAGATACTCAACTAGTCTCAAGAAGGTTTTATTGGTTCTTTAATCAGCACAACAGTTTTCAGCTGTGCGAACATAATTGCAAAAGGGTTTTCTAATTATCAATTAGCCTTTTAAAATGATCAACTTGGATTAGCAAACACAACGTGCCATTGGAACACAGGACTGATGGTTGCTGATAATGGGCCTCTGTACGCCTATGTAGATATTCCATTAAAAATCAGCAGTTTCCAGCTACAATAGCATTTACAACATTAACAATGTCTACACTTTATTTCTGATCAATTTGATGTTATTTTAATGGACAAAAAAAAGTGCTTTTCTTTCGTAAAAAATGACATTTCTAAGTGACCCCAAACTTTTGAATGGTAGTGTATATACTGTATTCTAGTCAAGGCCATCCTATTCAACTATTGCTGTACATATACTATTCTATCCATGTATTCTTCAAATATACTACATATTCTATCCACATACTGTCCGTAATGTCTATACACACACCACACACACACACACACAGTCAAAAGTTTGGACACACCTACTCATTCAAGGGTTTTTCTTTATTTTTTACATTGTAGAATAATAGTGAAGATATCAAAACAATGAAATAACACATATGGAATCATATAGTAACCAAAAAAGTGTTAAACAAATCAAAATATATTTAATATTTGAGATTCTTCAAAGTAGCCACCCTTTGCCATGATGACAGCTTTGCACACTCTTGGCATTCTCTCAACCAGCTTCACGAGGTAGTCACCTGGAATGCATTTCAATTAACAGGTTGTGTTGCGACAAGGTAGGGGTGGTACACAGAAGATAGGCCTATTTGGTAAAAGACCAAGTCCATATTATGGCAAGAATAGCTCAAATAAGCAAAGAGAAATTACACTCCATCATTACTTTAAGACATGAAGGTCAGTCAATTTGGAAAATGTCAACTTTCAGTTTCTTCAAGTGCAGTCGCAAAAACCATCAAGTGCTATGATGAAACTGGCTCTCATGAGGACCGCCACAAAAAACGAAGACCCAGAGTTAACTCTGCTGCAGAGGATAAGTTCATTAGAGTTTACTGCACCTCAGATTGCAGCCCAAATAAATGCTTCACAGAGTTCAAGTAACAGACACATCTCAACATCAACTGTTTAGAGGAGACTGCGTGAATCAGGCCTTCATGGTAGAATTGCTGCAAAGAAACCACTACTAAAGGACACCAATAAGAAGAAGAGACTTGCTTGGGCCAAGAAACACGAGCAATGGACATTAGACCGGTGGAAATCTGTCCTTTGATCTGATGAGTCCAAATTTGAGATTTTTGGTTCCAACCGCAGTTTCATTGTGAGACGCAGAGTAGGTGAAAAGATGATCTCCGCATGTGTGGTTCCCACCGTGAAGCATGGAGGAGGAGGTGTGATGGTGTGGTGGTTCTTTGCTGGTGACACTATCAGTGATTTATTTAGAATTCAAGACACACTTAACCAGCATGGCTACCACAGCATTCTTCAGTGATACGCCATCCCATCTGGTTTGGGCTTAGTGGGACTATCATTTGTTTTTCAACAGGACAATGACCCAACACACCTCCAGGCTGTGTAAGGGCTATTTGACCAAAAAGGAGAGTGATGGAGTGCTGCATCAGATGACCTGGCCTCCACAATCACCCGACCTCAACCCAATTGAGATGATTTGGGATGAGTTGGACCGCAGAGTGAAGGAAAAGCAGCCAACAAGTGCTCTGCATATGTGGGAACTCCTTCAAGACTGTTGGAAAAGCATTCCAGGTGAAGCTGGTTAAGAGAATACCAAGCGTGTGCATAGCTGTCATCAAGGCAAAGGGTGGCTACTTTGAAGAATCTCAAATATAAAATGTATTTTGATTTGTTTAACACTTTTGTAGAAATTAGTAGAAAATAAAGAAAACCCCTTGAATGAGTAGGTGTGTCCAATCTTTTGACTGCTACTGTGAATATATATTAATACATACTCTGGACTCTGACATTGCTCGTCGTAATATTTCTTAATTACATTTTTTACTTTTAGATTTGTGTGTATTGTTAGATATTACTGCACTGTTGGAGCTTGGAACACAAGCAATTCGCTACACCCGCAATAACATCTGCTAAATATGTGCATGTGACCAATAACATTTGATTTGATGTTCATTTGGATGGGGGGATTTATGGCTATCAGTCAAATTTGAGTGTTTGAACTTCTAACGTGGCTGTATGGGATTTGTCGGATTATAATCTGTGGTTTTCGTGGCATTCCAACGGCAGTGTCCGTGATAAGGTACCGCAACGAGCTGCTTGTGGATTTGACAGCTCTAACACAGTTCCACCTCCGACACCGCCAAAACAACGCTATGTGGATGTCAATCTGATTTAACCTAGCCCTAACCAAATATTTATCATCAGCGCCGTTTCCAATGGGAGCAAATGAAGCATAGTGGGCAGAACAAGCAAGGAGGTGGGCAGAGCCAAGTATGAGCGAGATCCTATTGGCGTATTTTAGCATGTATTTGCATATTTCCATTAGGGAACGCCTACTTTGAAGTGCGGGTGTGCAATAACTAAATTCACCCTTGCACTCCTAAACAGCACCATTTTCAGAAACTTTGGCAAAGTCTACAAAACTTAGTGCACTCAGTTTGTAACAGATTCTAGTTTTGGAAACAGAAAACTTTATTGAGATGGAATGTTTCATCGATGATAAAATGTGCACGTCGGCCAAGTTTCATCTAGCTCCATCTCCTCCCACTTCCCGCCACTGGACTTCCTCTCATCACAATATTTGGTGGTGAGTGGAGGTTGTAAACATATGCTTCAGATGTATACCCCTTGTGATGTGTCTGGGTTTCCCCTTTTGTCTGGGGTAGCACCCAGGGCTGGCTCTAGCCTTTTGGGGGCCCTAAGCGAGATTTGGTTTGCCCCCACCACCGCGCGGGCAAAACATTTTAGTGGCGCTCCCCTCTTGACAGTGGAGAGAAATGTACCTTTTAAAGTGAATTAATTCATTTTGCCATGGGGCTGAGGGAAAAAAGGTGCATTTTTACAGCTAATTTCCTGCAATTCAACCCATTTAGACATGGGGTGGAGAGATTATATTTTCTGTTTTAAAGCTAATTTCCTGCAATTCTACACAGTTTGCCATGACTTATGCCATGTTAATGATACACTATATATACAAAGGTATGTGGACACACTTGGCTATTTCAGCCACACCCATTGCTGACAGGTGTATAAAATCGAGCACACAGCCATCCAATCTCCATAGACAAACATTGGCAGTAGAATGGCCTTACTGAAGAGCTCAGTGACTTTCAACATGGCACCGTCATAAGATGCCACCTTTCCAACAAGTCAGTTTGTCAAATTTCTGCCCTGCTAGAGCTTCCCCGGTCAACTGTAAGTGCTGTTATTGTGAAGTGGAAACGTCTAGGAGCAACAATGTCTCAGCCATGAAGTGGTAGGCCACAGAAGCTCACAGAACAGGACCGTCGAGGGATGAAGCATGTAAAAATCGTCTGTTCTCGGTTGCAACACTCACTACCGAGTTCCGAACTGCCTTTGGAAGCAACGTCGGCACAAGAACTGTTCGTCGGGAGCTTCATGAAATGGGTTTCCATGGCTGAGCAGCCGCAAACACGCCTAAAATCACCATGCGCAACGCCAAGTGTTGGCTGGAGCGGTGTAAAACTCGCCGCCATTGGACTCTGGAGCAGTGGAAACTCGTTCTCTGGAGTGATGAATCACGCTTCACCATCTGGCAGTCTGGCGGACAAATCTGGGTTTGGCGGATGCCAGGAGAACGCTACCTGCCCCAATGCATAGTGCCAACTGTAAAGTTTGGTGGAGGAGGAATAATGGTTTGGGCTAGGCCCCTTAGTTCCAGTGAAGGGAAATCTTAACGCTACAGCATACGACATTCTAGACGATTCTGTGCTTCCAACTTTGTGGCAACAGTTTGGGGAAGGCCCTTTCCTGTTTCAGCATGACAATGCCCCGTGCACAAAGCGAGGTCCATACAGAAATGGTTTGTCGAGATTGGTGTGGAAGAACTTTACTGGCCTGCACAGAGCCCTGACCTCAACCCCATTGAACACCTTTGGGATGAATTGGAATGCCGACTGTGAGCCAGGCCTAATCAGCAACATCAGTGCCTGACCTCACTAATGCTCTTGTGGCTGAATGGAAGCAAGTCCCCACAGCAATGTTCCAACATGTAGTGGAAAACCTTGCCAGAAGAGTAGAGGCTGTTATAGCAACAAAGGGGGGACCAACTCCATATTAATGCCCATGATTTTTGAATGAGATGTTCGACGAGCAGGTATCCACATACTTTTGGTCATGTAGTGTATCTGAGTGAGAGTGACTAACAAAATCAATGGGGGCCCCTTGGAGTTCAGGGCCCCTGGGCACGTGCCCTGAGTTCCTGGTCTGTATTCGGCCATGATTACTACAAGTTTAGATAGCTGGCTAGACTAATTTACCAACCTAAAGATTGTTAGCTGACAGGGCTAGTTGAGTGACTTTCAGTGACTGACATAAGAGAAAGATTGCTGATGCACAACCAAATTTCGAACTTGCACCTTGTGTATTCTACTATTTTAACTCTCAACAGTACGTTGAGACCCGGACTGAGCGCCTCATTTTTTAAATAATAATTATATATTTATTTTGGGGGGTTGGGGGGCACCCTAGCGGCCAGGGGCCCTAAGCGACCACTTATGTTGCTTATTCCTGGAGCCGGCCCTGGTAATACCTGTTCCTATTAATCTTTAGGTGGAGAAAATGAAGGCAGTCTCCATGGTAACAGGTACTTCAGGTGTGAGCCCAACCATGGAACATTCACCACCATCACAGGGATCAGAAAGGTGAGTGTTCACCACACACACAGGCACACAGTATGTAGAAATGCTTGTACTTAATTAGTTGATTAATTAATCAATGACTAAACTACTAGCAGGCCTACATTAACAGTAAAAGTGACAGTAATAGTGATATTATGCAGTATCATTTCTCCCCACCACAGCTCTCTCGGTCATCCCACTCCTCCAAACCTCCAGAGGAGGATGACTCTAGTGACTCTGGGCCGGGGAGCTCTGCAGTGGCAGTGGGGAGGAGCAGCAGGGGCGTTGGGAGTAGGAGCGGAAAAGGGCTCAGAAGGACCCGGAACCAGATCGACATTAGAGCACAGGTCCATTCAGAGCCAGGAGGACCCAGAGACAAGACTAGAGTGGAGAACCCAATCACACACACCCCTGGACTGGCCTGACACTCCTCTCCTAGTCCCTCAATCCACAGCCTTACATTTTCTCCTTTCCCTCCTGAGTACCCCTTGTGATGTGTCTGGGTTTCCCCTTTTGTCTGAGCGTAGACTCACAAGGCAACATGCTGAACAAGCCCTCTTCAATCTTCCTGCGTGTAACCATAGATAGAGGACTCTAGTGCCCAAAAGCCTGCTTTAGCATGTGCAGCGCCATTGAGGACTTTCACCAGTCAACTGGGTGGGACTTCCTATGGGTTAAGGAAGGATCACATAATTCCATCCAGGTCATCAGGAGGGATCAGCCAATGAATTATACTTGAGGAAACAGTTCATAACTCCAGGTGGCAATAAATCTCCAACCTTGGCTTTTTACCTGTTCAAACAACACACTCCAGGTGGCAGTGTGGACCCTTTGTTTGAAGAAGAAAGTTGACTAGTTCAAAATGGAGATGGTGTCAACGGCCCTGCCCGTGCCCTCAGACGCCATACTGGGACAGATAGAATGATGTGATGTTATCCAAGTCTATGGTTGTAACTGACCTCCCAGCCTTTAGACAAATGGCATCTTGTCTGCCATGCTTTCATCGGGTGTCACTGACAACTACTGCATCTGACCGATCCAAGTGTTGGATCAGGAAAAACGTATTATACATAAACCTGTGTGTTGTGTTGTCTGTGGGAGACTGTATGCGCACAAACCAAAGGCGGTGGCCTTGGTAGGACTTGTAAGGCAATCTTTATTGCATATGAATGACAGGACCTGACATTGCCTCCCATTCATTCTCATATCTGACATGTATCTGTCCTGTATGTATCAGATAGTGGTGAAGCCAGTTTACATGGTGTTGATCTACTGTGGCTCCTGCGTTATGGTCTGCTATGATGGTCATATGTAGCCCAATCTGAAATACAAGTGTCGTCTGTTTAAAGCTCCACAGTCTTCCAATATAAAGCATATTGGGTAACACTTGACTTAAAACCCTTTTACATTCTGTACACAACCAATATGCTGTAATGTCAGTCTTATGACAGTGTTATGCAGGCCTTTGACAGACTTCAAATAAAGTGTTACTGAACAGAAGAGAGCCTTCATCAAACTGGGCTTTTCCTTCATATATGTCATGAACAGTTTTATACAACTTTATATATATATATGACACATGGTTTCCAGACTACTAATAAACATTGCTGTGGTAAAACACTGAAGTTATTGGGTCTCCTGGCATACAGAAGCATTATTCTTCTCACCACAGTGGAGTGTACACTTCAAAGGGCCCCTAAAGAGTAGGCTTTACACTTCAGGGCCCAAGAGTGTTCCTCTTCGCACAGACCTGCACTATCTGTACCTGAGGTAGTTCATACAGATAGATCTTAACTAAAAGCCACATCTATATAGCAGCAAAATAAAAATGTATTTCGGAGCACAAATGAACAAGGAGACATGAGAAACCAAGGGTTGGACTTACTAAACCTTTGCATGTGCTCAACATTTCACGGGGGAAGGGGGGATACCTAGTTAGTTGAACAACTGAATGTATTCAACTGAAATGTGTCTTCTGCATTTAACCCAACCCTTATTTACAATATAGAATATAAACCGTAAAAGGTTGAATTGAGGGTAAAACAAAGAGTAAGGGAAGGGTACAATTTCAAAGCAAAGTAAGATAATTTCATGTTTCTAGGCGGTTTCGGTATTTTATTTCTTTGAGAAAACAGGTGCAAACGGGGCACTGCCTAGTGAGAGTTCAGTAAATTCTGAGTGTGTTTGACCCTCTGTACAGACTGAGATTGCAGATATGTCACTCCTACACATGAAATGTACATTGAATTTCCTCCAGGTGATTTGTATATTGAAACCTTAATCTTTACGATAAAGTTGATCCTTATATGGTTTCATTGTGTTCTGCTAAACAGACTTCATTGCCTGAACAGGCCTAGCACTCAACACCTTGTACAAGGATGGATCCATGGAGGATCCAAACAGCCTAAAACCAACTTCTTTCACACAGCCAGATTATATTCATCCAGTAGATTTCATTCTTGATTCAAGATCTAAAAACGTGACTTTATGAACACATGAAATATTAGCTTCTGTCCGACAGTCTGGGACTGAAGCTAAGCCTTAGTCCAGGACTATTTCAAGAAGTCATGTCCATGAAACCAAATCATCTTGATTATAAATGCAATTTAGTCCAAGGTTTAATGTTAGTCTGGGAAACCAACTGATCTACTGCTCTGCTCTGGGGATTCAAGCCCCATCCCAAATCGACCTTTATCACCAACATACTTGTGTAGATCGGAACGGACTGCAGAGGTGTAAGCAATATGGAGAACATTCCACCTAGCCTATCCGAGCACAAGGTGAAGATAGTTGGTAATGCCTATCCAATCCCTTCAGATCTACAGGAAGTGCCTTCTCTAGTAGAGGCTAGTGGTCTATTTAGGAATGGGCTTCTGATGGGGGATTCCAATAAACAACTAAACAAAATGTGTTGCTTTTTGTTTACGGTTTCCCTCTCCACCAATAACAGCCCAGTCCAGCACTATCAAGGGGTGTGGCCTAGCCCCACTACTAAGTCCCCATGGCAACAGATACAGCATGTCCAATGGCATGCACAATGGGTAGAGCTTCTCTTCCTCTCTCTCCTTCTCTAAACCAGGTCCACCTTCAAGATCAAAACACAGTGCAACATTTCTGCAAAGTTACTTGGAAATATTAGCAAAGTGTCTCCACCTCCACTTCCCCCCCTCTTTCTCTGTCTTTCTCTTTCCCCATCTCACGTGTCATCCATTCCATTTAATTATATTCAGCCAAACAAATTCACGTCCCTTTCACAGCAGCCGGGGGATTCCGAATACCCAATGCCACTCCATTTCCCATATTAGGCTCAGTTCTGCTCCAGGATTGGCCGGTGGGCCTGTCAGTCATGTCCATCAGCCAGTCAGTAGGAGGAGATTGAGGAGGAGGCGGGCTGAAGGGAGCCTGAGGAGTTGGTGCGTCTCATGTGAGGGAGGAGGTACGTGTCAGTGCCCAGCTGGTGAACGTCGAAACGAGCCTCCTTACGGTAGGCCAGACAGCGCCGGATAAACGCCTGACACAGGGAGAGGTAGAGAAAGAATAAGAGAGAGAGGAAGATGGAGCGAGAGATGTTAGTTAATCTATAGAATATGAATCCGCTTCTCATGCTTTGTCTGTACTAGTCACATTCAGACATGTCCTGACAAGTGTACAATTCAGAGTGAGTAGGAGTCACCTTGGCCTGCTAGCCTGTGTGTGAGTGTTTGTGAGTCACCTTGGCCTCTGTGCTGGCCTGGGGCTTGGCAGGGAACTGGACCTCGGTGGCTTTGAGGATGGTGTTCTCCTGAAGGATGTCCTGCTGAGACTGGTTATGGCCAAACGGCTGCAGGAACACACACACAGAGTTAAGACAAAACCCAGGTATCATTGACAGGGCCTAAAATTCACTTTTTGGTCCACCAACCACTGTGGCATATTATTATTATTAATACTTTTTTTTACAGATGAGCATGCTTTGTAATGTTTCTAAAACAAATGTATTACTAATAAGAAGTAATGTGGTATATTGTTTAATTTCATTTGATTTTTTGTGACCGGAGTCTTTTAACCAAAATACCACAGATGTTTCAGGGCAGGAGGTTTCTGTGGTAGCGTGATTCAGTCATGTTTGTGGCTGTGAGATTGAGTGTGACTAGTAGAAGGGTTGCCTTCTCTCCCTAGCAGTTGAAACTCAAACATAGAAAAACAACCTAGCTTGTGAACAACACAATGGAAATAGCCATAGAAAGTATCACTTCAGTAGACTTTAGTTTCAAGTAAATTAGACAGACTTTTATGCCTGTGTGCAGTGCTTCTAAAAATGAATCTTTCACTCAGATCTTCACGTGCTCACAGCCCCCAGCCAGGCAGTGTTGCAGCGCGAGGTGGGATAGGCTTTATAGGATTCCTAGTTCTTTGACTTTGTGAGATTAAATTACCAGCAATGAAACAAAACGGCAGAAATATTTTGAAAACAGCTACTGCAGCATTTATTTTACTGTAAATGTGATCATACTTGACTATTTTTATTCCCAAATGCTAGTGAAATGCTCACACTGTGGAGCCCTGACCACCCGCCAACGTGGCTGGTGAAACAGACATCTTACCCGCCAATGCCAAAATCTACACGCATTTGGCAGGTGTTAATTTTAGGCCCTGATAACTGATAACTTAGAAAAATAAAATGAGTACACTTCAGAGGTGCCCTAAAGAGTGTGAGTGCTTACCTTCCGTCCATAGAGGCACTGGAAAAAGATAACCCCGACCGACCAGACGTCCACCTTGTTAGAGATTTTAGGAGGCTCCTTGCCCACCACAAAACACTCTGGGGGAAGATACCTGGACAAGAGGAAAACATGAAGAAAGTAATATACCCAAGAAAACACCTAATATAACTATTCTGTGTCGTGTGTGTGTGTGTGTCTGTGTCTCACCAGTATGTGCCAGCTCCCTGTGAGGTGAGGTCCATGCCGTCCACTCCATAGTTGTCATCATCCATGATCTTAGACAGCCCAAAGTCTGTGATCTTTATCTCTCCACATGCAGTCCCATCCACCAGCAATATATTACCTGCACAGACACAAGAGGCAGTGTGAGTTGAGTATGTGTGTACAGTGGGGAAAAAAAGTATTTAGTCAGCCACCAATTGTGCAAGTTCTCCCACTTAAAAAGATGGGAGAGGCCTGTAATTTTAATCATAGGTACACGCCAACTATGACAGACAAAATGAGAATTTTCTTCTCCAGAAAATCACATTGTAGGATTTTTTTATGAATTTATTTGCAAATTATGGTGGAAAATAAGTATTTGGTCACCTACAAACAAGCAAGATTTCTGGCTCTCACAGACCTGTAACTTCTTCTTTAAGAGGCTCCTCTGTCCTCCACTCGTTACCTGTATTAATAGCACCTGTTATCAGTATAAAAGACACCTGTCCACAACCTCAAACAGTCACACTCCAAACTCCACTATGGCCAAGACCAAAGAGCTGTCAAAGGACACCAGAAACAAAATTGTAGACCTGCACCAGGCTGGGAAGACTGAATCTGCAATAGGTAAGCAGCTTGGTTTGAAGAAATCAACTGTGGGAGCAATTATTAGGAAATGGAAGACATACAAGACCACTGATAATCTCCCTCGATCTGGGGCTCCACGCAAGAACTCACCCCGTGGGGTCAAAATGATCACAAGAACGGTGAGCAAAAATCCCAGAACCACACGGGGGGACCTAGTGAATGACCTGCAGAGAGCTGGGACCAAAGTAACAAAGCCTACCATCAGTAACACACTACGCCGCCAGGGACTAAAATCCTGCAGTGCCAGACGTGTCCCCCTGCTTAAGCCAGTACATGTCCAGGCCCGTCTGAAGTTTGCTTGAGTGCATTTGGATGATCCAGAAGAGGATTGGGAGAATGTCATATGGTCAGATGAAACCAAAATAGAACTTTTTGGTAAAAACTCAACTCGTCGTGTTTGGAGGACAAAGAATGCTGAGTTGCATCCAAAGAACACCATACCTACTGTGAAGCATGGGGGTGGAAACATCATGCTTTGGGGCAGTTTTTCTGCAAAGGGACCAGGACGACTGATCCGTGTAAAGGAAAGAATGAATGGGGCCATGTATCGTGAGATTTTGAGTAAAAACCAGCAAAGGCATTGAAGATGAAACGTAGCTGGGTCTTTCAGCATGACAATGATCCCAAACACACCGCCCGGGCAACGAAGGAGTGGCTTCGTAAGAAGCATTTCAAGGTCCTAGAGTGGCCTAGCCAGTCTCCAGATCTCAACCCCATAGAAAATCTTTGGAGGGAGTTGAAAGTCCGTGTTGCCCAGCGACAGCCCCAAAACATCACTGCTCTAGAGGAGATCTGCATGGAGGAATGGGCCAAAATACCAGCAACAGTGTGTGAAAACCTTGTGAAGACTTACAGAAAACGTTTGACCTGTGTCATTGCCCTCAAAGGGTATATAACAAAGTATTGAGAAACTTTTGTTATTGACCAAATACTTATTTTCCACCATAATTTGCAAATAAATTCATTAAAAATCCTACAATGTGATTTTCTGGATTTTCTTTTCTCATTTTGTCTGTCATAGTTGACGTGTACCTATGATGAAAATTACAGGCCTCTCTCATCTTTTTAAGTGGGAGAACTTGCACAATTGGTGGCTGACTAAATACTTTTTTTCCCCACTGTATGTCACCTATACAAACATGAGTCAGTGTGTGTACGTGTGTGTACCTGGTTTGAGGTTGTAGTGTGTACATGTGTGTACCTAGTTTGAGGTTGTTGTGTGTGTGTGTGTGTGTCACAGGAGGTTGGTGGCACCTTAATTGGGGAGGGCAGGCTTGTGGTAATGACTGGAGCGAAATATGTGGAATGGTATCAAATACATCAAACATGGTTTCCATGTGTTTGATGCAATTCCATTTGCTCCGTTGTGTGTGTGTACCTGGTTTGAGGTCGTAGTGGGTGTGTGTGTGTGTACCTGGTTTGAGGTCGTAGTGGGTGTGTGTGTATGTACCTGGTTTGAGGTCGTGGTGTGTGTGTGTACCTGGTTTGAGGTCGTAGTGGTGTGTGTGTACCTGGTTTGAGGTCGTAGTGGGCGTGTGTGTGTGTGTGTACCTGGTTTGAGGTCATAGTGTATGATGGGGGGTTTGATCTCGTTGAGGTATCGTAGGGCGTTGACTATCTGCATGACGATAGACCGCGCCTCCTTCTCTGACATCAGCTTGTTCTGTTTCAGATAGAAGTCTAAGTCGTTCCCCTCACAGAACTCTAGAACCGTACAGAACCTAAAGGCAGAGAGAAAGAGAGACAGAGAGAAACAGAGAAGACAATGGACTCCATTAACTATAACCTAAGAGGCATCTCAACGGTCTAAAATGGCTTCCTCTCCTTCATCGGCAATGATGTGAAAGAACTGTATTAGGTTTGGGGTAAAACGTCACTTACGTGTCTGTATCCAGGGAGAAGTAGTCGTAGAGTTTGACTATTCTGGGATGGTCCAGCTGTTTGTGTATCCGGTACTCTCTACAGGCATGCCTGGGACAGGAAACAATATTGTGTGTGAGCAAGTCTGGTCAAACAACGTTCACAACTTGGATGATCTGGGTTATAAATTCTGCGTCTCATAACACTGCCTGGTCAGAGCAGACGGGACATACTTGTGGTAGTTCTCCTTCTTCTCCTCTCTCCAGTTCTTGTTGAGTTGGTGGATTTTAACAGCTGCGTAGCGCTGCTCAAACAGGTCAAAGGCCTGAAGACACAGAACACACATCAGACAAACACTCACAAGCACAGGTACAGTATGGATCTACAATCTCTTAATAATCATTCACAAGCACATACCAGTAGTCAATCCGTACCTTATAGACTTCACTGAAGCCTCCTCTGCCCAGCAGATGCAGCAGCAGGTACCTCTCATTCAGAGTGGGGTGGTCTTTAAACCTGACAGACAGACAGATACAGACTGAACAGCATAAAGGGATAGTTTACCCACATTACACTTACAAGAGTTGTGGCTCAGTCGGTGGACGCCAAGGGTCGGGGCTTGGGCCACCCATATATAAAATGAATGCACACATGACTAAGTTACTTTGGATAAACGTGTCTGGCATACTGTATATTATTATCTTCTGAATACCTAGAAAGTATGAACTGGGCAGTCATCCATACTACAGCTACTGGCCTATGGATTGTAGGCACTAGGGATGGGTTTTGAACCGGGAGACAGTGCTGAGGTCAGGGGTCAGGACTTCCTATGTGATTGTGTCTTCCTGTCCTGTACTTACGATGAGCTGTCCTCGTTGTTGATCCTCTTCAGCTCTCTGATGTGGAGGTTCCTCACCCTCTCTAACCTCTCCAGCTCTGCCTGGATCTCTGCCTCCTCCTGAGAGACAGTCAACAACATCACTCAGACAGTCAATCCTATTCCTTTTGGGATTCGGACAATAGTGCTTTTTACAAACTTGTTTGTGTTCATAGTGACACCGACCTTCTTCAGGTGTCCCAGGCGAAGCTTGAAGATCTCCTCCTGCTCATGATACTCAGCCAGAGTCAACCTAAAAAAAACAAAGGTTGATAAACGTCACTGCACCAACAGCGCAACAGTGTGTGTATGCACAAGTGTGTGTGTCCCTCAGTGTGTGTGTGTGTACTCACATCTGAGGCAGGGAGGGTTTGAGGAAGGGGTCGGGGTCGTTGCCGTTGACAACCTTGGCTTTGCGTTGTTTGGGTTCGGAGGTGGTTGCTAAGGAGAGTGAGGGGGAGGAGGAGGGGTTGGGGGGCTTCCTTTTGGCTAGCAGCTTCCTCTGACGCTCGATCTCCTCTCTTTGCTGGTTGATACCCTCCTGCTGCCTACACACAGAGAGAGTGGGGGGGGGTTATAAAGCATTATAGCAGGTCATAAGAAAGTAATATTACACATAACATGTCATGAAAAAAACTAAAACAAAATAACACATATGCACTCACTAACTGTAAGTCGCCCTGGATAAGAGCGTCTGCTAAATGACTAAAAAATGTAAAATAAGAAAGTCATATCACACATAACAGGTCATAAGAACATCATATCACACATAACAGGTCATAAGAACATCATATCACACATAACAGGTCATAAGAACATCATATCACACATAACAGGTCATAAGAACATCATATCACACATAACAGGTCATAAGAACATCATATCACACATAGCAGGTCATAAGACATGTTATAGTTTCATTATGCTCTTGAGAGCAGACCCATGTACATACAGTATACTATATGTCAGTTTGTGAAGTGTGTGTGTTCTCACTTGACAAGGTTCTGGAATGCGTATCCGTCGGTCCACTGTTCCGTGTAGGAGGCTCCATGTCGTACGGTGGTGAAGTGTCCCAGTCTCAGACGGTCCTGCATGCTCTTCTCTCTGCACGACTGCTTCTCCTGGGTGCTCTACATACACACAAATTGACGCCAGTTACTGACACAACCGCACATGGCTTGTGTCAGTAACAGACATCCACACACACACACACACAAACAATACCTTCTCTATCAGTAATTTCTTGCTCATGGTGATGCATTTGTTCAGCCTCTCCTTGTATTTCTCCAGTAGTTTCTGCTGTTCATCAATCTGTCTCCTCAGGTCACAGTTAGCCTGGAGGGAAAACAAATGTATCAATGCATAATACAATCAATGCACAACAATACACAACCTCCACATAACACCTGTAGTACCCTACTACCCTAACTATCACAACCTCTACCTGTAGTGCCCTAACTAGCACAACCTCTACCTATCACCTGTAGTACCCTAACTAGCACAACCTCTACCTATCACCTGTAGTACCCTAACTAGCACAACCTCTACCTATCACCTGTAGTACCCTAACTAGCACAACCTCTACCTATCACCTGTAGTACCCTAACTAGCACAACCTACCTATCACCTGTAGTACCCTAACTAGTACAAACTCTACCTATAGTACCCTAACTAGTACAACTATTACCTATAGTAACCTAGTACCCTAACTAGTACACGCTCTACCTATAGTACCCTAGTACCCTAACTAGCACAACCTCTACCTATAGTACCCTAACTAGTAAAACCTCTACCTATAATACCCTAACTAGTAAAACCTCTACCTATAGTACCCTAACTAGAACAACCTCTACCTATAGTACCCTAACTAGTAAAACCTCTACCTATAGTACCCTAACTAGCACAACCTCTACCTATAGTACCTTAGTAACCTAACTAGTACAAGCTCTACCTAAAGTACCCTAGTACAAACTCTACCTATAGTACCCTAACTAGCACAACCTCTACCTATAGTACCCTAACTAGTACAACCTCTACCTATAGTACCCTAGTACCCTAACTAGCACAACCTCTACCTATAGTATCATAACTAGTACAACCTCTACCTATAGTACCCTAACTAGTACAGCCTCTACCTATAGTACCCTAACTAGTACAACATCTACCTATAGTACCATAGTAACCTAACTAGCACAACCTCTACCTATAGTACCATAGTACCCTAACTAGTACAAGCTCTACCTAAAGTACCCTAGTACCCTAACTAGTACAAGCTCTACTTATAGTACCCTAGTACCCTAACTAGCACAACCTCTACCTATAGTACCCTAACTAGTACAAGCTCTACCTATAGTACCCTAGTAACCTAACTAGTACAAAATCTACCTATAGTACCCTAACTAGTACAACCTCTACCTATAGTACCCTAACTAGTACAAGCTCTACCTATAGTACCCTAGTACCCTAACTAGTACAAGCTCTACCTATAGTACCCTAGTAACCTAACTAGTACAAGCTCTACCTATAGTACCCTAACTAGTACAAAATCTACCTATAGTACCCTAACTAGTACAACCTCTACCTATAGTACCCTAGTACCCTAACTAGTACAAGCTCTACCTATAGTACCCTAACTAGTACAAACTCTACTTATAGTACCCTAGTACCCTAATTAGTACAAGCTCTATCTAAAGTACCCTAGTACCCTAACTAGTACAACCATTACCTATAGTACCCTAACTAGTACAAGCTCTACCTATAGAACCCTAGTACCCTAACTAGTACAACCTCTACCTATAGTACCCTAACTAGTACAACTTCTACCTATAGTACCCTAGTACCCTAATTAGTACAAGCTCTATCTAAAGTACCCTAGTACCCTAACTAGTACAACCATTACCTATAGTACCCTAACTAGTACAAGCTCTACCTATAGAACCCTAGTACCCTAACTAGTACAACCTCTACCTATAGTACCCTAACTAGTACAAACTCTACTTATAGTACCCTAGTACAACCTCTACCTATAGTACCCTATCTAGCACAACCTCTACCTATAGTACCCTATCTAGCACAACCTCTACCTATAGTACCCTAACTAGTACAACCTCTACCTATAGTACCCTAGTACCCTAACTAGTACTACCTCTACCTATAGTACCCTTAGCACAAGCATTACCTGTAGTACCCTAACTAGTAGAACCTCAACCTATCATCTGTGGTACCCTAACTAGCACAACCTCTACCTATCACCTGTAGTACCCTAACTAACACGTAAACTCACCCTAAGCAGGTCATCAATGCGTCCCTCTTTCTTCTCCAGGTCCAGACTCTTGTTGCTCTCCAGAGCAGCCAGCTTCAGACCTGTCAACTCCGTCTGGGGAGAGAAAGGGGAGAGGAGTAGGTGAGAAAGAAGTGTGTGACAGGTGTGAGGTGCGTAAGAGAAGGAGATGCGATAAGAGTGAGGAAAGAGAGAGTGCAAGTCTTTTTTTTGGGGGGTAGATCAGCTTTAATATTGCAGATAGATTGGAACTTCCATCAATGTAATTGTCTGCATCACTTCTAATCAACCATGTTTTTTTCTTGCATATACAGTGGGGAAAACAAGTATTTGATACACTGCCGATTTTGCAGGTTTTCCTACTTACAAATCACATTGTATGATTTTTAAGTAATTAATTTGCATTTTATTGCATGACATAAGTATTTGATACATCAGAAAAGCAGAACTTAATATTTGGTACAGAAACCTTTGTTTGCAATTACAGAGATCATACGTTTCCTGTAGGTCTTGACCAGGTTTGCACACACTGCAGCAGGGATTTTGGCCCACTCCTCCATACAGACCTTCTCCAGATCCTTCAGGTTTCGGGGCTGTCGCTGGGAAATACGGACTTTCAGCTCCCTCCAAAGATTTTCTATTGGGTTCAGGTCTGGAGACTGGCTAGGCCACTCCAGGACCTTGAGATGCTTCTTACGGAGCCACTCCTTAGTTGCCCTGGCTGTGTGTTTCGGGTCGTTGTCATGCTGGAAGACCCAGCCACGACCAATCTTCAATGCTCTTACTGAGGGAAGGAGGTTGTTGGCCAAGATCTCGCGATACATGGCCCCATCCATCCTCCCCTCAATACGGTGCAGTCGTCCTGTCCCCTTTGCAGAAAAGCATCCCCAAAGAATGATGTTTCCACCTCCCCCTTTTGTACTCATCCTTCTTCTTCCTCCAAACACGGTGAGTGGAGTTTAGACCAAAAAGCTCTATTTTGGTCTCATCAGACCACATGACCTTCTCCCATTCCTCCTCTGGATCATCCAGATGGTCATTGGCAAACTTCAGACGGGCCTGGACATGCGCTGGCTTGAGCAGGGGGACCTTGCGTGCGCTGCAGGATTTTAATCCATGACGGCGTAGTGTGTTACTAATGGTTTTCTTTGAGACTGTGGTCCCAGCTCTCTTCAGGTCATTGACCAGGTCCTGCCGTGTAGTTCTGGGCTGATCCCTCACCTTCCTCATGATCATTGAAGCCCCACAAGGTGAGATCTTGCATGGAGCCTCAGACCGAGGATGATTGACCGTCATCTTGAACTTCTTCCATTTTCTAATAATTGCGCCAACAGTTGTTGCCTTCTCACCAAGCTGCTTGCCTATTGTCCTTTAGCCCATCCCAGCCTTGTGCAGGTCTACAATTTTATCCCTGATGTCCTTACACAGCTCTCTGGTCTTGGCCATTGTGGAGAGGTTGGAGTCTGTTTGATTGAGTGTGTGGACAGGTGTCTTTTATACAGGTAACGAGTTCAAACAGGTGCAGTTAATACAGGTAATGAGTGGAGAACAGGAGGGCTTCTTAAAGAAAAACTAACAGGTCTGTGAGAGTCGGAATTCTTACTGGTTGGTAGGTGATCAAATACTTATGTCATGCAATAAAATGCAAATTAATTACTTAAAAATCATACAATGTTATTTTCTGGATTTTTGATTTTTAGATTCCGTCTCTCACAGTTGAAGTGTACCTATGATAAAAATTACAGACCTCTACATGCTTTGTAAGTAGGAAAACCTGCAAAATCGGCAGTGTATCAAATACTTGTTCTCCCCACTGTATATATATATATATATACACACACACACACACACACACATACATATCCTTTTTAAAAATATACAGTGGGGAAAAAAAGTATTTAGTCAGCCACCAATTGTGCAAGTTCTCCCACTTAAAAAGATGAGAGAGGCCTGTAATTTTCATCATAGGTACACGTCAACTATGACAGACAAAATGAGAAAAAAAAATCCAGAAAATCACATTGTAGGATTTTTAATGAATTTATTTGCAAATTATGGTGGAAAATAAGTATTTGGTCACCTACAAACAAGCAAGATTTCTGGCTCTCACAGACCTGTACCTTCTTCTTTAAGAGGCTCCTCTGTCCTCCACTTGTTACCTGTATTAATGGCACCTGTTTGAACATGTTATCAGTATAAAAGACACCTGTCCACAACCTCAAACAGTCACACTCCAAACTCCACTATGACCAAGACCAAAGAGCTGTCAAAGGACACCAGAAACAAAATTGTAGACCTGCACCAGGCTGGGAAGACTGAATCTGCAATAGGTAAGCAGCTTGTTTTGAAGAAATCAACTATGGGAGCAATTATTAGGAAATGGAAGACATACAAGACCACTGATAATGTCCCTCGATCTGTGGCTCCACGCAAGATCTCCCCCCGTAGGGTCAAAATGATCACAAGAATGGTGAGCAAAAATCCCAAAACCACACGGGGGGACCTAGTGAATGACCTGCAGAGAGCTGGGACCAAAGTAACAAAGCCTACCATCAGTAACACACTACGCCGCCAGGGACTCAAATCCTGCAGTGCCAGACGTGTCCCCCTGCTTAAGCCAGTACATGTCCAGGCCCGTCTGAAGTTTGCTACAGTGCATTTGGATGATCCAGAAGAGGATTGGGAGAATGTCATATGGTCAGATGAAACCAAAATATAACTTTTTGGTAAAAACTCAACTCGTCGTGTTTGGAGGACAAAGAATGCTGAGTTGCATCCAAAGAACACCATACCTACTGTGAAGCATGGGGGTGGAAACATCATGCTTTGGGGCTGTTTTTCTGCAAAGGGACCAGGACGACTGATCCGTGTAAAGGAAAGAATGAATGGGGCCATGTATCGTGAGATTTTTAGTGAAAACCTCCTTCCATCAGCAAGGGCATTGAAGATGAAACGTGGCTGGGTCTTTCAGTATGACAATGATCCCAAACACACCGCCCGGGCAACGAAGGAGTGGCTTCGTAAGAAGCATTTCAAGGTCCTGGAGTGGCCTAGCCAGTCTCCAGATCTCAACTCCATAGAAAATATTTGGAGGGAGTTGAAAGTCCATGTTGCCCAGCGACAGCCCCAAAACATCACTGCTCTAGAGGAGATCTGCATGGAGGAATGGGCCAAAATACCAGCAACAGTGTGTGAAAACCTTGTGAAGACTTACAGAAAACGTTTGACCTGTGTCATTGCCAACAAAGGGTATATAACAAAGTATTGACAAACTTTTGTCATTGACCAAATACTTATTTTCCACCATAATTTGCAAATAAATTCATTAAAAATCCTACAATGTGATTTTCTGGATTTTCTTTTCTCATTTTGTCTGTCATAGTTGACGTGTACCTATGATGAAAATTACAGGCCTCTCTCATCTTTTTAAGTGGGAGAACTTGCACAATTGGTGGCTGACTAAATACTTTTTTCCCCCACTGTATTTCCCTTTATTACTTTCCAACCCCACCACCACTTCCCTAATTGGAGTAAACTAGTGAACAACAATGCTTAGGCCTCTACTTCCAGCTTATACATACTATATACATTTTGGACATTATGGACACAGTCAATTCTACAATAATTCTATTTTGTTTGTTTTGTGTGCAAGTCTTACCTGAACACACTTGCTGGAGGAGGCTTTATGGTTCATAAGGTGATCTCCGAAACACAGACTGGTGGGAGAGGAGCTGTTCTGTCTGATCTACAGAGAGACAATACACATACAACACTGTTATAAACAATGTGATAAAACACCAAAGCCCAAAAAGGTCCTACCACTTCTGTGTGTATACGTACGTTAGAGCCTGATGCAGAGTGAGCGCCGTGGTGGGAGTTCTGTGGTGAGCGGAGGACCTGGGGTAGCCCCCTCACCGGACTGGAGCCACTCCCCCCCTGGAACTACACACAGGAAACAGCAGGGTGAGGAACAGGAAGTGACATCACATACAGTACCAGTCAAAAGTTTGGACACACCTACTCATTCAAGGGTTTTTCTTTATTTGTACTATTTCTACATTGTAGAATAATAGTGAAGAAATCAAAACTATGAAATAACACATGAATTATGTAGTAACCAAAAACGTGTTAAACAAATCAAAATATATTTTTATATTTGAGATTCTTAAAATAGCCACCCTTTGCCTTGATGACAGCTTTGCACACTCTTGTCATTCTCTCAACCATCTTCACCTGGAATGCTTTTCCAACAGTCTTGAAGGAGTTCCCACATATGCTGAGAACTTGTTGGCTGCTTTTCCTTCACTCTCCGGTCCGACTCATCCCAAACCATCTCAATTGGGTTGAGGTCGGGTGATTGTGGAGGCCAGGTCATCTGATGCAGCACTCCATCACTCTCCTTCTTGGTCAAATAGCCCTTACACAGCCTGGAGGTGTGTTTTGAGTCTTTGTCCTGTTGAAAAACAAATGATAGTCCCACTAAGCCCAAACCAGTTGGGATGGCGTATCGCTGCAGAATACTGTGGTAGCCATGCTGGTTAAGTGTGCCTTGAATTCTAAATAAATCACAGAAAGTGTCACCAGCAAAGCAACCCCACACCATAACACCACCTCCTCCATGCTTTACGGTGGGAAATACACATGTGGAGATAATCCGTTCACCCACACTGCGTCTCACAAAGCCACGGCGGTTGGAACCAAAAATCTCCAATTTGGACTCCAGATCAAAGGACACATTTCCACCGGTCTAATGTCCATTGCTTGTGTTTCTTGGCCCAAGCAAGTTTCATCTTATTAGTGTCCTTTAGTAGTGGTTTCTTTGCAGCAATTCGACCATGAAGGCCTGATTCACACAGTCCCATCTGAACAGTTGATGTTGAGATATGTCTGTTACTTGAACTCTGTGAAGCATTTATTTGGGCTGCAATTTCTGAGGCTGGTAACTCTAACGAACTTATCCTCTGCAGCAGAGGTAACTCTGGGTCTTCCATTCCTGTGGCGGTCCTTATGAGAGCCAGTTTCATTATTGCGCTTGATGGTTTTTGCGACAGCACTTGAAGAAACTTTCAAAGTTCTTTAAATGTTCTGTATTGACTGACCGTCATGTCTTAAAGTAATAAGACATGGGGCGGCAGGTAGCTTAGTGGTTAAGAGCGTTGTGCCAATAACCGAAAGGTCGCTGGTTCTAATCCCCGAGCCGACTAGGTGAAAAATCTGTCGATGTGCCCTTGAGCAAGGCACTTAACCCTAATTGCTCCTGTAAGTCGCTCTGGATAAGAGTGTCTGCTAAATGACAAAAATGTAAAAATGGACTGTCATTTCTCTTTGCTTATTTGAGCTGTTCTTGCCATAATATGGACTTGGTCTTTTACCAAATAGGGCTCTCTTCTGTATAACCCCCCCTACCTTGTCACAACACAACTGATTGGCTCAAACGCATTAAGGAAAGAAATTCCACAAATTAACTTTTAAGAAGGCACACCTTTTAATTGAAATGCATTCCAGGTGACAACCTCATCAAGCTGGTTGAGAGAATGCCAAGAGTGTGCAAAGCTGTCATCAAGGCAATGGGTGGCTATTTGAAGAATCTCACTTTTTTGGTTACTACATGATTCCATATGTGTTATTCATAGTTTTGATGTCTTCACTATATTTCTACAATGTAGAAAATAGTAAAAATAAAGAAAAACCCTGGAATGAGTAGGTGTGTCCAAACTTTTGACTGGTACTGTAAATATAGCCCAGCAATACACTATGAAAGACCCGACTACTTCCTGGATCATTTCCCATACTGTTTTTGAATGGGATTCAAGAGTATATCATCAAATTCATGAAAATGCGGTCATTTAAGATCCATGTACAATTATATTTGTGGATTAATTTAGTCCTACCTAATGGCTTTCATGAAAGTTTTCCATTGCGTTTTCTTTTTCATAATTGAAAACCTTAAAGGCATTGGGTAGAAGTAAATTAATCCACTAATATGAATATCATTATACATAAATGACTGCTTTTTCATACATTTGAGGACATACTTTTGAATACCATTCAAAAACAGCAAGGGACATGATCCAGGAAGTAGGCGGGACTTTCATAGCGTATAGCAGTGCGCCTCAAGATGGGAAATTCACAATATCAACCAATCACAATCTGCTTAATCACTCATCACACCACGACCCAATCACCTTAACATCTCACTTAACCTAACATAGCAGGCGTAGAAAGATGCCTGAGCAGAGTCCCTACTTCCGTTTTTCAGAGGAAATGGAAGTTAGATTGAAAATACTGTATCCCTGAAAACTGGATGTTACCGTTTTCTGGCGACTCCGCATAGGCTACATCTCACTAGACATCTTGCGAGTCAAGTCCAACCAGCTTGACCCATGGAGGACTTACATTTAGTTTAACTTACACAGAACAACTACATAATACGACACTCACATCAAAGTAGTCACTGATCTTGGGCCCCCGTGTGGAAGTCTTCCCTGTGGTAGAGGAGAGCACAGAGCAGATACCGTGGGTTAGAAACGCATTACACAGCCTAGCAGACACAGAGGTTAGCACAGCTCAGGGACCTTACACCAGAATGTAACAATGGCACTGTGTCACCTTGTTTAACGGAGAGTGATACCACGTGACATTCAGAATATACACTATGTGGACACCTGCTCGTCGAACATCTCATTCCAAAATCATGGGCATTAATATGGAGTTGGTCCCCCCTTTGCTGCTATAACAGCCTCCACTCTTCTGGGAACATTTTCCACTAGATGTTCGAACATTGCTGCAGGGACTTGCTTCCATTCAGCCACAAGAGCATTAGTGAGGTCGGGCACTGATGTTGGACGATTAGGCCTGGGTCGCAGTCGGTGTTCCAATTCATCCCAAAGGTGTTCGATGGGGTTGAGTTCAGGGCTCTGTGCAGGACAGTAAAGTTATTCCACACCGATCTCAACAAACCATTTCTGTATGGACCTCGCTTTGTGCATTGGGGTATTGTCATGCTGAAACAGGAAAGAGCCTTCCCCAAACTGTTGCCACAAAGTTAGAAGCACACAATTGTCAATGTCATTGTATGCTGTAGCGTTAAGATTTCCCTTCACTGGAACTAAGGGGCCTAGCCCGAACCATGGAAAACAGCCCCAGACCATTATTAATCCTCCACCAAACTTTACAGTTGGCACTATGCATTGGGGCATGTAGCATTCGCCAAACCCAGATTCTTCTGTCAGACTGCCAGATGGGGAAGCGTGATTCATCACTCCAGAGAACGCGTTTCCACTGCTCCAGAGTCCAATGGCGGCGAGCTTTACACCACTCCAGCCGACGCTTCGCATTGCGCATGGTAATCTTAGGCTTGTGTGTGTGTGCAGCTGCTCGGCCATGGAAACCCATTTCATGAAGCCCCCGACGAACAGTTATTGTGCTGACGTTGCTTCCAGAGGCAGTTTGGAACTCGGTAGTGAGTGTTGCAACCGAGGACAGACAATTTTTACGCGCTATGCGCTTCAGCACTCGGCGGTCCTGTTCTGTGAGCTTGTGTGGCCTACCACTTTGCGGCTGAACCATTGTTGCTCCTAGACGTTTCCACTTCACAATAACAGCACTTACAGTTGACCGGGGCAGCTCTAGCAGGGCAGAAATTTGACGAACTGACTTGTTGGAAAGGTGGCATCCTATGACGGTGCCACGTTGAAAGTCACTGAGCTCTTCAGTAAGGCCATTCTACTGCCAATGTTTGTCTATGGAGATTGCATGGCTGTGTGCTCAATTTTATACACCTGTCAGCAACAGGTGTGGCTGAAATAGCCGAATCCATTAATTTGAAGGGGTGTCCACATACTTTTGTATATATAGTGTACCTTGTTTAACTGAGTGATACCATGTGACATTCAATATACCTTGTTTAACAGTGATACCATGTGACATTCAGAATATACCTTGTTTAACTGAGTGATACTATGTGACATTCAATATATCTTGTTTAACTGTGTGATACCATGTGACATTCAGAACATACCTTGTTTAACTGGGTGATACCACATGACATTCAGAATAAACATTGTCTAGTGGAAGGGCCCGACTACGGACAGGGAGCTTGCGAGTGAGTGACTTTGAAACGAACATATCAAGTACCAAGGAGAATCCAAAACCCTTTCACGTCCTGACCAGAATTTCTCCCCTGTTTATAATGTCTTATTTCATTGAAACATTTAGTCAGGTTGAGACCAAGGTCACTTTTACAAATGAGCCCTGTAATTACAAAGATACACCCATCAAATACAAGACAGAAATACAAAACACAATCATAGAAAACAGGTACAGTGCCTTCAGAAGGTATTCATACCCCTTGACTTATTTCAGATTGTGTTGTGTTACAGCCTGAATTCAAAATGGACAAAATAGATTTTTGTCCTCACCCATCTAGACACAATACCCCATAATGACAAAGTGAAAACATGTTTAGAAACTTTAGCAAATGTATTGAAAATGAAATTCAGAAATATCTTATTTACTTAAGTATTCACACCCCTGAGTCAATACATGTTAGAATCATCTTTGGCAGTGATTACAGCTGTGAGTCTTTCTGGGTAAGTCTCTAAGAGCTTTGCACACCTGGATTGTACAATATTTGTGTCAGGTTTTGGCCATGACTGTTCGGGTTTTGGTCACTAGATGTCCCCATTGCACCTTTTTGTACCTCTTGTTTTTCTTGCTCTAATTATTGTTTGCACCTGTAGGTCATTCCCTTGTTAGTATTTAAACCCTGTGTGTTCCTCAGTTCCTTGCTCAGTGTTTGTAAGTTAGCACCCAGCCCCAGCCCAAGCCTTGTTTTATATAGATATTTCTCTGGTGGGATTTTCCAGAGGTTCTCTGGTTTAGTTCTTGTGTTTTGTTTGAGTAGTCTTTTGAGGTTTGTTTTTTCCCTGCTGTTTTTTACCACTTTGTGGAGTTTCTTTTGTTTTTGGAGGTTTTCCTCTTTGTGCCTCTTGGGCTTTATTTTTGGTCATTGTGGATTTAGCTTCTTTGCCTGAAGATTTTGTTCTTTAATAAACCACCATCTCTAGTACAGCTGTGTCTGCCTCATCTTCTGGGTTCTGACAATTATTAGTGACTGTTTCTCGCACCGGGTCGTGACAGAAAAAAAGGTGCAATGGGGACATCTAGTGACCAAAACCCGAACAGTCATGGCCAAAACCTGACAATTTGCACATTATTCTTTTTAACAGTCTTCAAGCTCTGTCAAGTTGGTTGTTGATCATTGCTAGACAGCCATTTTCAAGTCTTGCCATAGATTTTAAAGCAAATTTAGTCAAAACTGTAAACTGTAACTAGGCCACTCAGGAACATTCAACGTTGTCTTGTGTTTTAGGTTATTGTCCTGCTGAAAGGTGAATTTGTCTCCCAGTGTCTGTTGGAAAGCAGACTGAACCAGGTTTTCCTCTAGGATTTTGCCTGTGCTTAGCTCTATTCCGTTCCTTAGTCCTTGCCGATGACAAGCATACCCATAACATGATGCAGCCACCAACATGCTTGAAAAATATGAAGAGTGCTACTCAGTGATGTGTTGTATTTGCCTTAAACATAATGCTTTGTATTCAGGACATAAAGTTTGTTTCTTGCAGTTTTAATGCCTTATTGCAAGCGGTGTGAATACAGTGGGGGGAAAAAGTATTTCGTCAGCCACCAATTGTGCAAGTTCTCCCACTTAAAAAGATGAGAGGCCTGTAATGTTCATCATAGGTACACGTCAACTATAACAGACAAATTGAGAAAAAATTCCTGAAAATCACATTGTAGGATTTTTAATGAATTTATTTGCAAATTATGGTGGAAAATAAGTATTTGGTCACCTAAAAACAAGCAAGATTTCTGGCTCTCACAGACCTGTAACTTCTTCTTTAAGAGGCTCCTCTGTCCTCCACTCGTTACCTGTATTAATGGCACCTGTTTGAACTTGTTATCAGTATAAAAGACACCTGTCCACAACCTCAAACAGTCACACTCCAAACTCCACTATGGCCAAGACCAAAGAGCTGTCAAAGGACACCAGAAACAAAATTGTAGACCTGCACCAGGCTGGGAAGACTGAATCTGCAATAGGTAAGCAGCTTGGTTTGAAGAAATCAACTGTGGGAGCAATTATTAGGAAATGGAAGACATACAAGACCACTGATAATCTCCCTCGATCTGGGGCTCCACGCAAGATCTCACCCCGTGGGGTCAAAATGATCACAAGAACGGTGAGCAAAAATCCCAGAACCACACGGGGGGACCTAGTGAATGACCTGCAGAGAGCTGGGACCAAAGTAACAAAGCCTACCATCAGTAACACACTAAGCCGCCAGGGACTCAAATCCTGCAGTGCCAGACGTGTCCCCCTGCTTAAGCCAGTATATGTCCAGGCCCGTCTGAAGTTTGCTAGAGTGCATTTGGATGATCCAGAAGAGGATTGGGAGAATGTCATATGGTCAGATGAAACCAAAATATAACTTTTTGGTAAAAACTCAACTCGTCGTGTTTGGAGGACAAAGAATGCTGAGTTGCATCCAAAGAACACCATACCTACTGTGAAGCATGGGGGTGGAAACATCATGCTTTGGGGCAGTTTTTCTGCAAAGGGACCAGGACGACTGATCCGTGTAAAGGAAAGAATGAATGGGGCCATGTATCGTGAGATTTTGAGTGAAAACCTCCTTCCATCAGCAAGGGCATTGAAGATGAAACGTGGCTGGGTCTTTCAGCATGACAATGATCCCAAACACACCGCCCGGGCAACGAAGGAGTGGCTTCGTAAGAAGCATTTCAAGGTCCTGGAGTGGCCTAGCCAGTCTCCAGATCTCAACCCCATAGAAAATATTTGGAGGGAGTTGAAAGTCCATGTTGCCCAGCGACAGCCCCAAAACATCACTGCTCTAGAGGAGATCTGCATGGAGGAATGGGCCAAAATACCAGCAACAGTGTGTGAAAAACCTTGTGAAGACTTACATAAAACGTTTGACCTGTGTCATTGCCAACAAAGGGTATATAACAAAGTATTGAGAAACTTTTGTTATTGACCAAATACTTATTTTCCACCATAATTTGCAAATAAATTCATTAAAAATCCTACAATGTGATTTTCAGGATTTTTTTTCTCATTTTGTCTGTCATAGTTGACGTGTACCTATGATGAAAATTACAGGCCTCTCTCACCTTTTTAAGTGGGAGAACTTGCACAATTGGTGGCTGACTAAATACTTTTTTCCCCCACTGTACTTTCTGAAGGCACTGTATGTATGTGTCATACCCTGGCTGTTTTCCGATTGGATGTCAGCTTTCCTCTTCCTTCCTCTGGGCGACTCAGAGTGCTTCTTCTCAGGGGTCTGAGAATAAACAAATAGTAAATCACTTTTCTGACACTCGCGTGTCCCCTTAGGAAGAGAGTGTATGAATTTGTGTGTGGGGTGTGGGGGGGGGGCAGGACAATAGGAAGGAAGAGTACGTACAGAATATGCAGGAGAACTCCCTCTCTTCATATCAGAGTTCTAGCGAGAGAAAGATACATTAGAAAGAGAGCGAGGGAGGAAAGAGAGAGATTGAGGTGGGTCATGCAAGGACAAACAAAGATATCATTCCGTCTCCTGATTAACTGTCCATGGTTCCAGAAATTAGAATGGCTACATAGACAAAATGCCTGCCTTCCTTGTCTCCACTCAAACAAAATGGCGTCTTTTCTTTAAACAGCACGTAAGCCACCTGTGTGTCGGTGATATGGTGTGACATCTAATCACTGAAACTAGGCCAGCCCTGTCCCTCACTGACATCGTCTCTGCATAGTGTGTGTGTGTGTGTCTCACCTCTGACTCTTTATCGCTGGAAGAGCCCAGACTGCCATAGCTGTGGTTGGAGCACTCGTTGGCCAGACCCTGGACATACAGACAAGTCAGACATAAATGTTTAGTGTGTGTAATGTGTGATTTTCATGTGCTTGCCTTTTAAAAAACGTTTTGGTGTGTCTGGTATAAGTAAAAGCTTGCATGTGTGTGTTATAGTATTTATGTCTGCGATAGTAATTGCGTAATAACGTATGTGTCTGTCACCTTGGCCCCCCCGCTGGCGCTGCTTCCTACTGTGTTGCCGCTGACCGCACCCATGAACCTGGCCTCCAGAAGCTCCTGCCTGCGAGGGTCCAGGCTGTGCAGCTCCTCCATGGGGCCTAAACACAACATAGAATGAGGCTACATATGGCTATGTAAGGATACAGCATACTGCATCCGACTATCTCACACTACCATCCACTTCTAATAAGTGCAAACGGTTTGAACGCAGTGCACTTCACCAGTCCCACATCAACTTAGTCTATCTGCATTTAGTGACCACATTATGGACAGCACCAAGCTACAGCATGTATGTATCAGGTGTCAACAGTATGTTACACTGTATGACCAATACGACCTAGCAGTCAGTATTGGGTACTGGACTAGACAAGCACAGAGGCTCCAATTCAACAGCTGAGCTATGGGCCTGAACTTCAACTCAAAGAGTTAACTTTGCCTTCATGAATCACCAACACACACAACATGGAATGTCTGACACACACACCCACCCACTCCGCCTTATGACAGAGGTGCAAGTAAAGTGAAACCAGACAGCAGTTATAAAGCATTGACAACTGACAAGCATTCAATATGTCCACAGGAATACCACATCCAGGCCTCATCTTGACCCCACAGAAAGCCATAGTTACATTGTTATTACAATCCCAATTGGAATAGTTTGCAACAGTAACACATGTGATACACTAATTTACTAAAGTAGACTGTGACAAACTTCCGTTCCGATGGCATCAGTCACAGGCTTTAGCTCTGTTGCATGACAGCAGCAGCAACATTCTATTCTTGTTCTGATGTTGAAGTGATCAGAATATAGGCCTAAACTTCTTTGTTTGGCAAAGGACAAGGCATTTGAATGCATCATAACTCAATGGATTCGCATAGACCTGCAGTAGCATTGCTGTTCGACAGAAGGCTAAAGACAACTAACGTTAGCTACCCACAGCTGTTTATAAGAGGTCTCGGCAACATCGCTAGCTAACTACATAAACAACAACTCCTTGGGCTTGGTCATCGGTCTGTCCAGCAGTCTAGACTGTTCCTACTTGTTTTCCACTCAATCTGTCTGCCCCTGTCTGAATATTCCATCGCTATTGTTCTTCTGTAGCTGAGTGCTGACACCTATCTAGCGAGGTAGTAGCTAACGTTGGCTAGCTACTGTACTGACTATAGCTGACAAGGTTCGACCATCAATTCGCGGCATCCATTGACATCCATATTTCCGTCGAATTGGGGCGATATAACTGGAAACAGTACCCATTTCCCATCGAACAGACTTCGACGAATGACATCGTTGCTGAATTTACCTTCCTTGGTCTTGGTGGTCGCCGTTATGTGTTGTTGAGAAATCGTTGGGGACGAGGATAGCTGCGACCAAGATGGCGTCGCCTCCAAACTTCCACCACCACTTCCACTGTTACTTTGGACACTCATGAAGCCACTTTACAAGTGAGAGAGCAGACACACGGGCGTCCGTGCAAATCCGAAATCCCAAAAGTGCATCCACAAACAGGCACCTGCTACATAGCTACGACAATAAATCTAATTTTGCACATTTGTTGTAAACAGATATATTTCAGTAAGCTCTGCAGTACATATGCGTCTTGAAGTAGCATGCTAGGATAAAATGTAACCTTTGCATCGATCGAGCCGCTGTCAGCATCAGTTCGCGAACAGCGCTCCAATCCTAGAATAGGCTATCGCGAGGTTAGCGCCATAGAAATATAATCAGTAGAACCGATATCCAGTTAGACCGTTAGAAGAATGCATGGTCAATCATTATCATCTCAAAACTCTGTGCCACATGTGAATAACGTGTATTTAAATTACAAGTTATATTGTTCAGCCATGTTGGATGATGTACCAATTTACAGATCAGCTACCAGAAAAGTACCACACAAAAATGCATGGGTCAAAAGATCTACTAAGCCTATATCTGTGATTGGCGCGCACCTCGCTAGTCCTGTGGATGAGATGATACGAAAACAATGAAGCGACACCCCAAAAATGGCCGTAAGTCACACAAGTTCATCTCCTCGCATGAACAAAATATTGAATTAAATGGTAGATCGAAAAATTACATATGACTACAATTTATTTTCTTCATACTTTTATTCATATAAATATATTAATGCCTTTAGGTATAGGCCTACATATCCATTGAAAAATGCATCTGGCTACAGCCATTTTCAGATGTCAGGATTTGTTTGGAAAGGCTGTTCACTTAGTGTGTGTTCGTGCTATGTGTGCATGGTTGAATTCCACTACACACTGGCAAGTTGAAAACATGCGTATTGTTGTATTGGCCTATAATAAAAGGAATCTTATAAAAAATAAGTGAACATGCTTGATGCAGGAGGACAATGTTATGATCTACAGATGGAGAAAATGCTTTGTTCCAAATCTGGTGCAATGCATCAGCCAGCTAGGTCTGCATGTTATGTTGTTGTGGTGAAGCTTTTGTGACGTCACTGTGGAATTCACACACACACACACACACACACACACACACACACACACACACTTTCTTTGGATGTGTTTGTGTTGGTCATTGGGTGACTTAACCCTTTACACCCCAATGGAGCCAACCAGGCGAAGGCAGGTCAATGGCAGACTGAACAATGTTCATGTGTGTATTTTCTGTAATTTCTGTAATTCAGGGCTCATCTGTAAAAGACACCTTGGTCTTAGTATGACTCCCTGATAAAATAAAGGTTAAATCAAATAAAATAACAACAGACTCACAGTGGGTTCCGCTGACGAGCTCTCTCTGTAATAACAACAGATTAGTCGATATGATTCTGACAGCACAAAGTTATAGAGTGTTTAAGATGATCATAATACACACACTCACTATTGTGTATTTATTATTACTTTTATTATTACTTTTCTATTATTTCTCTATTTTCTTTCTCTCTGCATTGTTGGGAAGGGCCCGTGAGCATTTCACTGTTAATCTACACCTGTTGTTTACGAAGCATGTGACGAATACAATGTGATTTGATTTGACTCTTGTGGTGGTGTGAGTATGTGAGCGCCTACAGTAGAGGATAAGGGGGTAGAGGATAAGCATGAGATTATTTACAATCACTAAACTCACTGTTTTATGCCAATTAATACATTATATCAGCAGGCTTGAATGAAACAATGTGTGGATATTTCATATTTAATGTTTTTTTTTCTCTGAACGAGAGCTTGTTTGTTGGAAGGTTTGATATATTTGGTGGCGAGTGTGTGTGTGTTCCAGGTAAGTTAAGTTACATCAGGAAATAGGTTATATTTGGTTAAGAAAGCGAGTGAGGTACACATATACACACACACACGATATGCACCTGCTCATGTGGTAACCTGATTTATAAGTCATGAGATGAGTTTCCATGGTAACGGTAACAGAGTGATAGCCCTTTACAGGCATTGTTACAGAGCGATAGCCCTTTACAGGCATTGTTACAGAGCGATAGCCCTTTACAGGCATTGTTACAGAGCGATAGCCTTTACAGGCATTGTTACAGAGCGATAGCCCTTTACAGGCATTGTTACAGAGCGATAGCCTTTACAGGCATTGTTACAGAGCGATAGCCCTTTACAGGCATTGTTACAGAGCGATAGCCCTTTACAGGCATTGTTACAGAGCGATAGCCTTTACAGGCATTGTTACAGAGCGATAGCCCTTTACAGGCATTGTTACAGAGCGATAGCCTTTACAGGCATTGTTACAGAGCGATAGCCCTTTACAGGCATTGTTACAGAGCGATAGCCCTTTACAGGCATTGTTACAGAGCGATAGCCCTTTACAGGCATTGTTATAGAGGAAGAGGAAGATGGAATAAGTACAGTAGAGTGAACAGAAACGCACACACTCTTTTTCTCTTCCCATCCACACACAAAGAGCCCGAAAGAAAATTACAGTTAATGTTGTATAAACAGGATTATAAACTGGGTGGTTCAAGCCCTAAATGCTGATTGGCTGACAGCAGTGGTATATCAGCCCGTATACCACGGGTATGACAAAACATTTATTTTTACTCTACTAATTATGTTGGTAACCAGTTTATAATAGCAATAACTCCCCTCAAGGGTTTGTGGTATATGGCCAATATACCACTGCTAAGGGCTGTTCTTATACATGACGCAACGTGGAGTGCCTGGACACAGCCCTTTGCCGTGTTATATTGGCCATATACCACAAACCCCAGAGGTGACTTATTACATTTGACTTATTACATTTATTTTTAGTCAGTTTATAATAGCAATAAGTCACCTCAGGGATTTGTGGTATATTTGTATTTAATAGGGATCCCCATTAGCTGCTGCCAAAGCAGCTGCTACTCTTCCTGGGGTCCAAATACATTAAGGCATTTAAATCACACATAAAACAAAAGATAAAACAGTACATCATATAACATTATTACACCACTACATATCTACAGGCACTCCTCGTTGCGTCGTGCTTTAGAACAGCCCCTAGCCGTGGTATATTGGCCATATACCACACCCCCCTGGGCCTTATTGCTTAAATAACCCATTCCCTATAGAAATTGAGTTCATTAATGGAGAGCGAGGGAGAGAGAGAGAATAGACTACTGCATACTGCCATGTAATGAGAGCCAGAGCCAGGGCATTCCAAGAGCATCAAATGTCTGCCGGTCTATAAGAAAGGCAGAGAGTGAAAGGTGGCAGACATTTTGAAAAGCAGTTACAGTGAGCCAGTGGATAAGGAACGTGGGGTCATCAGTTTCTGGCCATGCTAAAGAGGAAGATCAAAGTACAATGCATTCAAACCAACATCATTTCATCCATTAACTTTTACCCCAACCCATTACCCTTAACCCTAAACAAATCTACTTGCTCAATAGTTCTGTTGATATAATAGTTTATCCTTTCTAGTAGATGCACAAAGCAATGAACTGAACAACAGTTGAGGTCTTATGTGAATCCACTAATTTCTTATTTCACATAGCTATTAGTCATGTGTTAAAGACACAGGTTTACAAACTTAAAGACATGTTACATCAGAAAGGGGGCATAATGACCCCAAAGTACAGATGCCTGAAACCTGATCTACCTTGGAGTATCATGTCTAGCCCAAACTTTAATGTTGATGAGAGCAAGGGTTTACAGGGGATGACTCTCTAGCCCAACTCCTTGATGAGTGCAAGAGATTGAGCCATGGTCAAGCTGATATCTTTGAATGAACCATTGGCGCCATCTAAAGCCACATGCTCGCAAGGACATGAAGGAAGGCGATTCAAATGCACGTTAACAATTTTGTCCTTCCTCAGGTCCCATCCATGTAGAAAAATCTGTCTGGAAGTTGCTCGTATTCACAGACCTAGGATCAGATTATCCACCCCGAATTCCAACCTTAACCAGGAGGGGTATTCCTTACTCGGTATGACATCATCCACTGATCATTGTTTGTAGAGCTGTCAGTTCCATCACCGACCTAGTACTGTAACTCCATACGAATTGGAGTTCATTTAAAGCATTATATCAAGTAAGTGTAATTATACTAGCTACTTTCATGTTTTAGTAGTTTAAAACCGTGATACGCGATTTGATCATGTCTGAGTCGGTCACCGTGTACTTAACAGGATAGCTAGCTACTTGTATTGTTGGCACTTTGGCTGTCACTGTCAGGCTTATCGCCGGCTGGCTAGCTAGCTAGCTAACGCCCTTGCCTTGCAAGAATAGCTAGGAGATTATTGTCAAAACTAAATCTACCATGTGGATAATCAGATTACCATTGTACAATGAAGCGAGTTTAAATGAAGGGTTGCGGCTTTCTCTCTCCAGTCAACGTGTGCTCCGTTTGCTGGCTAGTTTGGCATCGAGCACATAGTCTCTAAAAAGAAGATCGAGCAGGACACAGATGACGTTGACTGCCAGGACGCAGATGACGTTGACTGTTGGCCAGCGGGCGAGCGTCCATCACAGAATCAGATGAAACTGGGATGTGACCAATCAGTGGAAAGAGTACCCAATTGTCATACTTGAGTAAAAGTATAGATACCTTAATAGAAAGTCACTCAAGTAAAAGTGAAAGTCCGCCAGTAAAATACTACTTGTGTAAAAGTCTAAAAGTATTTGGTTTTAAATATACTTAAGTATCAAAAGTAAATGTAATTGCTAAAATAAAAGTATAAATAATTTAAAATTCCTTATATTAAGCAAAGCAGACGGCACCATTTTCTTGTTTTTAAAATATATGGATAGCCAGGGGCACACTCCAACACTCCAACATTATTTACAAAAGATGCATTTGTGTTTAGTGAGTCTGCCAGGCCAGAAGGGATGACCACGTTTTCTCTTGATAAGTGCTTGAATTTGACAGTTTTCCTGTCCTGCTAAGCATTCAAAATGTAACGAGTCGTTTTGGTTGTCTGGGAAAATGTATGGAGTAAAAAGTACAATATTTTCTTTAGGAATGTAGTGAAGTAAAAGTAAAAGTAGTCGAAAAATATAAATAGTAAAGTAAAGTACAGATACCCCAAAACACTACTTAAGTAGAACTGTAAAGTATTTTTACTTAAGTACTTTACACCACTGCCAATCAACCCGTTTGACCTTTCCAATCAACCATCAAATTAATTTGGTGTTAATAACAAACCTTTTGGTTAATGTTGTAATCTCATGATTTTATCTCCTGCATGAATCAACGGACAAAAAGTAGGCCTAAGTTTTCTATCTCGTCCCGCCCATGATAAGATCTGATCCGAATTGGTTTTGATCAAAATATAATAACATAGACCTTTTTGATCGGGACTCTCAGTTCTATTACATTACACGTAAGAGTCATTGGACGAAGGTGTCTTCTGTACAGGGGGAGTTTTGTTGAGATCCCCAACGCTTGGTCTGAACAGGGGCCCAAAGCGAGATTTGGTTAATTTACCAATCAAAATGTTTTATCTGACATGGCTAATTGAGTGACTGTCAGTGACTGACATAACAATATAAAAATTGCTGATGTGCAACCAAATTTCGAACTTGCACCTTGTGTATTCTACTATTCTAACTCTCAAAAATAAATTGGGACCCCTGACTGAGTTCCCCCAAAAAATTATTAAAATGTTGCAGTTTTTGTAAAGTTTTCTGCAATTCTACACATTTTGCCATAGGGCGGAAATAACATTTTAAACACATTTCATTAAATTCTACTCATCTTGCCATGGGGCAGATATAATTTTTCCCCCAGTTTTACAGCTAATTTCCTGCAATTCTACCCATTTTGCCATGACTTATGCCATGTTAATGATATCTGAGTGAGAGTGACTAACAAAATAAATTGGGGCCCCTTGGGCACGTGCCCTGCGTGACCGATCAGTATTCGGCCATGATAACTACAAGTTTAGATAGCTGGCTAGACTAATTTACCAATCTATAAATTGTTAGCAGATCTGGCTAATTGAGTGACTGTCAGTGACTGACATAACAAGATAAAAATTGCTGATGCACAACCAAATTTCGAACTTCCACCTTGTGTATTCAACTATTTTAACTCTCAACAGTAAATTGAGACCCCGACTGAGTACCTACAGTTGAAGTCGGAAGTTTACATGCACTTAGGTTGGAGTCATTAAAACTCGTTTTTCAACAACTCCACAAATTTCTTGTTAACAAACAATAGTTTTGTGCATGACACAAGTAATCTTTCCAACAATTGTTTACAGACAGATTATTTCACTTATAATTCACTGTATCACAATTCCTGTGGGTCAGAAGTTTACATACACTAAGTTGACTGTGCCTTTAAACAGCTTGGAAAATTCCAGAAAATGATGTCATGGCTTTAGAAGCTTCTGATAGGCTAATTGACATCATTTGAGTCAATTGGAGGTGTACCTGTGGATGTATTTCAAGGCCTACCTTCAAACTCAGTGCCTCTTTGCTTGACATCATGGGAAAATCAAAATAAATCAGCCAAGACCTCAGAAAACAAATTGTAAACCTCCACAAGTCTGGTTCATCCTTGGGAGCAATTTCCAAATGCCTGAAGGTACCACGTTCATATGTACAAACAATAGTACGCAAGTATAAACACCATGATACCACGCAGCCGTCATACCACTCAGGAAGGAGACGGGTTCTGTCTCCTAGAGATTAACATACTTTGGTGCGAAAAGTGCAAATCAATCCCAGAACAACAGCAAAGGACCTTGTGAAGATGCTGGAGGAAACACGTACAAAAGTATCTATATCCATAGTAAAATGAGTCCTATATCGACATAACCTGAAAGGCCGCTCAGCAAGGAAGAAGCCACTGCTCCAAAACCGCCATAAAAAAGCCAGACTACGGTTTGCAACTGCACATGGGGACAGAGAAATGTCCTCTGGTCTGATGAAACAAAAATAGAACTGTTTGGCCATAATGACCATCGTTATGTTTGGAGGAAAAAGGAGGAGCTTGCAAGCCAAAGAACACCATCCCAACCGTGAAGCACAGGGGTGGCAGCATCATGCTGTAGGGGTGCTTTGCTGCAGGAGGGACTGGTGCACTTCACAAAATAGATGGCATCATGAGGAAGGAAAATTATGTGGATATATTGAAGCAACATCTCAAGACATCAGTCAGGATGTTAAAGCTTAGTCGCAAATGGTTCTTCCAAATGGACAATGACCCCAAGCATACTTCCAAAGTTGTGGCAAAATGGCTTAAGGACAACAAAGTCAAGGTATTGGAGTGGCCATCACAAAGCCTTGACCTCAATCCTATAGAAAATGTGTGGAAAAGCATGTGCGAGCAAGGAGGCCTACAAACCTGACTCAGTTACACCAGCTCTGTCAGGAGGAATGGACCAAAATTCACCAACTTATTGTGGGAAGCTTGTGGAAGGCTACCCGGAACATTTGACCCAAGTTAAACAATTTAAAGGCAATGCTACCAAATTCTAATTGAGTGAATGTAAACTTCTGACCCACTGGGAATGTGATGAAAGAAATAAAAGCTGAAATAAATAATTATCTCTACTATTATTCTGACATCTCACATTCTTAAAATAAAGTGGTGATCCTAACTGACCTAAGACAGGGAATTTTTACTAGGATTAAATGTCAGGAATTGTGAAAAACTGAGTTTAAATATATTTGGCTAAGGGGTGTGTAAACTTCCGACTTCAACTGTACATAAATAAAAAAATTAAGAAAATACAGTTAGGGTTGGGTCCCCCCTAGCAGTATGAGGCCCTAAGCAACCGCTTATGTCGCTTATGCCTGGAGCCGGCCCTGGGTCTGAACATTAACATGCATTGCTTGCGATACGGTTTTGGAAGCATAAGGACCTTTCATATCAGTGAGAAATAATAATAATACTTTTTTTACAAAAAGGTTAAATTGATACACACCTTGATAGGGTTATGCTTCGTGTTCCCACACGGCCATATCTCCATGTTACAGCGCTTGTTGTTTACCAAAAACAGACGAAAGACCAGAGGCGACCACCTGTGCTCATTAGCTATCTTTCTGCGAACATCTGTGTAAGCATAACTCGGGAAGTGTAGTTTCGACGGATCGAGTCACCAATAGCTGTATGGATCTGTAACTGCTACAGTAAGTCTACCTTTTTTATTTTAAGGATTCTTTCTCGCTGATGAAAGATAAAGACCATATGTTTAGAAAGCCGTATTTCAAGTGATGATTATTCAAGTTTCTAAATGTTAAAACACAGAGGGTTGTGCGTACGGCCCAGTACATCACTAGGGCCAAGCTTCCTGCCATCCAGGACCTCTATACTAGGTGGTATCAGAGGAAGGCCGTAAAATGTGCATTGTTCCCCCACCCCCTCTTTTACGCTGCTGCTACTCTCTGTTTATTATCTATGCATAGTCACTTTAACTCTACCTACATGTACATATTACCTCAATTACCTCGACTAACCTGTGCCCCCGCACATTGACTCTGTACCAGTTCCCCCTGTTGAAAACAAATTAAAATAAAATGTATGCAATTTTATTTGATTTAGTTGACATGAGGCATTCATGGACGAAGCTAATGGCTGAGAACTGTAGGGAGAAGGCAGAATGACACCTAGAGCTTTCCAGAGCTAATACAATCCCAGCTAAACATAGGCATAGCATAGATAAGTACTTTATTTATTATTTTCCATGTCACATACAGATAAAGGACACATTGTCATGAATAGTTATCCCCTTGTGTTCACATGGTTCCAGTATGATACCCCCAGTAGCTACCATCTCTCTCTCTCACACACATACACACACACACACACTAGCAGTTAGAACAAACTCATTTGGACTTGTTCTCTCTCGCTCCCTCTCGTAGCATGGCAGATAAACAGGATAAGAGTGAGCTGAAGGCGGAGCTGGAGAGGAAGAAGCAACGCCTGGCCCAAATCAGAGAGGAGAAGAAGAGAAAAGAGGAGGAGAAGAACAAGAAGAAGGATGTGAGTAGAGAGAAGAGAATAAATATGTAGAACATGGCTTGATGCAGAGGAGTGGGGGCGTTTAGTATAGGAGTATTACAGTATCATGTTATAGCCTACATATGCAGTATTTATTACATTACTGTCTCCCTGTCCCTCCCATTCAACAAATCCCCTCACGCTACCTCTCCCTTGCCCCCCTTACCCTCTCTCCCCCTGTAGGGGTCTGACTCTAAGCGGGGAGGGGAGGGGGGTGGAGCCTGTGCACCAGACTCGTCTGACCTGGAGAAGAAGAGGAGAGAGGCTGAAGCTCTACTGCAGAGCATGGGGATTAACCCTGATATACCCAATGGTAAGGACACGCACGCACGCACACACGCACGCACACACACACATTTTGTATTCTAATTTAATGTTCACCGTCTGTGATTAACATTTGAGTGTTACACCAATTTAATTTATTTGTCCTGTCTTGGTTTTGTTGAATCGTTAAAGAATTATTCACAACTTTTCTAACTGTTGTTTTCTCTTCTGGTTTTGAACAAGCCTTTCTGCATGAAGCCTCAGCATGCCACTTAACCCTACTTTTTCTCTCTCTTCTCCCTTTATTTATTTTGCTTTTTTGTATCTTCCCCCTTTTTTATTTTCCGACTAACTCACTCACTCACTCACTCACTCACTCACTCACTCACTCACTCACTCACTCACTCACTCACTCACTCACTCACTCACTCACCCTCAACAGCCCAGCCTCTGAGGGTAATAACAGAGGATACGTGTTTGTTTCACTATCTAGTCCCCGCCCCCATGTCTCCCTCAGCCAAGTCAATGTGCAGCGAGACAGGAAGCCAGGACTCTGGAGATGGAAACACCAGGTACGTGTGTCTATATGATTAACTACACTGAACAACAATAGAAACGCAACATGTGAAGTGTTGGTCCCATGTTTCATGAGCTGGCTGAAATAAAATATCCCCAAAATGTTCCATACACACACAAAACTTATTTCGTTTCACAAATTTGTTTACATCCCTGTTAGTGAACATTTATCTTTTGCCAAGATAATCCATCCACCTGACAGGTGTGGCATATCAAGAAGCTGATTAAACAGCATGATCATTACACAGGTGCAGTTTTGTCACACAACACAATGCCACAGTCTCAAGTTTTGAGGGAGCGTGCAGTTGGCATGTTGACTGCAAGAATGTCCACCAGAGCTGTTGCCAGAGAATTGAATGTTCATTTCAATACCATAAGCCGCCTTCAACGTCGTTTTAGAGAATTTGGCAGTATGTCCAACAGGCCTCACAACCGCAGACCACGTGTAACCACACCAGCCCAGGACCTCCATGTCCGGCTTCTTCACCTGCGGGATCGTCTGAGACCAGCCACCCGCACAGCTGTTGAAACTGTGGATTTGCACAAACAAAGAATTTCTGCACAAACGGTCAGAAACCGTCTCAGGGAAGCTCATCTGCGTGCTCGTCGTCCTCACCAGGGTCTTGATCTGACTGCAGTTCGGCGTCGTAATCGATTTCAGTGGGCAAATGCTCACCTTCGATGGCCACTGGCACGCTGGAGAAGTGTGCTCTTCACAAGTAAATCCTGGATTCAACTGTACCGGGCAGATGGCAGACGTGTGGGCGAGCGGTTTGCTGATGTCATTGTTGTGAACAGAGTGCCCCATGGTGGCATGTCACCCATTGAGCATGTTTGGGATGCTCTGGTTCGACGCGTACTACAGCGTGTTCCAGTTTCCGCCAATATCCAGCCACTTCACACAGCCATTGAAGAGGAGTGGGACAACATTCCACAGGCCACAATCAACAGCCTGATCAACTCAATGCGAAGGAGACGTGTCGCGCTGCATGAGGCAAATGGTGGTCACACCAGATACTGACTGGTTTTCTGATCCACACCACCTACTTTTTTGTTAAAGGTATCTCTGACCAACAGATGTATTTCTGCATTCCCAGTCACGTGAAATCCATCGATTACGGCCTAATTTATTTATTTCAATTAACTGATTTCCTTATATGAACTGTAACTCAGGAAAATCTTTGAAATTGTTGCACGTTGCGTTTATATTTTTGTTCAGTGTACTTGCATGCTCAGTATTTATTAACAACACGTGTGTAAATTCTGACCTGCATGCTTTCTCTCTTTCACTTCCCGCTCCACCCTTCTCTCTATCGCTCTCTCTCTCGCTCTCTCTCTCTCCATCTCTCTCTCTCTCCCTCCCTGTTGTTTTGTCTTTGTTTCTCTCGCTCCATATCTCTCCATCATTCTCCCTCCCCTCTCTTCACTCCGCTCCGACTCCTCTCTCTCTCCTTCTCGCTCTCCTTATCTCTCTCTTTCTCTCTTTCTGACTAACTGCTGCCCCCTGGTGGTGTGTTGTGGCTGTATCAGGACGTTACACTGGGATCCTGACCCCTCTACTCTGCAGCTGCACTCTGACTCTGAACTACTGGGGTACTGCTCTGCTCTCTCTTACTCTCTAAGACACAAACCCCTACTTGGGCTGGAGTACTGCTCCTTTCTTCTGTTCCTCCTGGTCCTTTCCTTGGTGGACATGTGTACATGTAGAGTGTTTGTCTTTCTAATGGTGTGTTTGGATGTGGAAGAGTCTCTGACCTTGTGTGTGCGTGCGTGAGAGAGAGAGAGTCTGTATAATGTTGTGGCTGTGTTTTTTAGGTTTGTATGTGTCTCTGACTATGTATGTGTCACCAGGCGAGGTTTGAGGCTTGGCATGGCAAAGGTGACCCAGGTGGATTTCCCACCCAAAGAGTCTGTGTCCTACTCCAAGGAGACACAGACCCCCACCTATACACAAACACACACCCAGGACAAACCAGGTAGTCCTTGTGTTTTAATGCGTCACCAGCAATTTACAGACTTTTAAGTATGTTGTGAGCATGATATTGAACCTGTGTGTGTGTGTGTGTGTGTGTGTGTGAAGCAGAGGAGGAGGAAGAGGAGGAGGAGGAGATGGCCGAGCCCAAGCCAGCAGAGGAGTCCCAGGAGGAGAAAGCTGATCAGGAGGAGAAGCAGGAAGAAGGTGAGACTGACTATACCCTCCAACCTCTAACCTGTGACCTGTAAGTTGGCTAGCCCTGCCTACACCACTGCTGATATTCATGTGTGTGTGTGTGTGTAGTCCCTCCCAAGGAACTGACTGAAGAGGAGAAGATGCACCTTCTCCACTCAGAGGAGTTCATGACGTTCTTCGATCGAGGGAGCAGGATCGTGGAGCGGGCTCTGTCTGAACGAGTGGACGTCTGCTTTGACTACAGCGGCCGAGACCTGGAAGACAAGGAGGGGTGAGACACCAAAAAAAATTACGATTATTATTATTATTTGTCACATACACAGTTTACAGCAGGTATAAAAGGTGCCGCAAAATGCTTGTGTGTTAGCTCCCTCAACATTGTAGTACAATAATCAATATCAATAATAAACACACACACTCACAGCTATAGAGAGCGTATTTTTTTATTGCACCCTCTCTCCCCCTCCTCCACTCTCCCCCCTCCTCTACTCTCCCCCTCCTCCTCCTCCACTCTCCCCCCTCCTCCTCCTCTCTTCCTCCACTCTCCCCCTCCCTTCCTCCACTCTCCCCCTCTCCTCCACTCTCCCCCTCCTCCTCCACTCTCCCCCCTCCTCCTTCTCACTCTCCCCCTCCTCCTCCTCACTCTCCCTCTCCCTCCCCCTCCTCCTCCTCTCTCCCCCTCCTCCTCCTCCTCCTCCTCTCTCCCCCTCCTCCTCTCTCCACCTCCTCCTCTCATCCCCCCTCCTCTCTCCACCCTCCTCTCTCTCCTCCTCCTCCTCTCTCCCCCCCCTCCTCCTCTCTCACCCCCCACCCCCCTCCTCCTCTCTCACCCCCCTCCTCCTCCCTCCACCTTCTCCTCCCCCTCACCTCTCCTCCTCTTCTCCTCTCTTCTCCTCCTCTCCCCTACTCTACTCTCCTACCTCTCTCTCCTCACTCCCCCTCTCCTCTACTCCCTCCACTCTCCCCCTCCTCCTCTCTCTCCTCTCATCCACTTATCCCCTCGCCTCCCTCTCTCCCAAACTCTCCTCCACTCTCCTCCTCCTCTCTCTCCTCTTCTCACTGCCCTCCCCCCCCCCCCTCCTCTCCTTACACCCTCCTACTCTTCTACCCCCTCTCCACTCTCCCCTTCCTATCTATACCCCCTCCTCCTCTCTCTCTCGCTCTCTGTTTCCAGTGAGATGCAGGCGGGGGCAAAGATGTCTCTGAACAGGGCGTTCTCTGACGAACGTTGGTCCAAGAACAGAGTGGTCACCTGTCTGGACTGGTCTCCTCAGGTAAGAGAGTGTGTAATGATTCTAAATATACACTGAGTGTACAAAACCTGCTCTTTCTATGACAGACTGACCAGGTGAATCCAGGTGAAAGCTATGATCCCTTATTGATGTCACTTGTTAAATCCACTTCAATCAGTGTAGATGAAGAGGATGAGACAGGTTAAAGAAGGATTTTCAAGCCTTGAGACATGGATTGTGTATGTGTGCCATTCAGAGGGTGAATGGGCAAGACAAAATAAGTGCCTTTAAATGGGGTATGGTAGTAGGAGCCAGGCACACCTGTTTTAGTGTGTCAAGAACTGCAACGCTGCTGGGTTTTTCACGCTCAACAGTTGCCCGTGTGTATCAAGAATGGTCCACCACCCAAAGGACATCCAGCCAACTTGACACAACTTTGGGAAGCATTGGAGTCAACATGGGCCAGCATCCCTGTGGAATGCTTTGGACACCTTGTAGGGTCCATGCCCCGACGAATTCAGGCTGTTCCGAGGGCAAAAGGAAGGTGTTCCTAATGTTTTGTACATTCAGTGTATATACTGTATGTAACTGTTGGATTCATATTAATCTCTTGTGTTTGACTCCTGTTCGATTCAGTACCCTGAGCTGCTGGTGGCCTCCTACAACAACAACGAGGATGCTCCTCATGAGCCTGACGGAGTGGCTCTGGTCTGGAACATGAAATACAAGAAGACAACACCCGAATACACCTTCCACTGCCAGGTACGCACACTCATGAACGCACGCATGCATACACACCAGTGGAGGCTGCTGAGGGGAGGACGGCTCATAATAATGGCTGGAACGGAGTGAATGGAATGGCATTGATACCATTCCAGTTATTCCGCTCCAGCCATTACCACAAGCCCGTCCTCCCCAATAAAGGTGCCACCAACCTCCTGTGATACACACACACACACATCCACACTGCTCTGCGAAAATCATTTTCTTCTGCCTCTCCTCCAGTCTGCAGTGATGTCAGCAGCATTCGCCAGGTTCCATCCTAACCTGGTTGTGGGCGGGACTTACTCAGGCCAGATCGTCCTATGGGACAACAGGAGCAACAAGAGAACACCTGTACAGAGAACTCCCCTTTCTGCATCCGCTCACACGGTAACACACACACAGAGTGCTCAATAGCTTTCAAATTGTGAAATTGTTTACATTTTATTATACAGGTACAACCTAATATTAGCCACATACATTTTAGATTTGTCATTTAGCAGACGCTCTTATCCAGAGAGAATTAAAGGAGCAATTAGGGTTAAGTGCCTTGCTCAAGGGCCCATCGGTAGATTTTTCATCTAGGCGGCTCGGGGATTCGAACCAGCAACCTTTCGGTTACTGGCCCAACCGCTAGGCTACCTGCCGCCCATAGAGACTGAACTGTGTCTGTGTCCGGTGATGTTCAGCACCCAGTGTACTGTGTGAACGTGGTGGGGACCCAGAATGCTCACAACCTCATCAGCATCTCGACTGACGGAAAGATGTGCTCCTGGAGCCTGGACATGCTGTCTCAACCACAGGTACTACTGCAGCGTGTGTATGTGTTACAGGACATCGCAGAGCTAGTGTTTTGGCAGTCTTAATGCTGTATGTGTTACAGGACATCGCAGAGCTAGTGTTTTGGCAGTCTTAATGCTGTATGTGTTACAGGACATCGCAGAGCTAGTGTTTTGTCAGTCTTAATGCTGTATGTGTTACAGGACATCGCAGAGCTAGTGTTTTGGCAGTCTTAATGCTGTGTGTGTTACAGGACATCGCAGAGCTAGTGTTTTGGCAGTCTTAATGCTGTGTGTGTTACAGGACATCGCAGAGCTAGTGTTTTGGCAGTCTTAATGCTGTATGTGTTACAGGACATCGCAGAGCTAGTGTTTTGGCAGTCTTAATGCTGTATGTGTTACAGGACATCGCAGAGCTAGTGTTTTGGCAGTCTTAATGCTGTATGTGTTACAGGACATCGCAGAGCTAGTGTTTTGGCAGTCTTAATGCTGTGTGTGTTACAGGACATCGCAGAGCTAGTGTTTTGGCAGTCTTAATGCTGTGTGTGTTACAGGACATCGCAGAGCTGGTGTTTTGGCAGTCTTAATGCTGTATGTGTTACAGGACAGTCTGGAGCTGGTGTTTAAGCAGTCGAAGGCAGTAGCAGTGACCTCCATGGCTTTTCCTCTGGGTGACGTCAACAACTTTGTGGTCGGCAGTGAAGATGGATCGGTGTACACCGCCTGCCGCCACGGGAGGTACGTGAGTGTGTGTGTGTGTGATTTAATTTTGCGATGGGAAGTAACGATTGCTTTGTGCACATCCTGTGTGTTACAGTAAGGCAGGCATCAGTGATGTGTTTGAGGGGCACCATGGTCCAGTCACTGGGCTGAGCTGTCACAGTGCCGGGGGTCCCGTGGATTTCTCCCATCTCTTCATCTCTGCCTCCTTCGACTGGACCGTCAAGCTGTGGACCACCAAGGTAACACACACACACACACATTAACCCTACCTCTTTCTTTAACTTAACAGTACCTTCTCTCTCTCTGTAGAGTACCCGTCCTCTGTATTCGTTTGAGGACAGCTGTGACTATGTGTATGATGTCATGTGGTCTCCCACACACCCCGCCCTCTTCGCCTGTGTGGACGGATCTGGACGCCTGGACCTGTGGAACCTCAACAACGACACAGAGGTACACACACACACCAGAGGCGGCTGGTGGTAGGAGCTATAGGACGGGCTCATTGTAATGGCTGGAATGGAATTAATGGAACAGTATCAAACGTATGGAAACCACTTCTGACTGTTCCAAATGTACCATTCCAGCCATTAGAATGAGCCCGTCCTCCTATAGCTCCTCCCACACACACAGTACAAACAACAGACATACATATGAACAATGCAACAAACAGTGTGTGTGTGTGTGTGTCCTAGGTGCCCAGTGCGAGTGTGTGTGTGGATGGGTCTCCTGCTCTGAACCGTGTGCGTTGGGCTCACTCAGGGAGAGAGATCGCTACAGGAGACTCAGACGGACAGGTGCTGGTCTATGACGTAGGAGAGGTGAGATATCTATTCCTTCATCAAGTAAAACCCTTATACTGCTGCAGTGTCATACCTGAATTTGTTTAACCCGTGTGTGTGTTCCACAGCAAATCTGTGTGCCCAAGGCAGATGAGTGGACCCGTTTGGTGCACACGCTCGTGGAGATCAACGAGAACCGAGATGAAGGGGACGAGCTGGCCGCGCAGCGCCTAGTCGCCTGATCGCCATGGTAACCACTCCTGCTCTCGCTTCCAAATCCTCCCTCCCTCCAAATGGAACAGGATGAGGTGTGGTGTTTATCCTTTCAGGTTCTAGAACGATCCAGAACGTTGAGTGTTCTGTCCACAGCTCTTCCAACTCAGTGCTTTTCTAAATATGCAAAACTTTGTACCTTTTTACTACTTTGTATTTATACGTTTCGAGACGTCTGTTTATTCCCTAAAGGCTGATGTGTGTTTAATGGTGAAGAACAGGAACAGGATGACCCATGCTATGCCCATTCCAACCTTTATAGACTACGGCAGCAATGCCCTCACATTTTAGCTTCAATTGTATTTATCCATGCTCTTGCACATATTTTCAACATATTACATATTTAAACATGTCTGCGGATAGCTTTACTAGTATATCCCTTAACATTAGCGCTACACCTAAGCTCATACCACTACAAGACAAAAAGTGCTTTTTAAATTAACTTTACTTGCCTTGACTGAATATGTTAGTGGTTTTTGAATAAACCAGAGTTTAAAAAATGTACTGTACCTGTAGGTCTCTTAATAGAAACCCAGTTTCTCTCTCCTTCCTGTAAGGATGTTAATGAAGTATTTCCTCATATGAAGATATGGACCTAAGCAGAGCCATAGATGCATAGAGTTTGGCCAACTATCCTCCATGTTAGCACCAAATTCTAATTAGCATTTCAACTAGACTTTTGTTGTTGGAACATTGTCCATTACACAATTCTCTGTTGGAAGGAGTTTGTCAAACTCTGTATAGATATGCTCCTTATCTAATGAATTTGATTTAATAGAAACATTTAATCAGTATAACATGAAGTGACCAAGTCTAGTATTACACCAAAGGTTTTGCTTGTCCTTTTTTGCTGTTTATTCCCCTTGAAATAAACACTTTAACCTCTAAATTTAAAACCATACATATGATTTATTTATTTCAATAAAATACACAGAATGAATTGAAATGGATTTAAGTTATGGTCTAATCATTTGCTCATGATTCTCCTCAAACACATGTTGAAATTGTCTGTACATCAATCAGTAAGAGTGATTCAAGAGACGGAGTCCCAACGTCATTCTAACATAACATTACCGTCATGTTGCTTTCTAACATTACTGCAACACTTCTGTCACCAAAACATTTCTCTCATCATGGTGTTGCTCTAAGATTACCATAAGATTGTTGTCCAACATTACAGTAACACTTTTTCTTTCCAGCAGTGTCACGTCTCTGTACAGCAGATCTACAATATGTACAGTAACTTCCTGTGCAAGGCCCAATCAGAGTAAAGCCTTACACACGCTGTCCAATCAAATATCCCCTACACACTGTCCAATCATAGTAGCCTTACACACACTGTGCATCAAAGAAAAATTAGAAAATCAAAATCAGTTACTAATGAGAAGAGAGGAGCCAGCAGAGAGAAAGGGGAATGGGGGAGAGAGAAAGGGGAATGGGGGAGAGAGAAAGGGGAATGGGGAGAGAAATGGAAGAGAGCAGAGGAGTAGAGGGAGGGACAGAGAGAGACGAGGCTCCTTTTCAACTACACGTTTCAGATGAAGAGGGATGGAGAGAAGAGAAGAGGAGCATGCAGCCACTGGAGAAACAACACAGTACAGTACAGTGTTCAGGTTACTGACTGAGCTTTAACTACTGACCTACAGTCAGCTCTCCAGGACCAGGGAGAGAGAGCACTGAAGTAGTCCCTGGGAGGGGAGGGGTGGGGGGCAGTGTGTATGTGTGTACGTCTGGTTACATGGACCCTGGGAGTGTGTGTGCATTTCTGGTTACATGGCCCTTCGAACTGAGTGTGTGTATTAGTATGTATTTTTGTGCATGGCCCCTAGGAGTGTGTGTGTGTGTGTGTGTGTGTGTGTGTGTCTAAGTGTATAGCCCTAGTGGAGTGGTGGCCGGTAGCTAGAGGGGCAGTCTTTAGGGGGCAGTAGCCTCCTCTTGGGGGGGGGCAGAAGAGGTGTCATGGTGTATGGAGACCACTCCAGAGGACTTGAACTTGGGCAGGTGGAGGCCAAACTTGTTCTCCACACCAGCGAAGGTGGCCGTAGCCAGACGGTAGCCGCCCACGTGGTCAGCGCTGACCGGAGGAAGCTCCGAGATACGAGACTTAGGAGTGGGCTCAGACCCTGATGGACGACTGGAGAGAGAAAAAAATGTGAGACATTGTATCTTACCTAAAAATGCTAACTTGCGTTATAACAGTGGGGAGAGTGTGTGTGTGTGTGTGTGTGTACTTACTGTCCTCCGAAATCCACATTTAACCACCTCTGTAGAAGCTCATAGGTCACCAGAGTCACCCCGAAACTGAGGAGAGGATCGACACATACGAGCTGGGGAGAGAAAGAGAGAAAGTAAGCAAATTCCCATTTCTGCATGCACTCACAGACACATACACACACACACACACACACACACACACACCTCCAGCTCCCTTCCACAGTGCTCTGAATCCCTCCTCCTGCATGATTTTCCTGAAGCAGTCCGTGACTCCAGTGTAGGTGGTCTGTCCTGCCCTCGCTGCTACCTGCAGGCGTGTCTTGATGACATCAGCAGGCGTCACCAGAGAGGCAGCAGGGATACCTGGGAAATGGAGTAAGAAAGGGTATCACCGGAGGCTAGGACTGTTTGACAGTCAAATAAAATGGAATTGAATTGCAACTCTGGGTAGGTCTGTATAGTGTGTGTACCTCCGATGGCTCCAGCAGCTAACAGCTGTAACGCGCCCAGTCTTCCCTGCTCGTCGGCGAACTGAGCCTTGGTGTGGGCGTACACCGGGAAGAAGATGGCTGAGAAAGGGATGTCTCTCAAGAAACATGCTTTAGCACCCTACACACACACACAAAGAGTAAGTGACATTATTTTCAATCAAAAAGGCCTGTTTCCCAAATTACAAGAACAATGCCACCAGACGTAATGGTCAAACACACACACACCTTGTAGAGGCCAAACAAGCCGAGGTCTCGAATGACACTGAGGGCGCTGATTCTGGGCCCTGTGGTGATCTCTCCTGCCACCTGCAGTCTGATCTTGACTATCTCCAGCGGGTTAGTAAAGACCACCTGGGAACCCCCTGCCTGCAGAGAGAGAGACATAAGGGGAAATAAGTTAGCAAGAGATGGACGAGGAAGAGAGGGTTGCTACCACACCCTCCCATTTAGGTAGGATTAGGTGGAATAGAATGGGCTGGGTAGTTTGAGTGAGATGGAACAGGGCCAGTCATACTCACACAGGCTCCAGCCAGCACCTCAGCAGCAAAGGGAATGGTGTCACCTTTACCGGTGAACTTGTCTCTCACAAAGTCATTCACCTACAGGGAGAGAGGGGGGACAGAGAGAGAGCGAATCAGCAGAAAGATACTACAGAGGGAATGAAGTGTTATCTTAAGTTGCATCTCCATAGTGATTGGCTGAGTGGACTGGAAGGGGAGGAGTTTGACTCACTGTGAGTTTGATGGCCTTCTCTGGAGCCACGCCTATGAGCTGGGGAAGAAGACCTGGAGAGCAGCATGGGAGATTGAGTCCACATATGACATGAACCACATCTCATGATGACTAGTTTCTCAGTGTAGAAGGAGAGAAGGGAGGAGAAAAGAGTGCAGGGATGAGAATGAAGGAAAGGTGAGAATTAAAAAGGACAAAGGAAGTGGGTGAATGGACGGATGCAGATTTAGTGTGGGTGAGCCAACACTAGATGGCAGCCTTGCAGTCCTTTGTCCATCAACAGAAGAGAGAGCGGAGGAGGAGAGTAGCCCATAAAGGTAAAAGAAGAGCAGGTAATAAAAAAAATATGTGGACCAGGAGAAAAGAGAGGAGGCGAGAGAAAGGAAAACAGCAGCTAAGAGAGGAAGAGTGATCAGGAGAGCAGCCAAGAAGTGTCTGTCCGTACCTCTGTAGAAGCCGAAGAAGCCTTCGTAGCGCAGCACCTTCTTGGCACAGTCAAAGCTGTTCTTGTACATAAGTTCTCCTACGAACGAGCCTGTACTCCTCTGGTTCTGCATCCTGGTCTTCACCAGGTCTATAGGATACACCGCCGTGGCTCCCGTAGCTACACACACACAGTCTTGTTTTACTAACCTTGTGGGGGACAATTGACTCCTATTCAAAATCCTATTTTCCCAAACCCCAAAACCTAACCCTAACCCCCCAGTCCCTTAACACCCCACCCCCAGTCCCCTACCCCATCTCATCAACCCCCCCCCCCCCCCCAGTCCCCCATCTCATCAACCCCCCCCCCCCCCCAGTCCCCCATCTCATCAACCCCCCCAGTCCCCCATCTCATCAACCCCCCCCCCCCCAGTCCCCCATCTCATCAACCCCCCCCCCCCAGTCCCCCATCTCATCAACCCCCCCCCCCAGTCCCCCATCTCATCAACCCCCCCCCAGTCCCCCATCTCATCAACCCCCCCCAGTCCCTTATCTCATCAACCCCCCCCAGTCCCCCATCTCATCAACCCCCCCCAGTCCCTTATCTCATCAACCCCCCCCCAGTCCCTTATCTCATCAACCCCCCCAGTCCCCCATCTCATCAACCCCCCCAGTCCCTTACCTCCAGCAATAGAGCCCAAGCTGAACCGGTAGGCCGACTCTGCAGCCTGCAGCAACACTGACCTGGAACCATCACCCTGGCTCTGCTACAGAGAGACAGTCACACATGCATGCTCATTTACTTGTGCGCGCGCACACACACACACACAGTCACACACACAGTCATTCACTTGCACACACAGGTCTCTTACCTGTTTCTGTATCTCAGCCAGGTGATAGGGTAGCGCTCCCTCCTCCAGTGGGGCTATCCTCTCAATGTCCGAAAAGTTCAGACGTCTGAGACAACACAGCACCATTACCACACAATATTCAATAGGTTTGCCCCAGCACTCTGAACAGGTATGATTGTGTAAGGGACACATGCATATATTATGCATACAGTACAAGGCTGAAGAGCGATATTCATGCATGTGTGTGTGTTTACCCAGAGTGGGAGTGCAGGCCTGATAGCTGGTACAGGATGTCGATCTCCATGGGAGAGATCTGGCCAAACTTGTTAGCAGCAAAGATAAACTCCTCTAGAGAGGGAGATCGAGAGACAGGGAGGAAGAGAGGAAGAGAGAGGGTGTTAGAGAGAGAAAAAGGTAAATAGTCTGCATAACACAGACGTACTACATAGATTGAGAGAGCTCGCCAAGTCCCTCTTCAACATGACAGTTCCTCTGCTGGCAGCTAACAGATGACTGGAAGGTGTGATCCCACTACTCCGCTCACTCTAACATGTCTTGAGCACTTCTGACAAGTGTGTGTGCAGGGTTCTCCCCAGGTGGTGCTGCTGAGTACGACCAGGGAGGAGACCCGGAGGGTGTTAGTGCCCCCCTTTGGACTCTTATGTGTTTTCTAACACCTGTAACTGCCATTTCCTGTAATCTAGAGCAACAAATGGCCTTATATGAGAACAAATAAAGCAACAAATAATAATACAACATTTACTTACTTTTAGTTTTTTATTACATAGTGGAGCAGCCAGTCCAAAGGTGGCGCAGTGCCTCTCTTCCATTCTTTGGGGAGAACCCTGGTGTGTGTCAGTACAGTGTACGTGTGTGTGGAAGGGTATACGAGGGGTATGGATGGATATGTGTATGTGGAACATGCGTGTTACGTTTAGTGGCCAGTGTGTTACCTTTAGTGGCCAGTGTGTTACCTTTAGTGGCCAGTGTGTTACCTTTAGTGGCCAGTGTGTTACCTTTAGTGGCCAGTGTGTTACCTTTAGTGGCCAGTGTGTTACCTTTAGTGACCAGTGTGTCCTTGCGGGTCCCGGACAGTGTGCTGTAGATCTTGCGGATCAGCTCCATGTTGTTGAGGAGAGAGTTAAAGGCGTTGAAGTAGGAGAAGCTGACCATGTGAGAGGTGCTGCCCCCCGCAGCCTGGGAGGACAATCACACAGAGGAGGGTTAGAACAGGCGTGCCGCCCTGTGATCAACAGGGTACTCTCCCTCCCTCGCTTTCTTTTACTCCCCAGTTCTCTCCATCTTCTCTTACACACCGACTCGCTCTCTGTTATCCCACACACACTCATATACACAGTACACACACACACTTACCGAAACCAGGTTTTCCTCCACGAACGGTGTGAGCACGTGGTGTCGGATGGTGGCCATGATGTCACTGAAGTCCATGGCAGAGATGGTGCCGCTCTTGTTCTTGTCCTTCTGAGCAAAGGCCTGGCGGGCATGCTCCAACTGCAACTCCTGTAGACAGAGAACGAGTGTGAGTGACTGTGTGGTGTGAGTGAGTGAATAAGTGCGTGAGTGGAGAGTGAGTGAATACCTGTAGGAACTGGGTGAACTCAAGGTAGCTAAGGCGTTTCTTGCGGTCGTGTCCAAAGTGCAGGCGGATGAACTCACAGTCCCAATTAAAGGGGATGTGGTGGTGCACTGTGGTCTGGCTGAAGATGTCCCGCACATTCTCTGTTAAAGGGTAGGATAACGTGAGAGAGAACCATAGAATTGGAATGAGTAGAATGGAGATTGCCATTCAATGCAATGTTATGTGATGGGAGGAACGGCGGCCATCTTGGGTGTACCATTTTAAAATGTCTTCACATCATCTCAGAATTCTGTTTCTTTCTGTGAACACAGGGACAAATCTGTTCTACTCATTCTAATTCTATGCCAGACCATTAATAGCCCACATTCATCAGATTTGAATTACAGTAACCTTTAGGCTGATTGAGTATACTAACAAACCATAATTGGTTCCCTTTTATTAGGCATGCCAAGCGCGCGCTCACGCACACACACACCCACCCACATCCTCTCAAGCACTAAAAAAGTGTGTGTGAGAGTGTCAGTGTATTAGAGAGATCGTAATAGCGTGCTAAGTCGTAATCCTATTAACAATGAAATGATTACAACATTTTCTGGGCTGAAACGATGGGAACAGTTGACAAAAGCAGGTACAAATCCCCAAACCCCCCCCCCCCACACACACACAGACAGTAACGTACCAAAAGAGATATCTCCAGTGCCTGTCTTGTCAAACAGCTGGAAGGCTACGATGAAGAGTGCATCCGGAACACACAGCACCGACTCAAACGCTAAGAACTCCTGGAACGAGATCAGCCTGGGTGTGTTTTGTGGAGAGAGAGAAAGAGGGGTGACATTACACACACGATGATGCCATGCAGGACAAAGCTTCAGTTACACAACATCCAATCCGAAGGAGAAAGGCTCAGCTTTCACTGAAACATCATAAAAATGTCAACAATGATCTAGGGCGAGATTAGGCCATGCCGTATTTCTTAAAATTACCCCATGCATTTAAAATACTGTAAACCAATTGTAATGGATTTGAATTCATTTCTGTAAACTGAATTAAAAGTAGAAGGTTCATTGGGGATTCGCTGCTTGTCAGAGGTCATTACTTTTAAACAGCTCTGAATGACACAGATGTGTGGTTCTGCACCCTGCAAGACAACACTTTTATTGATAATTTTATCCGTTACCTGACTGACTGAGGTTAAGACTAGTTGACCCTTGTAGCCAAACAATGAGTGAGACTTCTATTTTATTTGTTGATATTTTTCATTGTTTCTTTGAGACATTTGACCTTGAAGGAGTAAATGTTTTCAGAATCACATGAATCATTAACTCCTACGTCTAACTCTCATAGGAGTGCATATAGTCCACTAGATAGATGTTGTATTGTGACATACACCGGATAGGTGCAGTGAAATGTGTTGTTTTACAGGGTCAGCCATAGTAGTACAGCGCCCCCTGGAGCAAATTAGGGTTAAGTGACTTGCTCAAGGGCACGTCGACAGATTTTTCACCTGGTTGGCTTGGGTATTCAAACCTGCGACCTTTCGGTTACTGGCCCAACCCTAACCGCTAGGCTACCTGCCGTTAGGCTACATGGTAACTGCTTGTGTGTGTGTCTGTGTTAGAGCTGGGAGATTTGGACCAAAATCCATATCATAATAAATGGACAGAATTATCACAATAAAACAGAACGATAAGTTTATAACAATGTGCACACCACAGTTATTTATTGTATTTTTATAATACCCTTAAAACGACCACTATTTTGAATGTTGTAGCTATCAATTGTCACATTAACAATTACCTATATTAGCATCTTTTTTCATTTCAATCTTCACATTTCTCTAGTAGGGCCCTACTACCGTGATAAGCTAAATGTCCATGACAAGTGGTTGGTGTCCATAATTCAGTTTATCATCCCACCTCTAGTGTGTGTAATCTTATCTATGAGGGTCCATTACGGAAGCTACTGTTCTTACAGACCCAATAACATCCTAATTAACTGTGATGAGCAGCACCATTCTTGTCTGTGTGTGTCAGATCACTCTATCATTCCCTGTTGCAGGAGCCTTCTGCTCAATGAAAACAATCTCACATTGTTGATGTTAGGAGTGGAGAGACAGAGAGATCAACCATTTCCAGGCCCAGGGACATGTACTAGTCTGTGGCGACCTAAAAAAGAACTGGACAAGAACCTGACACTCTCAGCACACAGGGGGACAAACACCTACCTGGAGGTGACAGCATTCCCTCCCCCATATGCCACCCTAGACACAACTATGACAAAAAAACAAAACAAAAACAAGGGTCACAACTCCTGCAGCTCTGCCGCATGTTGGGTCTGTACCACAGGAGGTTGGTGGCACCTTAATTGGGGAGGACGGGCTCATGGTAATGGCTGGTGCGGAATAGATGGAATTGTATCAAATACATCAAACCATTATTTTGAGCCGTCCTACCCTCAGCCGCCTCCACTGGTCTGTACATAGTTAATGGTAGGCTTCGAGTGGACTCTTACGGTAGGTACACCTACAGCTCATCCCTTGGCAGTAGTACTGTAGATTGCTTTATCACTGACCTCAACCCAGAGTCTCTCAGAGAGTTCAGTCAGCCCACTGACACCCCTATCAGATCACAGCAAAATCACTGTCTACTTGAACTGAGCAATACTCAAATCATGAGGCATCAAAGCCAAAAGGAAAATGCATAATGTTAAGAAATGCTATAGATGGAAGGAAAGTAGTGTAGAAACCTACCAAAAAACAATTAGGCAACAACAAATGCAATCCCTTTTAGACAACTTCCTGGACAAAACGTTTCACTGTAATAGTGAAGATGTAAACTTGGCAGTAGAAAACCAAACAGTATATTTGACTTCTCAGCTTCCCTATCAAATCTAAAACTGTCAAGCAGACAACCTAAGAAATGTAAAAATGGCAAATGGTTTGATGAAGAATGCAAAAACCTAAGATATTTTTTTTAGAAACCTATCCAACCAAAAACATAAGAGACCCAGAAAACCTGAGCCTACATTCACTATGGTGAATCACTAGAACAATACAGAAATACACTACGGAAAAAGAAGGAACAGCATGTCAGAATCTGCTCAATGCAAGTGAAAAATCCATAGAATCTAACCACTTCTGGGAAAATTGGAAGACACTGGAGAAGAGTCCCCTAAGCAAGCTGATCCCGGGGCTCTGTTCACAAACACAAACAGACCCCACAGAGCCCCAGGACAACAACACATTTAGACCCAACCAAATCATGAGAACACAAAAATAATTACTTGACACATTGGAAAGAATTAACAAAAAAACAGAGTGCTATTTGGCCCTAAACAGAGAGTTCACAGTGGTAGAATACCTGACCACTGTGACTGACCCAAACTTAAAGAGAGCTTTGACTATGCACAGACTCAGTGAGCATAGCCTTGCTATTGAGAAAGGCAGCCGTAGGCAGAGCTGGCTCTCAAGAGAAGACACACTACCCACAAAATGAGGTGGAAACTGAGCTGCACTTTCTAACCTCCTGCCAAATGTATGACCATATTAGAGACACATATTTCCCTCAGATTACACAGATCCACAAAGAATTCCAAAACAAACCCAATTTTGATAAACTCCCTTATCTACTGGGTGAAATACCACAGTGTGCAATCACAGCAGCAAGATTTGTGAGCTGTTGCCACAAGAAAAGGGCAACCAGTGAAGAACAAACCCCATTGTAAATACAACACATTTTTATGTTTATTTATTTTCCCATTCGTACTTTATCTATTTTTTTGCATATTGTTACAACACTGTATATATACATAATATGACATTTGAAATGTCTTTATTCTTTTGGAACTTCTGAGTGTAATTTGTTCACAGTGTTTACTGTTCACTTTTTATTGTTTATTTCACTTTTGTTTACTATCTACTTCACTTGCTTTGGCAATGTTAACATACGTTTCCCATGCCAATAAAGCCCTGAGAGAGAGAGAGAGAGAGAGAGAGAGAGAAAGGCAGGAAGCTTGAGCAACTGTTCCTCATGTCCACAGAAAGAGAGAGAGAAGGGAGGCAGCTCTTCACCCATCTTTGGTGAAGAGAGGGTGCGAAACACAGATAGACAAAGAGAAAGAGGGGGAGGACAGAGAGAGGGTGAATGTAGACAGCTCCTTACCCGTCCTTGGTGGTATCAGCTACACCTGCGATGAGCTGGACAGTTTTGGGGTTGTGGTGGATCTGTGTTTGCAGGCCAAGGTACTTCTGCACAAAGTCCCCCGGGGTCATCAACTTCTCACCATCCGCATCCACCACACTGGCATGCTGGAGGGGTTACGACAGAAACAAATAACGTCACATTGGGTCCCTTCCCTGTACTGGTATAACAATCGTAACCCTGACCATTATCAGGACGGTTACGACAGAAACCGACATCGAGTCATTGAGTTTCCTGCTAAGGTGTAGGAGATGCAGGTAGCGTAGTGGGTAAGAGCGTTGTGCCAGTAACCGAAAGGTCGCTGGTTCTAATCCCCGAGCCGACTAGGTGAAAAATCTGTCGATGTGCCCTTAAGCAAGGCACTTAACCCTAATTGCTCCTGTAAGTCGTCTGCTAAATGACTAAAATGTTTTTAAAAAAGATGCAAAAGAAAAACTTTAGACGTCTATTTCGGTCCGTCTATCGGTCTGCTAATACAGGACTAGTAAAGGCCCAGTGCACTACTTTTGTGAAAATAATTTAAACTAAATTTATGTGAGTATTTACCAGCATTTGTGACTTGAGTCTGATAATTATCAGGAACAAAAACGTTAATCTGATAATACTTGTGGAATACAAAAATACTTGCTTGATATGTTTTCCAGATTCTTGAAATACTTTGCAAATGCAACTTATTTCTGTGAAAACTGAAATGGTCTATTCGTTCCTTTTACATATTAGTAGACACTCTTATCCAGTGCAACTAACAGTTGAGAGTGCACATACATTTTCGTACTGGTCCCCCATTGGAATCGAACCCATAACCCTAGCATTGCAAGCGCCATGCTCTACCAACTGAGCCACATCATCACAAACCACTTGATGTCTCACTGTACTCAATTACTGTATTGTGCATTGTTTATCCTTCATGGTGATGGAAAGTCTACAGGTACAAACCTATATGAGCAGCCTATGTACAATACAGTAATATACATTTACATTAAGTGGTTTGTAAGGATGGTAAATTAATACTGCACAAGAAGTGGATGTTTTTCATGTTATTTGATCAAGACAAACATTTAATTTGATGTGGATGTTGGGTGTCTTTGCCCATAACTTTGCACCTTTTGATGTAAATGTTTAAGGACAGGGTTTTGATGTAAATGTTTGAGGACAGGGTTTTGTTCTTTCTGGATGCCATTAGAATGACAGAATCGCAGAGAAAGGGACAGGGCAACAACTCTTACAATTCCAACTAATGAATCCTGCAACATACTGTTCTTTATTACACAACTACCTTTTTGCCAAAGCGGAGATGCAGATGATTTTCTTTTGCCCACGCTACAGACGTCCATCGGTCCGCTAATACCACTAAATGCCCAATGCACCACTTACGTGGGAAAACCCCCTTCTTTTTTTAAATATTGTATTTATTCATCATCATCATCATAATTATTATTGTTCAGGGGTTGCTGCCACACACTCAGCACCCCTACTTCCCGCGTATGACTTGGCATGTCCTACTGACAGCTCATGGTGAACTAGTCTATTTACAAGGATTCAGATTCCCATTTCTTAGAGGAATAAGAACTTTGCAGAAAGTATTGTGTAACATCTCTTTACCATCTTATCCAGAGCGACTTACAGGAGCAATTAGAGTTAAGTGCCTAGCTCAAGGGCACATTGACCGATTTTTCACCTAGTCGGCTCAGACTACCTGCCGCCCCAGCTTTCCAATGCTTTGTGAGCTAAGCCATCTTAGGCTTTATGTTATGTTTTCAGCAGCTCTTTTAACCAATACAAGGCACTGACTGCTGTTTTGTCCAGAGCGATGAAGGATGTCACTCAAGCACAACAGTGTGCAACTGCGAATACACAGTAGAAGAGCCCTTATTTATGTTCAACATGGACCTCACAGCTTCAGTGGGTTCTTAGAAATACTGAATACTAAATGCTGTACAATGTTTTCACTGATATATGACCTCTAACATGACATACACATTTTACATATACTGTGTGACCCCCCACCCAGGCATTCAGCTTTGGAATTCAGCCAATGCTTGCTTACTCCCTCACTCACTGCCTGCCACATTCAAACACCTAACACAGGCAAATGTCACATGACTCAAGCTATGTCAGAGGGACTTCTTGTGTCAAGAGTAACTGCCACTTATGTTTCCTACCAGCCAGGCCCTCATGCCATGCCTGTACCTGCCCTTCTCAGTGCTTTAATGCATAGGGAGCATTCTGGTCTATAACCTCTTCTCCTGTCCTCCATGTAGAACAGATGAAGAGGAAAACGGATGAAGAGGAAACACTATTGAGATACACCTTTCACCATTACTGTGTGTGTTTTTGAGTAGTTTGGTATTTTATTAGGATTCCTATTAGCTGTTGCGAAAGCTGCAGCTACTCTTCCTAGGGTCCACACAAAACATGAAATAATACAGAACATTAACAGACAAGAACAGCTCAAGGTCCAAACTACCTAACGTGTGTGTTAGTCTTTAAAGAGCATAGTGATACAGCTCCCCACAAGGTACCCTCAAGTTAAATCGTGACTTCTGACCTCTAGCCTCGGATTCTACAGTTCACCCTGGGGGGAAAGTGACCCTAGATGTTTCCCAGAGGAACTTAACTATAGTCAGTTTTACATCATCTTCCTGATGGAGGTGGTTATGATTTAGGGAGGGTAGCTGATTCCAAGCTGTGATTGTGAGTCACTTTGCATATAAACTGCATGTGCACAGTGATAATTTGTGGCAGGCTAAAGTTGAAGGACAAAGAGTTGTTCTTACCTTCTGAAAGATAACCTTCAGCTCGCTCGGGTCTGCCCGTTTGGTGGATTGCACCTGCCAAGCAATATGATTAAGATAAAACATGTAAGGTAATGAGTCGTTCTGCAGCAAAAACGAAAACACAGCGACTATTGACATGTACATAATGTAAAATGTTAACTAGTAAGGCTGTTTGGTTTTGTAATCAATCGTAGCTAGCTGACACTGGGATAAATCAGCTGGAATGCTTTGAGTGAGTGTCTCCTTGCAATTGGAAATGACATGAAAAGATTCCAAAAGCAAACAGAGGACTTGAAAGAATGCTATCCTACGAGACAGACAATGCTTGTCAAAACAAATGCTAATGCAAAGTATCACACAAACTGTTACTGCAGGCGAGTTGACCAGGAAACACTGCTACTGCTAACTAGCTAGCTACTGGCTAGTTAGCTACAGTAACGTTACTAAAAAAATGAAGACACAAACCCTTCTTCAAATGACTCGTTAGGTTTAAAACAGCAAAGAGCAGAGCTGATAATAGTGTATTTAGACACACATGATGGTAGTTGAGTGATGCGGTTGTCATTATTGCACAATCTTGCGAGTTAGTAGATAGCTAGTATCGCAATGTTAATCAGATGTAGTAGCTAGTGCTAGCCTTATCGCTAACTCTGGTTTGTGGATGTTCATTCAAGGCCAGAGACCGGGCGTTAGCGCAGTGACGCTAGGAGCAATGAATGCCCTACACCCGCCAAATACAGACTCAAATGATCCCTTAAACGATATAGTCATATCCCCAATACAACAAAACAGATAAAACATGCAGACAACATTAAAAGCGATTTCTGAAACGTAAAGCAAGCGATGCCGAAGTCACCTTGACCGCCATGTTGGTTTTGACGTCACGTACAGCTAGCTGGCGCAGGCGCTTTCACTGCAGAATACCAAAGAAATTACATTTATTTTTTTATTTTTTTATTTCACCTTTATTTAACCAGGTAAGCCAGTTGAGAACAAGTTCTCATTTACAACTGCGACCTGGCCAAGATAAAGCAAAGCAGTGCGATAAAAACAACAACAAGCTCCGGTCTAATCTGAGACGATTGCATCAACCCCACTAGTCTAGTCTAGCCCGTGTCCCTTTGACTTTATGTTCTAAAAGTAGGGAGGTGTCTCCTCAGCTGTAGCGGTCGTGGTTCGAGCATTCCATGGGTGATGTAAGGACACGTTTCTATTGCACAGTGTTTAAATCTGAGCCTGAGTGAAAAGTGAAAACAGACTGCTAACTATTCAGACCAATCGAATAATTAACCTGGCCACACAAATACAGTAGCCTATTTATGGGGAGAACAAATATTGCATAGCATAACCGTGGGAAGTAGAGGTTTATTTGAAATAAAATAAAAATCACAAAAGTTGTGCACTGGGCCTTTAATAGTCCTGCATTAGCGGATCCCCCCTTGAAGAAAAAAATCGCAGCACCCACCCCCAAACTACTTCCTATGTTGCATAGACCAATATGCTATACATCATTCAATAATGTAATGACCTGTAGGCTCTCTCGAGACTGAAACTCACTCAACCTGGTAGACCGGGGAAAAAACGTGAAGCAGTAGCCTAATCCAACAATACACATGTTGTAATGCTATGTTAGGTCTACCTTCTGAAAGCCATTTCAACTAAAGTTTCTGTTGACTAGTTTATCTATAGGGCCTAAATTCAAATGGCAAGTTTTCCCATCCCATTGTTCCCCAGGTTGAAATAAAAATCGGAAACCAAACCTATAAGCAATGTGTGTAAACTTCCCCCCTTTCCGCTGATCTGAAATCAGTTTAAAACTGACACCCTTGTGCCAAGCCCAGGCCAGAACACAGAGTATGTGTGCCTTAACTCTGCTGTTATCCAGTTAAGTGCAGAGGTCTTTAATGAGGTTTAGTCATTAGGAACTGGCTCATGTGTAAGGAGGAAAGAGGAGAATAGCTAACTGGGATTCTCTAGCTGCTCTCTGCTGTTTTCCTCTCTCTCTCTCTCTGTCTCACTCTCTCTCGCTCTCTCAAATCAATCAAATCAAATCGAATTTTGTTTGTCACATGCGCCGAATACAACAGGTGTAGACCTTACAGTGAAATGCTTACTTACAAGCCCTTACCAACAATGCAGTTTTAAGAAAGAATACCAAAACAAATCACAAAAAAATACAATATAAAATAATACTAAATAAAAGTAACAAATAATTAAAGAGCAGCAGTAAAAATAACAATTGCGAGGCTATATACAGGGGGTACCGGTACCGAGTCAATGTGCGGGGGCACCGGTTAGTCGAGGTAATTGAGGTAATATATATTCTACTGGTAGAGTTATTAAAGTGACTATGCATAGATAATAAACAGAGAGTAGCAGCAGTGTAAAAGAGGGGGGTAGCCATTTGATTAGATGTTCAGGAGTCTTATGGCTTGGGGGTAGAAGCTGTTTAGAAGCCTCTTGGACCTAGACTTGGTGCTCCGGTACCGCTTGCTGTGCGGTAGCAGAGAGAACAGTCTAAGACTAGGGTGGCTGAAGTCTTTGACAACTTTTAGGGCCTTCCTCTGACACTGCCTGGCATAGAGGTCCTGGAGGTCTCTCTCTCTGTCTCTCTCGCTCTCTCTCTCTCAGGGCCATAGCTAGGGTCTGAGTTTAGTGATCTGTTAGCAGACATTTTTTGTGGGGTAGTTTTAAAGCGAATTTCCTGCAATTCCTGTGTGGTATCGCGTCGATGCTGGTACCTATTGCTGTCAAACAAAGAGTCCGCTCATACTGAACTTTGATCATAAGGTTTATTCATATCACAAGATTTCAGCATGAGTTTACAGGTGTCAAGATCACCCGGAGAACGGCATCCCCCGAATTGCAATGGCCGCTCTAACCTCTTCTTCGCTTTTTACCCAGTATATATAATCTTCCCAAGATGTGGGTGGCTCCCTCTACTGTCCAATCCCCTGTCTACAACACACACTTCCTGTCTGTTGTATGTGGCGTTACACTAAAACATTCCCTCTTGATACTAAAATAAACATCCTCAAAGGTTCCACTTAAACCCATTAAGAAAGTCATAATCTTAATACACTACATATCCCCCCTTCGAGACGAACTAAAAGTCTCGAAAACAAACAGAATAGGATTATGACAAGTAACAATTTATCTTATTGAGTACCTTTAACATTAAACCAAAAAACATTCTTCTCTAGAGTGTAAATACCTTTCCATGAAATATGAATAAATGTTTATGAAGTGTGAATACATTACTATGAAATATGAACAAATCTTTATGGAGTGTGAGAGCGAAAAACTGTCTGGCAACCTTCGTTCCAAATATCCATCCATCAATCAAGACAGTAAAATTCTCTCACGGTCCCTCTGCCCCAGGCAACCACCTAGGTACTCCCGATGAATTCATAAATCTTTATCAATGCATTTGAAACTATGATGCAATTAAATACACATGTAAGCCCCTGCAAACAAAATACTATCCAAACAAATTCCACTCTAAGGCTGGTCAACCCATCGGACCCTATAGTGGACCTCTATCCCTGCCTAGACTCCCTGTCCCTAAGCATTCACGAAATAAACAAAAACATCTAAGATTCCCACATGTATCCAATAACATCAAATGTCATTCTACAAAAAGTAATACCTAAGAATATGACACATATTATGTATTACACATGCAAATATGTCTATATTTCATTGCAGACACTGGAATGTAGTTCACTACACTTCATCTCCCCCGTAGTCTCCTCTTCCAATGCATCGTTGATGATGGAATGGGAACATTTCCACACCTTCCCTGTTCCATCTCCTCCAGTCATTCTCCTTTCATATTGTCCCTTCATATTGTCCTTGTTTGAGTATTTCAATCTCTACATATTCCCCCAAATGCTTCTGGAAGAAAAGAAAAGACCAAACAGTATCTTTTGCAAAACAACACTTTCAAATTAAACATCAATATCAACTAAGAATATAAAAATTATATATAAATGATGTATGAATCACATTATCCTATTTCCCCCCTTTGATTCATAACATCATACTAAAATCACACTAATATCGAAAACATTTGAAAAAATTATCAAATAATCAAAAAGGATATTTATCCATCAATCCAGTCCCACTTGTCCATCTTCATCCAGATCAGGAACAGTCAACAACGGCATCTGAGTGTTGTCTCCAGGCATCACAACTCCAACCTATCTCAATATCATAGCTTTCTCAAAGGTCAGTAACAAATTACAAACATCACACACAGTGCTATCAAAACTGCTATTAAATCTGAACCATCACTGCTCCTACTGGGCCTAACTGATCTTGCAACCAAGTCTTCGCTGACCATCCAGCTCCTTCAGATCTACCAAACGCATCCCTTATATTCTTCAACGCATTTATAACTATCTGGATCAAAGTATAGGTAATATTATCAATATGATCTGCCAAAAATGTTACACCATACCATGGAAAAAGTCCCCCCTTCTCTTTTAGACTTATCCTCCAATGATAGGCTTCAAGACTATGAAATGTCGCCATGTCTCTTTTCACCCTATTTCCAAACCTAGATTCAGATTTATCTGTGTCCGGTGCTATCCCTCTTTTAATGGTAAAAACCTCATATGGAAGCTTCAACGTTGACATGTAACAACATCCTGTCCATCCATAGGGTAAGAATATATACGCTTTATCACCACAAACCCTCCAAATATCTCTAAAATTCCCAATAGTCACATTGTCAGGCAAAAGCTAATATTTTAACCATCAAAGTCCTGCTCTTCTTACTAACTGGTACATAAAAAGTTACATTATATTTCTCATCTCTAACCTTATGGTCATGCTTACCCAAAGTCATCATATAATCATCACAATCTGATATTCCCATGAACATACCCCTTACATCATATGTTTCATTAGCACAAAAACAACTTTTAGTCCTCACTGGTTTCACCTCCAATGCTTCAGGGTTCGCTGTTACCTGATTTTCCTTCCCATCTAACAAATTCACATAGGGTAATTCATTTAACCAAGAACACTTAAACCCAGGCTTAAACAAATGTTTTGACAATGACATTATTTTATCTGTTCTGGAATTCTCAACAGACATGGACCCTCAAGATTCCTCACTGATCTTACAGAATGAGCTAGCTGCTGGAACCAAAGATTCCTACCTGCCCATCCATCTTTAATTTTCACAACAGAAGAATCAAACCCATACGCCTTCCATTTAGTTTCTCTCTTCCCTAACGAGCGGTACTGATCAGATACCTCTCCTTGTCTGTCATTAAAATCAAAGAACTCATCCTGTACCTCCATGATAGTATCCTTCACTATTTCAAATGAATCTATATTGTTCTCTACCACTATCTGCTCTCCTATTTTAACCCTATCCTTACTACCATTGACAGCACTCTCCATCCGTATCATTTCAGAAAAGTCGTTGTTTGTGTCTGTGTCATACTTCCTACATTTGTTATTGCCGTCGTACCATTAATCCCTTTCAAAGTTACCATTAAAGTAGTTGATTTAGTTGATGTATTAACACCCTTAACTACTTCTAGTGGGAAAGCTACCGATATCCTCTGTGTATTATTTACTGTTGGAGTGACTACTGTAATATACTTCTCCTGAACTCCTTCGGTGACTGTGGAAGCTTCAACAGATTTCAAATCTTCCATTATAAGCGTCACTTTACGAATTACATAGCCTTTTAACCAATAATTCTTAACCGGAACAAATTTTAATGCTTGCACTAGATAAGTACACATATATTCTCCCTGATCTTTCTCTGTAACATTACGCAAACTAAATGAACAATCACTCATAACCCTCTTCCACTTCATATCGTTGTACAAACTATACTTCCTTTGA